TTCCTAAGAAATCAAATTTCTCTCCTTTTACTTCTTGTTCTTACTTAATTTTTATGTTATGTGAAAAACCTTTTTGTTTGTTTAGTGTATCAAAGCATGGCCGAGAATTTTGGAGAGTTTAGAAAGGAAAAATTAAAGGGTGAGAGAGAGAGAGAGAGAGAGAGAGAGAGAGGAGGGAAAAAAAAAAAAGGGGGATAAAAGTTGTTTGATGATTTTACTATCACGTGCTTATCAAGTGTGTTCAGAATTTTATAAATTGGATTAGTAAATTTGATTACAAATTAAAAATAGTTATGATATTCTAATTAAAAAAATTAATTCGAAATGCCAATCTACAATCAACGTATGATACAAAATACTATCGAAACAGTTAGACTATAACAATAGATTAAGAACTCAATCAATTATACTGTTCACCCTTTTGTTTATTGGAGTTGGAAGAGAGAGTTGGAATTGGAGCTGGAGTGGGGACATTGTGAGGAAAAGACATCACACTTGGGTGGCGCATTGTCATGACCCATAAGCCTGGCTAGGGTTGAATATTACTCGGTGTAGCCTTGGACCCGTTTCTACGCATGATGTCTACTGTTTGATGATCAAAGCAATAGTGGGGACCTCCCCCATTTGGAGAGACTCCGCGACCTGTTCATATTTGTGTCTTCATATCCCATAAAGTTCACAATGCCAAAAGGCAATGACATATGCCTTCCTTTCATTTTAGTATCCAACTAATATACTACAACATTTCTTTCTTAAATAAACTTACATAAGTTGTCTTCAATATTCCTCTTCGTGTCTTCTATGCACGAACGATTAAAGATGGTTGAGGTGATCAGTTCCTACACCGTGTAAAATTGATGTGATACGGCTTCCTCCTCGTGTTTTTCGAGGAAAAGACCAAGCGATGGGTTCCATCAATCTAACCATCAAAGGTTTACCTGGGGCCAATGAGTCCCAACACAGAATTTGGTCCATCTATTTTTAGTGTTCTGAATCAGTTGTTGAGGCTCGTTACCTAAGTTAAGGAGTACTAACAACTCTAGCAAATATTTAATTCACTTGGGGCAATCAGTGTGCGCCACATTCCTTTTTCATCTCCAATTCATGCCAAGGATGCCTCCAGGCTTGAAAGTTGGTTAGACAACGGGCAGGTACACAACTGCTCTGGCCACCTAGCTAGGGTATCGATTTTCTTTTCTTTTGTGATTCAACGTGCATCATTCAAAGCCAAATCATGCCTAATTGGACAATATGATCGTAGCGATTTTTGTCACTCTCTTCATATTAAGAAAACATTATTTATTTATTTATGGAAACCAGAATAGATGAGAAAAAGGAAAAGGCAGCAGGCCAATTTACAAGGGTAAAAAGCTTTGGACAAGCCAAAGCACAGCTCAATCAAAAAGTCCAAAGCAGAGAACAGAAACAAAAGTTAGCTGGAAAACAAAGAAAAGTAATAATGGAAGCATACACATCTAACTAACATCAAAACTAAAAAAAATTATTGCTAAAACTTCACTCCAGCACACATCTAGACTTTGATTTGAATTCACAATGCTAGGTAGGAAGCATGCCTCTTTGATTATCTGTCTAACCTCCTCCATAATTATGCCAGATATAAGCTGGAATAAAATGACAAGGAAAAGTGCAAAATGGTCATTTTATAATGAACAGCCCAATGGCTATCAAATTTTACACTTCTTTTATCTAGTTATCTTTACCTACTTATGAATCTGAGGCCGTTTGATTAAACTCCAATTAACAAAAACCTAATACCTTTTTTGATTAAGATGTGATTATGCATGATTAAATTTTGTCAAATTATATTGCAACATTTTATTACAATAACTAAACATTTAAAAAGTCCACCAGGTCCCTTTTTGAAAAAAAAATAAAAAAATAAAAAAAGTTTATATGTTTTGTAACAAGCTATGAGTTTATTTTTATTATCTCTAAAAATTGAAATTCTTTTTCCTCGTCCGAAATTATATATAATCAAAATTCACTCTCTTTATAAAATTCTTTTAGAATGTATTGCATAAATTTTTTGATAACCACCAACTGGTGTTGTTATTTTTATCTTATTTGTAAACATTTAATTGATTGGATTTTACAACTCAAAAATATTAAATTGTAGATCATGAGCTAGTATATAATTTTTTAGTAAAACTAAATCACATTACCTCCACGAGCACTAAAAATGTTTCTTTTTTAGCATGATAATTTTCTTTTTAAATTAACTATTTCGTACAGCATTTGCCGGATCCTTACGAACAAAGAAAACGTAAAAACAAATCACGACTGATCCTACATCTTAATACTTCTATTTTTCGTCGGGTAATACCAACAAGAATCTTCGTGACAACTTCTTTTTATGGTATTTCCTTTTAGCAATCCATCAAAACCTTAGATTTCAAATTATTCCATCTATGGTTCGACACATGCCTATTTATTTATATGGAAAAATTAAGCAGAGCCAGAATTCAAATCTTTTTTTCTTCTACATATATTAGATTCAACTCTCCGTATCTCTTTGAGACTTGACAGCTAATATATATTCTATATATAGTTGGCAACTCGACATCCACATGAGCAATTTCTGTTATCATCAAACTAATGGTTTAATGACAGATTTCATTTTTATTTTATTGTGATTTGATAATTTTAAATCTATAATACTAAATTACATAATTTGAATATTAAAGTATTAAAGATTAGGCAAATATGATCTAAATTGCCTCATAATTTTGAATTTTTAACTTTTTTTATAAAATATTATAAATATTTTATAAAAAGTGCTTTTTACATATAATTTATAAAATAAGAGGAGGTCAACCCTTAATTATGCTAATTTTAATTTAAAAATATTTTTTTAAAGCCTAAAATTGTCTATTGTTAATTATATTTTTTTAAAAATAACATTTTATAATTTTTTTTTAAAAAAGGTTCAAAATTAAAGGGTTAAAAATATTTATAATTTTTTTTTATATATTTTATAAAATGTTTTTAAAATTTAAAAAAAAATTTAAAGTTTTTAAACAATGTCGTTTTGACGTTTTAAGTAACGATCAACTTAATTGACTAATACATATAACGAAAATTGGACAATTTATATCATATTTGTTTAATTATTAATATTTTAAAATTCATATCATGCAGTTTAATATTATAGATTTAAAATTTTCAAGTTGCAATAGAATTAGGGATACAATTTGTCATTAAACCTCAGATTAACATAATTTTTGAATTGCATAATTTGAATATGGTTACCCGATCCACGTGGAGATATTTGCTACGCCAACTAATAGTTAGGAAAAGCTAACATTTTTCAAAAAATGAAAAAAAAATGATAGTATTAAAAATATCAAGACATTTTATACTTCCTTGGTTATTAGAATTCAAACATGAAGACATATTATAAAATTCTCACCAATTCACTAATATAATGCTAATATCTTATTTTTTGCTCGTGACTAAATTAAAATCTAACCTAAAGATATCGAAAGACTCCAAAATAAAATAAAATTGTTTAGGAGATTATTTGGTTTCATTTATGGGTTTTGTTTCTAGATTCGTTTCAAATTTAGGAAAAGAAATAGAGAACTTGCTTACTTTGATTTTTTTTCCCCTTAAACATAAAAAAGCAAAACAAATAACTGTCGATAACCATTTTTCTTAGTTGTAAAAAAAATTGACAACTAATTGTCTGCCTTTTAATATTTTTTTCGAAAAACAGAAAACGAAAAATGGGCCTTACCTTTACTTAAAAATAAAAATAAAAATAAAAATTGAGAACTGCCTAATGAAATCAAGACTTGAAACCTACCCATTAACCCATGGACCACACCCAGTCACCCACCCAAATCCGTATAATAGTCCACTCCACAAAGCTTGGAGATTTATTACCTTACCGCAATTTTCAAAACACGTGGTTAAATAAATCCCTCCCTTGCTTTGTTACTTTTTAACGGTTTAACCGTTCGCAGATTCACATTAGCAATCTTTGCTAAAGTACGCTTGGGTGCATTTAACACTCTTCCCCTCCCTCACACCATTTAGGAACTTTCTCCTTAAGTACTGATTTACTCGAGCCAGCAACTGAAACAGCAAACTCGTTACCATCCTAGAGAGAAACCCAAAAATAGAGAGAGAAAGACACCCACGCACAGTGTTTTGTGGGCACTTTATTTTTTTATTTTTTTCTTTTCTTTTTTTTTGAGAAGTTGGAGGTTTTTGGAGTATTGTGTCGGGTTGGTGTCTGATTTTAGAACTAAAAAAAATATAGGGAGTAATCAAATTTATTATCAATATATTAAGGTTTCCTTTTTGTTGAGTCCTGAGATCTCTCTAGGGATACTTTTACTCTTCTTTGTGGTCCGTGTCTATATATATACGTATATTTATGTTTATATGCAAGAGGTAAGTCTTTCTTTCTCGAGAGAACCGAGAGAAGTCCTTTGGTTTAGCATACTGGTACATCACTGAAGAATCAAAAATTATAATGGGTAGGCATCAATTTCCTCTTCTTTTGTTTTGTTTTTGTTTTTGGGCGATGGGTTTTTGGTAATGAGTTGATTAGTCCTGTTTTATTTCTGTTTTCAAGGATTTTTTTTTTTTTGGGGTATGTGTGTTTCTTAGTATCGTGTCTCTGGGATCTTAATTACAATATTTTTTTGCCACTAAATTCCGTCTACTGTTATTTTTTGTGGTTGATTTCACATATTTACATATTCTCTCTGCTTGGTTTTCTTAAATTTCTCTTTCTATTACAAAAGTCCTGAAAAAAAAAGAGAGTGATTTTTAAGGATTCTTTTATAATTTAGGAGTACTTTTTATTATTTCCGTACTGTTTTGGGTTATTAGGAGTGTCTGTTTTCTCATTGGTCATGGTTATTCTTGAAGAAACCAACTTTTGGTTTTATTGGCTGGTTTTGTTCTCATAGCTTTTTTTTTTGTGTGCTTTTTTCTCTTCAAAATTTTGTACATCTACAGAGTTCAACATGAGCTTTTCAAATGATATGGATGATGAATATGAGAAACTCTTTAGGAGATTGAATCCACCCAGGTATGTATTATGCATATTCTTTATCTTCTTTTTTGAGTTTACGATTGAAAGTGACCTTAAATTTTGAAGTGAATCGGATTTGTATTCATTTTGTTAAGTTCTTTCCCCCTTTCTTTTTTATGTCAGGGTCGTGATTGATAATGAAGCTTGCAAGAATGCTACTGTTATAAGGGTAAGAGTTTTGGCGTCCTTTTTTGGGGTGTGTTCTCTTGGGTCTTGACTATCATTCTTGGTGTTATTTTGGGTACTAATTGTTTCATTTTGTGATGCAGGTTGACAGTGCGAACAAACATGGAATACTTCTTGAAGTTGTACAAGTCCTTACTGATCTGAACCTTATCATAACCAAAGCTTACATATCATCTGATGGTGGTTGGTTCATGGATGGTATTACTTCTTTTTCTTCTTTTTTTCCTTTTCCAATTTAACTGTTCTTTGGGAGTATAAAAAGTTGATTATTTGGAGGTTTTTTTTTTTCCACCAGTTTTTAATGTTACGGATCATGATGGAAACAAGGTTACTGATGAAGCAATTCTAGATTATATTACAAAGGTGAGTTGTAAGTTTTTGATTGATATTATTTTTGTTCTGTTTTTTTTGATTGAGGTGCAAACAGATCTGATTGTTCTGTTTTATCTTCAGTCTTTAGGGCCAGAATCTTGCTTTACATCTTCTATGAGATCTGTTGGGGTTAAACAATCTATGGACCACACAGCAATCGAGTTAACGGGAAGTGACAGACCAGGGCTGCTATCTGAAGTGAGTGCTGTGCTCGCCCACCTAAAATGCAGTGTAGTGAATGCAGAGGTCTGGACACACAATATGCGGGCAGCAGCCGTGATGCAAGTAACCGATGAGGAAACTGGGTCAGCAATTACTGACCCAGAGAAGCTATCTAGAATCAAGGAACTTCTTTGTAATGTACTGAAGGGCAGTAACAAATCTAGGGGAGCTAAGACTGTCGTGTCTCATGGGGTCACCCATACTGAGAGAAGGCTTCACCAAATGATGTTTGCTGATAGGGATTATGAACGAGCTAACAATGATGAATTGGATGAGAAGCAAAGACCTGATGTGAGTGTGGTTAATTGGTATGACAAGGACTACTCAGTGGTAACTATAAGAAGTAAAGATAGGCCAAAGCTTCTCTTCGATATAGTTTGCACTTTGACAGACATGGATTATGTAGTTTTTCATGCTAATATTGATGCTGAGGGCCCAGAAGCTCATCAGGTATAAATCATTTGTGTTTTAATCTTTTCTGTTCCCCCACAAATGCATTTTGGGAGGGCTGCTTTTGCGCTTGATTTCTTGGCACATGGATTTATGGATTCATTTTTAGGAATATTATATCAAGCATGTTGATGGGTCCCCTGTAAAATCAGAGGCAGAGAGACAAAGGATTATACAATGTCTTGAAGCAGCTATTGAAAGAAGAGTATCTGAGGTGAGTTGCACTATGGTACATTCAAATCTGAGACTGTTCTTAAGCTTTACTCATAAAATTGTCCTTGTTTTACCAAAATCAGGCATCGAACCAAGAGGGTGTCAAGCTGTTCTGTGTTCTTTTCCTTTCAATCTAAGTGTAGATCTATTATATAACTTGATTACATTGCTGCTGAGGAAATGATGAGTTGGATGAAGTGTGTAACAAAGAGATGATAATGACTTTGAATTGGCATATTAAACAATGATGGGCTGACCCTCTCAAGTCAAAACTCTTGCTATTTTATATTCCATACCTTTGTCAGATTTTGTTTAGTTTCTTCTTGTCTGTTTGCAGATGATGATGCCTTGATTCTGTTAGGAATTCATTCACTTGCTTGTCGGAATGCTCTATTCAAAGAATTTTTTGCTGTACTGTAATTTACAACTTGTTGAGAACATCTGATGGCTTGATAACAAAGTCTTATTAGATGTCTTTTGTTTCTTTAGCTGTTCTTTTAAGAGCGTGTTTCCCTATTTTAGACGATTGATTTGTTTCATCCTAATTCAGGGCTTGAAGCTAGAGTTATGCACTACAGACAGAGTCGGGCTGCTATCTGATGTTACTCGTATCTTTCGAGAAAATAGCCTTACTGTCACCAGAGCAGAAGTGACAACCAGAGCAGGCAAAGCTGTCAATACATTTTATGTTAGTGATGCATCCGGGTATCCTGTTGATAATAAAACCATAGATTCCATCCGGCAAGCAATTGGTCAGACCATACTGAAGGTGAAAGGCAATTCTGAAGAGTTAAAACCGGCCTCTCAGGAATCACCCACTAGGTTTCTCTTCGGAGGTCTCTTTAAATCAAGATCTTTTGTCAACTTTGGATTGGTTAGGTCTTATTCTTGAATATAGTTTTTAGCTTGCTCCCAATGTACATAAAAACCTGTCTGCTGGAAAAACGCACTCTAGATAGATCTCCAGTCCTTTTAGCATACCGTGTGACTTAAGTTTAGGAACAAAGTCATTTGTCGTAGGAGGTAGAGACTAGAGAGATGAAATGCCTGTAAATACGCTTATTACCCCTTCAACGAGCTTCGTTTGTTACTGTAGATCCAATCCGATGTTGAAGCTAGGAAAGCAAAGAATTACCCTGGAAATCTCAGTTCTAACTTGTGTACATAATTTTCAATTTAGTCCGTTTCCACTTGACTATGTTGTATTCTTAGTTTCTATGTTCAATGACTTTGTTTATAACAATATTTTGTTAAAACTTCGGATTGTTTAGTGTTATTCGCAAGACTAGGAACCATGTTTGACTCTAATTTTGGATTGGTGTCCGCCAATTTGGAGCCTAAAAAAGGGGGGTCAAAATTCAAAAACCGAATTTGGAACCCAGTTGGAAAGAATCATTTGGTTGAGAAAGGAATAATGTCATCGAAAATTTCCAGTTCTTTAGTGATGGATGATGGTACCTAACTTGACCACAACATCCCTTCCATTTTGGCAATTAGACACAGCTGTTGGGTGGCGGCTAATGTGTTGGTGGTAATGACTTTAATCCCCGCAAAGATTTTGGATTACAAATCTTTAAGGTCGCTGTCTGATAGAGACAAAGCAATTAGAAAAGTTCACAAGTTTGGTTTGTGAGAGCTGAAAACGCTATCTAAATATCTGGTCTAGATTTAATCAATTAATAACCAATAACCAATATTGTTGTTTACGCATTGAATAATTCATTTTTTGAACACCTTTTAGGGTTTCGATGTCGTTCTACCGACTACCATGACTTTGGTTGATGGTTCAAATTTCAAACAATGCTTCTATGACTTGATTTGTCTGCACCTTTGGATTGAATATTATCTTATAATACCAAGAAGGCTTATTAGTAGAATTGGTTTTTCCTATTAAAACCCTAATAGCAATAATATATTATTTTAACCATCAAATTCATTCTCTCAAGTCTTTTTTTTTTTTTTTTGAGGCAATTCATTGGGAGGCAGTCATTTCAAATCCTTGTAGTCCAATCGAAAGCGATATGAATATCCTTTTTGACCAAGATTTTGCTCGAAACTGTGCGTGAAAGCTTAAAGCCAACAATCCAACAAAAATGTGAAAAGAGAAAAAGGGATAAAGGTAGGGAAAATGCGTTTCCTTTATGGAATAGATCTTCTCTCATCCTGAGGTTGAGTTGGTGATGTCTGTTGACTAACATTATTGGTTGGGGGTGTCGTCAAGGTTTTGCCGGGTGTGGCCACGTGGCTTCTATCACTGCATTGAGATGATGCCAAGTCAGCATCACTAATTTTATTTTATTATTATTATTATTTTTACTCTGTGGCTAGTAGATTATTAATTGGACTAGCGGTGAATGATTAATATGTTGCCGACTTTTACTTCGAAATTAAATACTGCAGTTTGGCAAATTGAATGCATTATTAGAAAGTTTTGAAAAAATATCATCACAACTGTAAAACAAACAAATTCAACAATTACTATACTTAGCATGTGGTTGTGACAGATATTTTCAACACCAAAAGAAGATATGATTGATGACTCCATTTGCAGAGCTTGCAGAGACAGAACAACGTGTTAGCATTTGCAGGTTAAATTGACCTCTTCAGTCTAGTTAAAAACAGTTTAGCTACGCCGAATATAAGAATTAATTAGAAATTCACCTTCCACATGTCTGAGATTTGAATCCTGATTTTCAAATTCAAGGAGTAAGCAGCTTGTCAAGTTTTTAATCGGCATTTCTGTATTTCTTTGCATCAAATGCTTGGGAAACTGGGCGAAAACACAAGGAAATTCAGGAGTATAATTGGAAACATGAAATGAACCCTCCCTAGTTCCTATGATCGTGATGGAAACCTAAAGTTTAAGCCTCGAATTTTCTTTCTCTAATAACGGAAACATTTTTAATTTTTATTTCAGAGCATGTTAACATCACCAAAAACATATAGAAAGCACATGCTTTGATCAATGGCTCCCATTCCCCTACATTTTTTAGACTTGAATTTGTTTACAAGTAGTCTCTTTGTCAACTTCATGTGATTTGTTGATGAGCTCCAATACTTGACCAGCAAGTTCCACAGTTTGACTACGCATTATAACTATACAGCTACGTCAATTTGATGGTAACATCAATACAAGTAAGAATTTGAGATTTTAACAACTGAAGATTCCACGTACAAGATGATGAATCAGAAAACCCCAAAAATGGAAAGACGTGCATAGAACTGAATTCTCATAAACCCCTTCAGTATTGTTTTTTGTTCTGGTTGGGACTGGTCAACAGTCAATGCTCTTGAGACATATGTGTGAGCTACAAAATGCCAACTGCATAAAAAAGATAACGAAGGATCTAAATGACACTTGGTCTAATTTTACAAGACGATCGTCTTAGCTAGCTAGCTAGTTGGCATGACAATCATGGCAAAATCATGACCATGAATCTATTAATAAGTGACCGTAAGTTCTGGTCGAATTGTCATCTTATTCATTAATTTATGACCGATGACTATGATTCAGTTGTCATAAATCCAAAAAAAAAAAAAAAAACCCTTTGTCTACTTACGTGTCTAAAACTTAATGGTTAAATGCAAAAAAGAAAAACAAAATGCATAGGGAAATTAATACAGTACTGTCATGTGCTCCTTCTTCTAGGTTCGTGCCACTGAAAATCTTGGGCTTTTAAATGCGTGCAAGGATTCCTCCCCCACATGAAAGAATTATTAAAAAAAATGCAAAGATTTTTTTTGCATCAACAGCAACAGAGGCAACCTCATCTCCTCACATGAATGGCTTTAAATGAGCTAACCTTGATAAATATTCTATTGTGGATAGAGTATAGAGTGATTTTATATGATAGGGTATGATGCACACAGGACGTGCCAATTTGCCAATCTGACAGGCCAGTCATGGATTCCCTATTTATTTTCGAAGAAGTCTATGTGTTGAATTAGAGATTATTATTATTTTTTTTTTCTGAGGGATATTAAGAATAAGTCTCCATATTGATCTGCAGAATAACAAACTGTTTTAATTATTGGTTTTAAAATTCAATCTCAAAAAATTTTAAAAAAGAAAACAAACTTCCTTTACTACTAGGTTTATGCCTTGGAGTTACGGGTTAACCTGATTAGATGACAAGTCCCCGTCATCAGCTAGCTATTGGTAGGACACATCGTATATAATTAATTCTTTTGTGCATATCCATTTGCTTAAAATAATTAAATCAGTCAAATGAACGCCAAATTATAGGACTTGAAGAAGCAGAGAGAAAAAAAAAAAAAGGGAGGCGGCAACAGAAAATGGAGGATTCTGGTGATGAGTTTCCTGGATTCCAAACCTGTGTTCACAAAGAAGAGCTAGAATACAGGAGGCCATTAAGCAGGTTACAAAGGAGAGCTCCTTGTCCATTGCAGATTAAGCCTAATAATAATGCTTCTCTTCAATGCAACGGTGTGCCCAAAATTTCTTCAGCATCAGCAGCATTCGCACCTACTTCTTCATTTAATTCCTTCTACCGCAGTAAAGACCCTATTCCTCTTCTTTCTCCTCTTGTTTTGCCTTCATTACTCGAGTCTTCCTACATTCAACAAGGAAATCCTGCAAAATCTCATTGAATTCGTATAACCTCTGTCTATCTATCTACATTTGTTGTATATGTGATTAATTTTCTGTGATTGTGTGGCCATTGGCTTTGTATATTAAATATATTAGTTTCTCCTTTCCTTCATTGCTGAAAACTTCACGGATTATTTATATGGTTTACCTACTTCATGCTCTTCTTGAAGTATAATTAGTCACATTTTCCTTTTCATCTTTTTCTAAGATAACAGTATAGCTAGCTTTTTTTTTTTCTTTTTTTAAAATCACATCTTATTCAATAAGGAATTACGACTTCAGAATGGTGCACAACATCAACTTAGGTTATCCAATTGATCGCTGCAACATATTTTCTCTCTTTTTTCGTATTTGCAATGGAAACTACATGATTACTCCGGTGGAACCGGATCAAAGATCGCTTACTAGTCCCAGAAATTAAAATCATGCTAAAGTTCATTCTAGCTAGCAATTTCTATAGCACATGAAGAGCATCACCATCGCCACTTGCCTAAGAACACAGAAATGAAAATGTGGTGATGCAACACACGTACGACACCCAAGAACCAGACTTTCTTTCTTTCTTTTTTTTTTTTTTGAATTACTCGAACAAACAAATAAAAATGTTGGATACGAATAATTTACTATACACGGACCAAATTTCAAATAGTTGCTAATTAGAAGAAATAAATGAAATACATTTGGTTCAACAGGGGACAAATGCATCCCAAGGTAATTACACTAAATTTATTGACCATATATAGAATTAACATTTAAATAAACTGCATTAACAACATCGAAAGATAGCATAAAACAGGGTGGTTTCTTGCCTCCATAAGCTTCAAAAACAAGCACGAAAATGTATACCAACTGCCATGGTTGCCAAGCTTTGGGCTGCACCCTCGTTCAACTTAGATGTGGGCTTTTATGGGCTGATCTTTTTGCCTAGCAGCACTAGCTACTGGCTAGGCTGGGTCAGGTCCTAATGGGCCTTGCTTGTTGTTGTTGGTTTTTTTTTTTCATGTTTCATTTTCTTTTCTATTTTGTGTCTAGTTATTTATTTATTTTTTAAAATGGTAAATAATCCACCCCCCTATTATTTCCCATATTTTTTTGGTCTTCTTCTATCTCTCCGTTTTCTCTGATCTTTTAATTTTTAAAGATTTTTTTTAAAATAATTTTATAATGAAATCGTTTTTATGAATTATTTTTTTTCCATCTTACATTAAAAATTGTTCATGATGAAATCGAGTTGCATGTTACACTTCATCAGTAGATAGTAAAATTTAACACAGTGAAAGTTACAAAAAATTGAAAAGTTTGCATTTGCAAGTGGATAAGCTCCACTTATTTATTGTTATCTCTGGAAATTTAAATAAGATTGTATTTTCCGGGATATACCCGTTATTTCAAACAACTCGGTTTGTTATGTAATTTTTGTTGGCTAGCTAATAATTGGGTTAATTCTTTCCGACATCCCATGCTTTCTTTTTAGTTTTGATATCTACCTTGTACTTCATATTTTTGTTATCTTTCATCCTTGAGTTAGTTGGTGACTTGGTGCCACTTGCTTGGTTAAAAATTAACACATGTCGCGTGCTCATAACTTGAATTTTTTGTAAATATACATTTTGGCCCATATAATTTTATTTTGGTAACTATTTTATATTTTTCTTACAAAATAAGTCCTTAGTTGAAAGTTCTTTTTGTCATTGTATTTTATAGTCATATACAATTAATCCTTATATATATATATATAGTCCCTACATATTAAATCATAAACTTAGTAAACATTAGTTAAATAATTTAATTGGGTTGATGTATAAGTGAGAATTTAGTGGATTTAAATAGGTATATCTCTTTTTTAAATAAAAAGAAAATATTTGTTTCCTATTATAATTATTTTTTCAAAAAATGGTGATAAAAAAGCTTTAAGGTGAGAGTTAAGTGGATTTGACATATTATATTTTTAAATGGTATATAAAGAAAAGAATTTTTATACTATTTTAAAAAAAGGAAAAAAATGCTCATAATAAAAAATTGATATTATGAGAATTTTTCTTTTCTTCATTTTTTTATTAATTTAAATTCATTTAACTCGTACATGGTCTATCAACTTATTTTAATTGACTTATTTTGACTAACTTTACCATTTGAAATGTAAGAACTTAACTTACAAAGAAAAAAATTCGGGAACCAAATTGTATAAAAATATAAAATCAAATGACCAAAAATAAGGAGCTATTTGTAAGAAAAATATATAATTTAGGGACCAAAATATTTTTTTATAAAAATACAAGAACCGAAATGTACGCTATCGAAAGAAATCCATGATTTGAGGAGGCGACGCACATCAGATTTTAAGGACGTTAATAACACTAACGCTAACCGACGAAAAGATATTAATACGACTGAAATATAAAGTACATATTGGATATCAGGACAAAAAATAATAAATAGATATTTTTAAATACCAAACAAAAAACTAGAAAGATACAGTGAAGCATTAACCCAAGAATGATTACTAACCAGCTTCCCAAAAACTCTCACATTGGCAAGGTTGGAGCATCTTGCTGTCCTTTGATTCATGTTTTTCTGGGAAACTGAGGTGTGAAATATTCAAGGTGAAACCTCATGTTTAGTCTCTGATTTATATACTCATTCTCAATTAGGTCCTAAATCTATAAAATTTATCAATTTGGTCTCCCTAATTTTGGATAATTCTCTATCAGATCCTTTTAATAATTTTTAAAAAATTTTATTTGAAAATATGTTGTTTTATTGCATATAAAGTGCAAATTATATGGAAAATACTAACCAAAATTGAGAAAAAGACCCAATTGAAAAGAGTGTGAAATATATGGGACTTAATTGATAAAATCAATAGGAGTGGAACCAAATTAAGAATGCTTAATAATTTGAGTTTGAGTTAATTATAAATTAGCCCTCTAGTTTTTCAAAAGGAATTATATAACCTTTCTAGTTTAAAAAATTAATTAGTCCCTTTTGTCTATTTCATGTCACTTTCCAATTTATTTATTTTTATTTTAACAAATAGAAAGTTAAAAAGAAGAAGTAGTAGATATTATGGAAAGATTGATTAGGAGTTTTTTTAATTAATATTAATTTAAACACAGTCAAAACTGGTCAATGGATTAAGTACTTAGGTTTTAGAACTAGGAAGCCTATTTAATTCATTTGTAAAACTAAAGAGACTAATTTATAATTTACTCATTGAGTTTTTCGATACCCTCTACTGCGGCACCACCCTCCACCACCAGTTCACCTCCTTTGCTGTGCTTGGATTCTTACTGGAAGACTGATCGGTAACCCTTAATTCCAATTACCATCCATACGGGAAAGGATCAGTTACATTCAGCACTCCAATATTTATTTTATAGGTTTATTAATGCCTATATATATATATATTGAAATTTTAATGAAAATATTTAAAATTTGTCAAATACAGAGTATTTCACAAAGAAAAAAAAAAGATTTTTTGTATCCATAAATTGCACTTTTTTTTTTTTAATAATGAAGAAAGGTACTTCATTGATGCCAAAAACGCACAAATACATCACTGTGTTTACATTACAATGGTAGAAAAAATTATTATCGTAGAAATTGAATCTTACTATTTGAAAACAAAAAAAAATCCTAATAACCTCAATGGTTGATATTGACTTTCTAAATCACACCTAAAAAGAAAATTTTCTGTCTAGAAAATCCTTCTTCTTCGAAAAAGAAATAATTCATTTTTGAGCGTTACTATTAACAAACTTTTAATTTTTAAATAAAATGTCAAAATTATTGAGAATTAATGTAAAAAATATCCGTTTAATATACTTTTAACAAGAGTAGAAACGAAAAAAAAGTATATTGGTTAAAAAAAGTGTTCATCATCCAAAACAGAAATAGAAAAGAAAATGGGAGAAAATTAGTAGCCTAAGGACAATCTTTAAACAACTAGTTATTGATAGATAAATATTGTGTAATAAGTGATTTTTGTTTATAGATTTTTTAATCTAATCGCCATTCACTGGCAACGTATAATGACCATTAGATTAGATTTATGATGTAATTAGATGAATAGTTTGAAATTCCAAAACTGTGTAATTATTATAACATTTAACCATCACAAATTAACAATAACTAACCTTCTAACAAATGCTCTAAAACACATGTTAGCAAGAAAAAATAGAAAAAAAAAACATATGCAAAATCAATCCGATTGTACTACGGAGAAATCAAAACCACATGTCAAGGCGGTTTTCCTAGAAATCAAAGTCCCATGTTGTATCGTACATACATATACACTCCGTTGACCTAAAGGGAAAGAAATATATATTTTTTAAACGATAAAAATCACAATGACTAAACTGTCACAAACACAAAGTGACGAACCAATCAGATAAAAGAAAACTGCATCAGCAGACGTCCGTGAAACTCATAAAGAACACACCAACGTAAAGAAAGCAACGCGAATCGTGTCTGGTAAGCTGTAATCGAAGAGGCAGCCCCAGAAAACGTTACGTGTCGCCATTTTCCCCATTCCGATTTTCACTGGAAAAATTGAATCTCTCTTTTTCGCACCGAAGTCCTCAATTTTGAAAACCGTTGCTTTCTACTACCCCCAAATTATATATATATAAAAAAAATTAAAAGAAAATTCTAGCTATAAGTCTCTCTTTCTCTCGCTCGCTCTAGCATAGCGCGTTGGTTCGATTTTTAGGAAATAGAGGAAGATTTCCTGTGAAAGTTAAGGTAATTTTCGTATGTAATTCGTTATCGAAATTTCAATTGATTGAATTTTTATTTCTTTTTTATGGGTTTATTGATGGAATTGTGGTGTGGATTTTGTTTAGTTAGGGTTTTTTTTTTAATTATTATTTCCCATCCTAGCTATCGCATGGCTCTTTTTTTTTTTTTTTAGCTGTTTACTCTGTATTTTTTTTGGTTTATTGAAATTTGTGTAGTTTTTAATTTAGGACTTGAATTATAAAGACCTAAGAATAGAAATTGTTAATTTGAATTTTTTTTTAAAATTTTTTGGCCACAGAGCAGTGGATTAAATGAAAGGAAAGGGAATGTCGAGAGATTATTCTCTGCGTAGAACTCGATCTGGGAAGAAGCCTATAAGGAGTGGAAAAGGTCAAGGGAGTCTTGATAATATAGTTGTGATTGATGTTGATAGTGATGAGTTTGAAAATGTTATTATCATTGATGTTCCGGAGTCTTTACAGCAGAAATTAAGAGGTTCCAGTGTTGTTAGAGAAGGAAGAAGATTTCCATGCATAATAAGCATTGATGACGATGACGAAGATGAAGAAGATGAATGTGATACGGTCGATGATCATGAAATTAATGCGGAAAATGATGGTAACTTGGATAGTGATGGCACTTCTAGTCAAAGCAGTCCTCCCTCTGGTTGTGTTGAGAAATCTGTTCATAGCCGTAGGGATGCTGATGGTTGTCGAGTTGCTGAGGAGAATAGACCTGCGTTTAAGTTGAGAAAGTGCAATAGAACTTATGCTGAGAAAGCTCCCTCTAGAAATCGTTATGGTTTAGATTCAGATTCTGAGACTGATTCCTCTGAAGATAGGACCTCTGATTGTGAAGTTATGGAAGATTCTTTAGGAGAGGTTCGTGAACAGTGGGAAAAGGCTTCCCTAAAGAGAAAATCCAAGCTCTGTGAAGGTTTGGATGATCAGGCCAGTCCTTGCAGTTCTCACAGTGATGTTCACCCAAATGTTGAAGTAGAAAACAGGACCAAACAAAATTCAGAACCTGCTGTTTGCTCTACTTCGAAAAATGTAAATTTCGATAAAGTGAACTCTTCTGCCTCAACTGCTGCTCAATATGGAGTTCTAGGTGGTTTTTCTTCCAATGCCAAGATGGGAAAGCCATTTGCAAAGTGTAATCAGAAAGGTGAAAGCTTTTCAGGGTCGCAGAAATCTAGAGCCGATGAGAATATTCATTTTCATTGGATGAGTGGTGATCTTTTTGGAGGAGGGACATTCGTGGATGATGGTAATATCTATAACAAGTTTCGAACTGTAAATGGCCTTGGCACAAGGTTTCCTCCAGGACCTTCTTCTTGGTCCAATCAAGATAAGGATGATAAACAGTATCATAATAGAAGAACATGTTTTCAGGATATGCAACAAAACACTACGACAGAGCATGCTTTCCCAGATACCCAAAGAGGGCCTAACTTGCGCCCGGATGATGGGAAAGCTAGTGTTCTGAATGAAGATGATTCTTTGCCTGATGATTACTTTTTTGGTGAGATACATAATGCTAATAACAGTCAAGTTGATTCGAAGGAGGAATATAAAGAATTTACTCAGGTGCCATCTAGTTGCAAGACTTATTCAAATGAGCCACAATGCAGAGAGAAGTTTGTGCCTTGTGCTCAATCATCTGAGGATAAAGTGGTTGAAAATGTTGTAGCTCCATGGACTACACAAGAAGTCAGTGATGAGAGATCTGGTCATAAAAAAATGGATGGAGGAGCTCCTAGGGAAAAGTCTTCACAAGGTCACGACACACTAAGTAAGCCAGGGACATCAAATTCTGCAGAAGGAAAGGAGGCGTTTTCTGATTTTGCATCCAGCAGTCAACTTCATTATGAAAGGAATCAATTATGTGCTTCACATGGTGATCTTTTGCCTTCTTCTGAAAGAGATATAATCAATGACCGAGAAAAGCTCAAGGAGACTGATGAATACAAGCAAGCAATAGAAGAAGAATGGGCTGCCAGACAGCGGCAGCTACAAATTCAGGTTTATATATATATTAGTTCCTTAATTTGTTGCAGCTCATTGTGCTGTGCCAACAAAACATAATTTTAGTAATAATTCTACACTTGTGTACGATTGAGGTTGGACTTATCACAATTATTGTCAATTAAGTTCTATCACATTTATATGTTGTTTTGATGCACTTCTTGTGATTATTTCATTGTATGTGAGTGGAAATGTGGTGGGTTGGCAAAAATTAGGTTGTGTTGAAAAGCTGGTTTCTGCCTTTTTTTTTCCTTGAAAAAGAAAAAAAAACCTTTTGAAGACCCTGGTTTTGAAATCTCAAGACACTTTAAGCCATATTTTTGGTGCAAACCATGATCTTCATAGCCATACAGAGCCTGTAAAGTTTTACATTGGAAGAGATTCAAGTTGATTTTTTTTATAAAAATTATACATTTAAATGACTTCAGAATGCTCACAAGTAAATGAATATTTCATCTGATTTGCAATTTGTGTGTTCCTTTTCAGGCAGAAGAGGCTCAGAGACTGCGGAAGAGAAGAAAGGCTGAAACTTTGCGTATTTTGGACATGGAGAGAAGGCAAAAACAGCGTGTGGAAGAAGTGAGAGAGACACAAAAGAAGGTTTGATTCCCATATATTCTTAACTTGCATTTATCTCGTCAGCATTACACATTTTGACATCAGTTTTTACAAGCTTATAAATCTGTTATCTGATGCGAAATGTAGGATGAGGAGAACTTGAGCAAGAAAGAGAGATTTCGGGTCGAGGTAAGGAAGGGGCTTTATAGATTGGAGGTTACATGCATTAACATGGCTTCCTTACTTCGTGGCTTGGGAATCCATGTGGAAGGTGGTTTGAAACCCTCTCCAAATCAGGTAAGTTACATTCTCATGCATTCTGATGATACCAGCAGTCTTCTGAATCATATCAATACACATATTGTGAGTGAAGTCTTGGTTACTTGTTGAATTGATCCGTGTTTCCGATGGTCCTTTCGTCTACCAACTTTGCCTTTACTGAAGATTATAATACAGAAACCTGAATCAGGCTTTCCATATTGAGCTTTTATATACCACCTTACACTAATTGGCCTATAATAATCCTCTGGCAATGCTTGATATTTGTAAGACCAGATCCCATGTGTGTTTGGATCTCATTCTCATGCCATGCAGCCTTAGAGAAGTGGCCACAAAGTCACTATTTATTGTTTGATTCTGTGCATGTCTACATTGTTTTAATCTTTTTTAATTGTGTTTGGTGGTCATTTCAGGTGCATGCAGCTTATAAGCGAGCCTTGCTAAAATTTCATCCTGACCGCACGTCAAAAACTGACATTCGTGAGCAGGTTGAGGCTGAGGAAAAATTTAAGCTTATTTCTCGCATGAAGGAGAAATTTTTGTCCACTTCATGTCACTGAGTGCTAATAAAAGGTCAAAACACCATTTATTTGTTCATTTGAATCGCTTCTCACTTGAAATGGGCAGAATTCTTCCTATGGTTTTCATTATTTTGTTGTCGGTCTCGCCAAGAGGGCAAATCATATTTGTGAAGCAGTCATAATATTTATGTGACTAGAGAAATTATTTTCGTAAAAGTGTTCTTTCAACTTCTTGTGGGTCTGTTAATAATAGAGCTGTAGGATTGTGTCAATTTTTTCGAGAAGAATACATGTGTCTGATATCCTGGTTAAAACTCGGATAATAATTTTAAGAAATACAAATGCTGCTCTACTTCTGCAGCTATTTTATGTCTAAAGCTTGGTGCATCTATGTCAGCAAGATGGTCCTGGTGTTATGTTATTTTTGATGCAATTTTTCCAGAAGGGCCCAAGTTTTTGGACTTGAGCGGAAGTGTGAAAGTGATGCCATCGGGGTTGAGGTAGGTCTTTGATTCATGTTTACAAAGTAAACTAAAAGATCAGCTTGGTAATCCAATTATGTGGTTGTGATTCAATTTGTGTTGAAAATATCATACTTGCTGCAGCACTAAAGGATTCGTACTGTTGTGCAAGGAAAATAAACAAACAGATGGTTGGAAGTATTACCATCTAGTATGAAAATCAAATGAAATTTATGTATTGGTATCTTGAAAATCGGGAGTTGCACATTTAGAATCTATGTAGCATTACTGTTCCTCTTTGTATGGGAAGGCTCTAGTAATTTGACAGGAATGCCAAACCATTGGAATTGTTGTAACGACAATGCATTATTTGTCTCAGATTTAATTTTCCATGAAGTTTGCGGTACCCAGTTGGCTCAGGTTTCTCACTGTCGTTACTTGAATTAATTAACAGTTTTGTGCTAATTAGGTTTGAAGGCTGCAAGCTCAAAGACCATCTTGACCGAGTTTATTTGTTTCCAAATTTCGATCCGAGTTTCCAAAGAATTTTATGTCCTCCATTGGTTTCCCAAAGTATTGAAAAATGGAAAGCTTCTCGGAGCCAAATGATATTTTGCTAAAATAGTCAATTTCAGTCTTCTGAGATGACCTATAAAAATGGCGCTTTTGCGGTCAATTAAATTACTATAATAACTGACAAGGTTGTGTGCTGTCTTATCACTTTTTGTTAATGGAAACTTTATTCCAAGAACTGTTTAACAAGTTGCAAAGATGGCAACATTGTGCATGATGTTGAACTTAGCGACTGCTGGCTGATTCTACATGTGAGAGTCCAATTAGGTTAGTCATAGTTATTGGCAATCTGGACACACACATTTAAGAAAAATGTACACGAAAATAAGTAAAAAAACTAATACAAGCACCTTGATTTAAATAAATAAAGGAAATGCATGGTGCACAACTTTTATGTTAAAATACGATATTAATGTTATATTCACGTCCAATATTGGATTTTTCTTCAATTTTATACAACAAGTTACTCTCCATTATTTCTAGTCTCAGTTAAGGTTCCAATAAAACATTAAAAGCATCACAACTTGTGGTTAGGTAATTAATTATAAGTAAATGCCAGATTCTTTAATGGTATATCTGAAAGACAAAACCTCTACTCATTCAATCCGTATCATCTAACCTCGGACATTTTTTATGTTTTTTTTTTGATCCGACGGGCATTTGATGGAAACTGTGAGTTGCAATTAAGAATAGAGGAGTGTGGCAGGCCCCGAAAATTAAAGACGCCAAGGAAAAACAAAACATTAAAGATGCAGTAATTAAGAATAGTTTAAATTTAAGGATTAGATCATGGTAATGTTTTAATGCATTGACCGTAAGCTCGGAGAGTTCAAGAGCTGAAGTTTGAGTAGTGGGATGGTTCTATGATCCCATCAACAAAGACTCGAAGAACCATATAAATGTTGACTTGTAAATTGTGGCTGTTGGCTCGTTTTCTGAGGCTAACTGGCCATTGGCCAAGGACATTACTGGGCCTTTTCCTCCGGCGACTGGGCAACCCATCCGGTATGTATTCATTGAGTGATGTGAGATTTGGGTATACTCTCGCTGGGCAAGGGTGAAGACGCAATATTTTGTCATCCCGATTTCATTAGTAACGTAGGGAAACATGCTCAATTAAAATCTAAACATTCTATATTCTTGAGTAGAATACTGGTTTTTGTACACCATTCTAAGTGTTTTCTTTTCCTTGTGTCCGAATCGTATCATCTTATGCCTATTAACATTTTCAGAAAACAATTTCATGCTGCTGCTATGGGGCAGTGGTTAAAATTGCTCAATGTGTTTAAAGGAAGTGCAAGAGGCTCTCTGACACATTTCAGGCCACTTTGAAGTTCAAAACATCAACAGGAATGATCATCAGCCTCCAGAGAAGTTATATATAGCAATTCAAGAAGCTTTTGAAAAACCATAAATTGCATTAGGGGAGCATTTAAGTACTAGTAATTGTTACTTCCAATACGATAATTGGAAGTTCAGAGGATCTGTTTGATACCTTTTCTATTCTCTATACTATGGCACTAGCCAAAACTGTTGGCTTACTATTCTGGAGAATAGAAAGGAAAGAACATTGAAGTGTACTAATCATGTTGTCTACCTTTTTTTTTTTTTTTTTTCCCCTTCTTCTTGTAATTGTGCTCTGTAGTGAAAGGGATCTGTTATGTGCTCCAGGCAGTGATGCAATGGCTGCTGTCGGAACTGATATAATCAACGTGCGTGAAAAGCTCAAGGAAACTGCTGGATACAAGCATGAAGTAGAAGTAGAACAGGCAGCCAAACGTCAACAAATATGTATTCAGTTCTGATATCTATATCAATTAGTTAGTGTGCTATGCGAGCAAAAGCATCAACCTAGTTGTAATAATTTAAGCACCTTCACATGTCATTAGTTATAATCCTGTTGTGGATCAACGTACTACTACCTTTTTTTCAGGCAGCAGAGGCTAGGATCTTGCGGAGGAGAAGAAAGGCTGAAAGTTCACGCGTTTTGGACTTGAGAAAAAGGCAAAAGCGGTGTGTGGAAAAAGTGAGAGAGAGACAGAAAAAGGTTTGCTTTGTGTTCTGCTTACTTATACATCCTGAAACGTTGATTCACAATTTCGCATCGAAGAATACTACTAACATATTTTATTTTTGTGTTTCTCCAGTTGATAATTGACAACAAATACCTACAGGTTGAGGAAAATTTGAACTTGAAAGAGAGACTTCATGTTGAAGCAAGGAATGAGCTTGATAAACTGGAAATTACTTGCAATGTTATGGCTTCATTTCTTTGCAGCCTGGGAATCCAAGTGGAAGGTGGAGTAAGTCCCTTGTCGCACGGGGTGGGTTAATTGGTTTCTTTCACATCTGAATGAATGAACCAAATTATGCAACCTAATTTGAATTAAGTCTCGGTGACTTGTTCAACTGATCTGTATTTCTGATAGTTTCTTGTAGTCAAGGAGTGCAATAATTCTATGCTATTACGAACTTTTTCAATGTCATTTCAGTTTCGTGCAGCTTATAAGCGAGCCTTGATGAAATTTCATCCATATCGTGTATCGAGAACAGATATGCAGCAGCAGGTTGGGGCTGAGGAAAAATTTAAACTTGTATCTGTTATGAAAAAGAAATATTTGTCCACTTAATGTCAGAATGCTAAGAAAAGGTTAATGCACCAGTTTTCCATTTTTGAAAATTGCTGTAGCTAGTGCCTCTCATTTCAAACAGTCAGAATTTTTCCATATGGTTGTCAACCCTCTCATCATTTCTCATCAGGTTGAAACTGGCAAATCATATTTTTAATGAAGGTGTTTCAATCAAATTTGATTTCTTTCACGTTTATCTAAATTTCTTCATGTTTGCTGTGAAAATTGCTTCATCAAACATGTTATTTCTTGTCCTCCTTTTCTGTATAGTAAATACTAATTAGATACTCGCGCTATGTTGTGGTAGGGCAACCGTTACATACATAGAGTCAATAATTTGTATGGTATAATATGGATAAAATTCTTATTTTTTGTAATTAATATAAATCAAATCTATTTATTGAGGAAAGTCGTTTTGATTTATATATACTTATTAATAAAATAATCAATACTATTAACATAAAAAGTCGTATTTCAATAATTGGGAAGTTTTTTTCAAAATATTATTACATTCATTTTATTTGAAAAATATTGATTTTAGAACATGAAAAAGAATAAATAACAAATAATTTATGTTATGTGTATAGATACATAGTTAATTTTCAAAAAACTATATATATATATATATATATATATATATATAAACAAACAAAAACGGTGAATTCTATTTTTTTTAATTGATTATTTTAAAAATTTAAAATTTTTTGAGTCAAATTATCTAAAAGGCATTGAAATTTTCTAATTAAATTATCTAAAATGCACTTTTAGGTTATATATATATATATATATAATGTGCGTGAGGCCGACCACTCTTGGGATTGCTTCTCCAGCCCTTGAATCCCGACTAGCCCAAAAAAGAGAAACCTAGATCGAAATAAAAAGTTTGGAAACATGAGAGACCAAAGCTTAAAAAGGTGTATAATTTGCATATAACTATTCGAGAAAGGCGCATAAATCACAAAAAACCGAACTTTAATGAATAGTGATTATGAGTCTATAGCTACGATAAATGAATAGAGAAAACTTCGGTTCTTTTAGTTTTTTGTTTAATTAAATTATCTAAAATGCACTTTTAGGTTATATATATATATATATAATGTGCATGAGGCCGACCACTCTTGGGATTGCTTCTCCAGCCCTTGAATCCCGACTAGCCAAAAAAAGAGAAACCTAGATCGAAATAAAAAGTTTGGAAACACAAGAGACCAAAGTTTAAAAAGGTCTATAATTTGTATATAACTCGTTTGAGAAAGGCGCATAAATCACAAAAAACCGAACTTTAATGAATAGTGATGATGAGTCTATAGCTACAGTAAATGAATAAAGAAAACTTCGGTTCTTTTAGTTTTTTGTTTTTAATAATTATCCTAGAAAGATGTAGAAATCACAAAAAAACCGAGCTTCAATGAACAATTAAAAAAGTGTATAATTTGCATATAACTCGTTTGAGAAAGATGCAAAAATCACAAAAAAACGAGCTTTAATAAATAGTGATAATGAGCCTATAGTTACGGTAAATGAATAAGAAAAACTTTGATTCTTTTATTTTTTATTATTTAATATCTATCCAAGAAAGAGGAAGAAATCACAAAAAAAATCGCGCTTCAATGAACAATAATAATGAGTCAATAATAGTAAATGAATAGGGACAACTTGAGTGTTTTTTTTTTCCCCAATAGTTTTAAAGGCAACTTGAACATGTCTCCTTATCGATTTAAATGTAAAAAGAACGAAAAGATTTTGTTGTGTAGCTTGATGCTGGTGAAGAACAAATACTGGAAAAATTTATAAGTCATTCAGTCAATATTGTTTTTGAAAGTTTACATTACATAGAAGAAATTTCATGTCGACATCAAGGTGCCCTGTGTGAATTCCGTGCTTATAATGGCTGAAGAATGACTTGAATGTCATGCTTTGGACACACTGTGAGAAGATGAACTGGGTGATGGACATAAGTTGGCGAAAGAACGAGCCTGTAACGCTGCAGGATCATGGAGAGTGCAATCTTTCCTTCTATAATGGCATAGTTGAAGCCCAAACAAGTTCGAGGTCCCATACCAAATGGAAAAAATGCAGCAGTACTATTGTTTGTAGCTTTAGCTACTCCCTCTGCAAATCTTTCTGGTTTGAAAAGATGAGCATCTTCTCCCCATATTTCAGGATTATAGTGATGGGCTAGAGTTGACATGTAGATTTCCATATTAGCTGGCAGGATTAAGTTCCCAAGTTTAACTTCCTTGTAAACTTTCCTTGCCAGGTAATTAGATGGAGAGTATAGCCGTAGAGATTCATTGATAACCATGCTCATCTATAGAGAAAAAATGAGAAAGAATTTAGTTTACAGAACTGAATTAAGTGCAAATCGACATGGCAGTAACCAGCTAATTTGTTCAGAAATCAAGATTTGCTTACATTTTTCAATTTTGTTATGCTATCTGGACTTGGATTCTGTTGGCCAATTAATTCAAGTACCTCCTCCCGTGCTTTGTCTTGCCAAGCTGGTGAAGTGGCTAGAAGAAGAACAGTCCAAGAGAGCAAGCTTGTTGTTGTTTCCTGTCCAGCAACGTAAATGGTCTTGCACTCATCAATCAGGTCATCTACTGATATTTTCTTGGTATTGTCTGGATCATGATAGGCCTTTAAAAGTAATCCAAAGAAATCATTTCCATAGCCATGCAGCTGTCCAGACATTGCCTCTTCCTCTCTTTTCTTCATCATCTTTATAATGGACTCTCTTACCCTTTTCTCTAGATTCTCTGATTCAATATCATCGCTTGATTTGAAAAATTTTCTGCGACAACGGAAATGCCATGTGCATGCACAAAATCAGAACAATGTAGATGTAAAAAAGTGGTAGCCTGAGAAATGAAGACAAAAAGAGTGGAATTCAGGTTGATTAATGAATGCTCTCTGCAGCAAATACCCAAGTATTAATTAATGTCTGATCACGGTTAATTGCATATGTCTGTCATATATGTGCTTACTGCTTTCTGGGCAGCTGAGGGCATGAGGTGTTTGAAGATTAGTTCTCCAGATGCAAAACTTGCTAAAATGGAGGAGGAAATGCAGCTTACCCAATGAAAGGAATGCTGATTCTGTAGTTGTTTCTGTAAATGATGAGAATCATGTTCATTATCATATCGAATATATGCTACCCTTCCAAGTAGCTGCTTCCAAAAGCTGTCCTGGATATTACTTCTGATGTCAAAACCTTGAATTCTTGGAATGCGTCAATCTCCTTGCCTTCATTGTTTCTCCATCTTTCGAGCATAATCTCAACACTTGCAATCATATCTGGAATCATACCCTTCAAAAACATAAAAAATATTTGTATAGTACTTGTTAATAGAGGTTCTCCAGGGAGGCTATGTTTCATTACTTGTCTTGTTTATATTGTCAGAACATATATCGACTTCATGTACAATTAAAAAGTCAAAACAAGAGTTTACTTTCAAGCTCTCTCCATGGAAAGCATGGTTGCCCAGTTTCCTCATTTTAAACCACTTTCCGTCACCTGACGTGACAAGTCCATCACCTAGCAACCTCTTTACATGAGTTTCGACCGGAAGTTTCTTGTATGCTCCATCTCTGTTGCTCAATACCTCTTTAACGAGCTCAGGTTCAGTGACCATTAAGTGAGGTTGAGGACCATACCAATAGAGAAAGTTCATCCCTAGAACAATTTGAACACATTTGCTGACAAGATTAGAGGCAATCCAAATAAACTGTAAGCAAGAACATTGAGAAGATCGTTACCATAAATCTTGATCCAGGAATATGCATGAGGAAGAATTCTAGCGAATGTGTTATGTGATAGCTCTTGGGAACTGCCATCCATTGCATTGATGATATTGAGAATCTCTGTGGTACTGCCAAACAGGAATCTGTAAGAAGGACCTTTAATTCCCTGGGACTTCATCAAGGACTGAATTCGAATCGGAGTCCACCATACCTTATTAAAAAACTTGAGGAGAATAACAACAAGGTATAAGCACAAACAAGTTGAAAAGCAGATTATCAGGGTTCCCATTGCCAATTTAAGGTGTATCTGATAATAGACTTAAAATGAAAATTGAGTGGCTATGTTCTATAAATAGTCCTTGCAATCTTCAGATACTTGGTACTTGGGAGAAACAAGGTGTCAGAATTGTCTCTATCAGCTTTGCATAGCAACAAAAATAAGAATCGCAATATCCAATGCAATAGAATTATGTCCTCAGACTTATTACCGATTTATTATAATAAAATGAGTAAAAAGAATTTTTTGGCCTGCAAACGGCAAATCCAACTTGACCCACCAAAAGCCATACAAATTCTGTCAAAAAAAAGACACTTAAATTTTTAGCATGTTGCTAGTGGAAGAACCAGAGCCGTGTTTATAATTTCGTTTTCAACTAATCGTACATGACAAAAAAGTGAATATGATTGTTGAGTAAACTATCCTAGTTTTAATTAACATTATGGCTACTTCTTGTTGATGTTGGTTAACTTTCATCTTAGTTATTTTTCAGTCTTACCATGATGTGATTATGGTTGGGACCTGACACAATTGAGAATATTTTAGCCGTCAACTTTTTTTGTATACTTTTTTGTCTGAAATGTTGGTGGCATGATAATTTTGCAGACAAATACTGACGAGGAGAAAATTGTTCCTTTCTGTTATTTCCGTAAGATTGCGTAACTAATCCTGCTGATTTTCCGTTACAAGTGATCCAAAAGGAGTGTTTTATGTGTACTATTCAACCTTTTTTTCCCTTGAATATTATTGAATAACCTCAGCCTTATGTCACGAACTTGGCCTTTTCCAAGCTCACGTGCGGCACTTGGCTCTCTTCTTCTCTAAGACAAACCAAATCAGCCTTCCTCACACAAAGTTGCTAAACAAGAAAGACACACACAAGAGATATAAAATGCTCTTTGTATTGCTTTCTAAAAGCTTACAACTCTAAAGACACACTCTCTTAAGTTTATGAATGTCTAGGTGTCTTGGCCAAGTGAAGGCCTCACCTATTTATAGCCTTCCACCTCCTCAATTGAGTTCTCTAGAAATATCCTACCTAGATATTTACATGGAACTATCTAGATATTCACATGTTAGATTAGTGAAGGACTCTCTAGAATTCTCTAGATCATCCTAGAGACTTCTCCAATGCTCCATATTCTTCTAGAAGCTTCCGGACTTATCTAGAGGCTTCTCCATTGTTCCATGCTCTTCTAGAAGCTTCCGGACTTGTCTTGTGTTCTCTAGAATTTCTAGAAAAATCCCTCTTTTAGGCGGAGCGTAACACTCTCCCCCACCTAATTCGGCGACGTCCTCGGCGTGCCTTCATTATATTCTTCGACCTTCCGTGCGAATTGCCACGAGGCTTCGGCGGGTTCCCAACTAGCCTCGCTATCGGGTAATCCCTTCCATTTTACGTAGTACTCCTTCCTTGGTGGCACTCCACGGCGTCTAACTATGCGGTCATCAAGTATGACATCAACTTCTTTGTCATACGAGTTCACCACTGCTCGTAGGTGCCCTATAAGAAACTCCTCGGCTTGGATCCTCCTCGTCCGCATGGTATGGTTTTAGCATACTAACATGAAATACCGGATGGATCTTCGACTTTGGTTGCAACTCTAAGCGATAGGACACCTCTCCCACCTTGTGCACTACTTCAAATGGTCCTTCATATCGTCGTATGAGGCCTTTGTGCACCTTTCGAAATGCCTTATGTTCGTTGTGGTAGCAACTTCGACATCACCTTGTCACCGGGTTGGAAGGTTACATCTCTTCGTCTCTTGTCGACCCATTTCTTCATCTTCGTGGCACCTTGTTCAAATACACTCGCGTCAAGTCCGCTCGCTCTCGCCATTCTTTGGCTAACAAATATGCACTCGGGTCGCTTCCTTGGTACTTGTCACCAAGCACCATCGTATGTGGAACGAGAGGCTGCCGGCCCGTCACAATCTCAAATGGACTCTTGCCGGTAGACTCACTCTTTTGTAAGTTGTAAGAGAATTGGGCAACATCTAGCAACTTAGCCCATCTGGTGGCACTCACGAAGTGCCTCAGTATGTCTCCAAGGCGTTAACCCTCTGGTTGCCCATCGTCGAGGTGAAACTTGGAGTAATGGAGCTTCGAGCCTAGCAACTCAAATAACTCCATCCATAGCTTCCCGATGAATCGAGGATCTCGATCACCGATGATATGTCACGGCACGCCCCAATACTTCACCACATGCTTGAAGAGTAGCTTAGCGGTGTTCTCGGCCATCACATCCGCCGGGGCTGGTATGAAAGTGGCATACTTGGAGAACTTGTCCACAACCACGATAATGCTCCCAAAGTTCTCCGATTTCGGCAAAGCCACTATGTAATCCATGGTGATTGTCTCTCATGGTCTCTCCGCGATAGGCAAAGGTTGCAATAGACCTCCGGGTGCTCGATTTTCAACTTTGTCTTCTTGGCACACCAAACATGTCCTCACATAGGACTCCACATCATCGCGCAATCGTGGCCAAAAGTATGCCCCCTCCAGCGAAGGCTCTAGTGCGTTGTTGTCCTGGATGTCCAGCCCACATCGAGTCATGGCATTCCTTCATCAAATCTCGTCGGAGGTTTCCCCACTTAGGTACATAAATCCTCCTTCCCTTCGTGTAGAGAATGCCATTCTCCTCCCAAAATTTTCGAGTCTTGCCCTCCTTTGCAAGGCTCGACAAGCTCTTGGCAATGGGATCATGCTCCACTCCTTCCTTGATTCGGCCACGATCTCCCCATCGACCTTCGATATGTGATGCAACTCGGCCTTTCTACTAAGTGCATCGGCCACCACATTGGTCTTGCTCGGCTTGTACTCAAAGATATAATCAAATTCGGCAAGAAAGTCTTGCCATCGAGCTTGTTTCGGCGTCAACTTCTTTTGAGTTTGAAAGTAGCTAGTGGCTACGTTGTCCGTCTTCACCACAAATCGAGACCCGAGCAAGTAGTGTCTCCAAGTGCGCAAGCAATGCACCACTTACGGTCATCTCCTTCTCTTGCACCGAATATCGTCGTTCGGTGTCATTTAGCTTTCGGCTCTCGTAAGCTATAGGATGTTGTTCCCGCATCAATACACCACCTATAGCAAAATCGAAGCATCGGTGTGTACCTCATAAGGCTTGGTTGGGTCGGCCAAGCTCAACACCGGCTCCTCGATAACGAGCTTGCTTTAACTCTTTGAAAGCCTTTTGGCATTGGTCACTCCACTCCCATCTCTTGTTTTTCTTCAACAAGTCGGTGAGAGGGGCCGCCTTCTTCGAGTAGTCACGGATGAAACGTCGATAGTAATTGACTAATCCAAGAAAAGAGCGAAGCTCGAGTACCTTGGTTGGCTCTTCCCATTCCGAGATAGCTTTGACTTTGGCTTCATCCATCATCAACCTTCCCCCTTAATCTTATGTCCTAGGAAGAGTACTTCCTCTTTTGCAAAGGAGCACTTCTCCCTTTTGACATACAACTCATTTTCCCTTAGTACCTTGAATACGGTACGTAGGTGGTCTAGATGCTCCTCTAATGTAGAGCTATAAACCACGATATCATCAAGATATACCACTACGAGCCGATCCAAGTATGGTTGAAATACCTTATTCATTAAGGTGCGAGAAGGTAAGCGGGGCGTTAGTCAAGCCAAATGGCATAACAAGGAATTCATAGGAACCATACCTTGTCACGCATGCTTGTCTTTGGCACATCTTCGGTGGCAATTCGAACTTGATAATACCCCGATCTCAAATCAAGCTTGGTGTAGAACCGAGCTTTTCCCAACCGATCAAACAAGTCCGCTATCAATGGGATTGGATACTTGTTTTTCACCGTGACCTTGTTTAATGCCCGATAGTCCACGCACATTCTCAACGACCCATCGTGCTTCTTTTGGAACAACACGGGCGAGCCATAAGGTGACTTGGAGGGTTGTATTTGTCCGGCCTCCAACATGGCCTTCAACTCGCTTCCTTAATTCCTCCAACTCGGGCGGGGCCATTCGATAAGGTGCCATGGTCGGCGGTTTGGCACCCGACACCAATTCTATTTGGTGATCGATTTCTCTTTTAGGTGGTAACTTTTTGGGTAACTACGGTGGCATCACATCATCAAATTCGGCCAATACATTGGCAATCTCCTTGGGTATCTCCATGCTCTCATCTTCCACCATCCCATCTTCTCTTAAAGTTGCCAAGTATGTGACTTCTCCTCTCTTGAAGCCTTTCTTTACTTGCATAGCCGATAGATGCTTCAAGTCCGATCTAGCGTGCACCTTGGTCGGCACCATGCATGGCATTTCTTCTTTCATGATCACCATTTGCTCCAAGTGAGGTGTAGGCACGGCTTTCGCTTGTTTAAAGAACTCCATGCCTAGCACAACCTTGAAGTCGTCCATTGTGATAATGGTGAAATCTAGCGTCCCTTTCCATGCACCTATACCAAGCTTTACCCCATACGCTACGCCATAAGTAGGCTTAGGAGAAGCATTCACGGTCTTCATGCTACTTGATGACTTGGTCACCACCAAGCCAAGTCTTTTAGCCTCCTCCTCGGCCATGAAATTATGTGTGGCTCCCGTGTCTAGCATGGCAAACGCGGCCTTACCATTCACGTCCACATCCACGTACATAAGCCCATCCTTTGGTGGCACCTTAGGTGAGGACTTAACATTACGGGCATTGAGAAGCCGAACCGATCCCAAATGCTTCTCATGCTCGGGAGCACTCTCCTTTTCCTCCATCAAGGCATTGAGGGCTTGTCGCTTCGGGCACTCTCTCCACCGATGTGGCCCATTGCAAAAGTAGCAACCCTTGGGCTTGAATTCTCTCTTATCATGTTCTTTGACAAAGCTCTTGGACTTATGTGCTTTGTCTTGCCCATCTCTATACCCCTTCCTTTCATAGGCTCCCCCACCTTTGCCCTCGAAGTCTTTCTTAGGCTTGGAGGGTTCTGCCCTTTTGTTATATTCAATTAAGGATTCGGCTATGGCCACGGCTTCGGCGAAGGTCTTAGGTCGTCGACCTCGCACCTCTTGTTGTGCCCATGATTGAAGTCCCTTAATAAAATCATACATATGATCATAGTCGGGTTTGCCACGTACTCGAAGTTTAAGAGAAAGATATTCTCGAACATACTCGTGAATAGTTCCCGTATGCTTCAATGTTCGTAGCTTGTCCCGTGCTTCCCAATCCGCTTCCTTGGGGTAGAATTGAGCATACATGGCTTCTTTGAATTCATCCCAACTAGGCGACTCTAGATTCCCCTCTTTGAGCTCTTGGTGCTTCATACGCCACCATAAAGCGGCGTCCTCCGAAAGATAGAGGGTAGCGGTCTTGACACGACTTCTATCCTCGGTCAAGCCCATTGCCTCGAAATATTGCTCTACTTGCCAAAAGAAGTTGTCCACCTCCTTGGCATCTCGCTTGCCAGTATAATGCCTTGGTCGTGGCACTTCAACTTTTGGCGTGTCCCTTAAGACCACACCATTCGAGATAGCCTCTCGACAATTTGCCCAATCTTTTCTAAGTTGTTCAAGAGTTTGCTCATACCTGGTCATATACTCTTGATGTTGCTTAAAGCTCTCCTTCGTCCATTCCATGAAGGCATCCTTTTCGGCAGCGCTCTCCTTAGCACACCTCTCAACCGTTTCCACTCGAGCTTGGAGATTGGAGAGCACCTCACGTAGGCCTACCATGCCTAATGTCTCCCCCTCATCATCTCCTTCTAGCTCCTCGAGTCTCTCCTTGAAATCGACAAGGTGTTCCTCCGCCCTCATGAGTCGCTCCTCCAAGGAGACTAATACGTCACGAGACTTCCCCCTTCCTTTCTTAGGTTGAGGAGGTAGAGTCTCATTCCTAGCATCCCCAGCAACATCCTCCATGCCCAAGCTAGACATTCTTACTCTCTTGAACACTTTAGCTAGCGGCAAGCTTACTCGCACTTTAATAAAACTCGGCTCCGATACCACTTGTCACGGACTTGGCCTTTCGCAAGCTCACGTGCGGCACTTGGCTCTCTTCTTCTCTAAGACAAACCAAGTCGGCCTTCCTCACACAAAGTTGCTAAGCAAGAAAGACACACACAAGAGATATAAAATACTCTTTGTATTGCTTTCTAAAAGCTTACAACTCTAAAGACACACTCTCTTAAGTTTATGAATGTCTAGGTGTCTTGGCCAAGTGAAGGCCTCACCTATTTATAGCCTTCCACCTCCTCAATGGATGGCTAGGATCTATTTAATCTAATGGCCACAATTAGTTCTCTAGAAATATCCTACCTAGATATTTACATGGAACTATCTAGATATTCACATGTTAGATTAGTGAGGGACTCTCTAGAATTCTCTAGATCATCCTAGAGACTTCTCCAATGCTCCATATTCTTCAGAAGCTTCCGGACTTATCTAGAGGCTTCTCCATTATTCCATGCTCTTCTAGAAGCTTCCGGACTTGTCTTGTGTTCTCTAGAATTTCTAGAAAAATCCCTCTTTTAGGCGGAGCGTAACACTTAGTCTTCTCTTCGAGTTGGACAGAAAGCATACACCATAGCATAATATGAGCTGTTTTGCTATAAAATTCATATGGTACATAAAATACTTTTTAGAAGTTTAAACAACATTCTATGTTCTCGATTATTATAACACTAGCTTTAAGCCACTAAATTGCTTTTGTTGTTGCTTTTTTTTGTTAGTGTAGGTACCTAAGATCCAATCATATATGGATGAATTTGAGTTGATATATCATTGCATTATTTATTTTGATAATAATAAAGAAGTCATTCGTTAATTCTTTTGTTTGCATGTTCAATAGAATTAGATAGAAGTTCTTATGATATGCATTTGCAATAGTAATTGATCGAAAGATGTGAGACTAATACTAATGCACATAAATGATATCATAAATGTCCCAAGTCGTAGCATTGTCAAAAATGGACATTAACAAATGCGGATAGACTTGTGAGTGCTATGCTCATGCTATATGATAGCAGTAAGAGATCTCACACCTATTGGCATGGTGATGCCAAAGCAAGCGCTTAGGTGATTTATGTTAAAGAACATGTCATTGCACTTGACTCGCCATGAGAACCCATTTGGTTTTAGTCTATGAGAATTTCATATGAGATGGGTACAAATGGTCCTTAGACTTGAAGTTATCACGATTATCTCATTGGAGGACTTATGCACTTTGACACTCGTTTCGATGGACCCATTAATGGGTTGCACATGGGCGATTCGGTGGATGCACTAGGAATGTAATGAAGGTAGGTGTATGACTAAGATAGGATATGTCATTCTTTGTATGCTAAAGAAGTTATCACATTGCATTTCGATAAATATCCGCTCAAGAAATCTATGACCATAGTAGGAGTACACCAATAGAGCATAGTTGGTCTACTCTAAGAGCTAAGATATTTGAGAATCGAAAAAAACTTATGTGATTATAATCGAACAAGGCTAATAACCAAGTTCAAGATCACACTCGTGATAAGTTAACATGAGGACTCGAATTGTATGATAACTATGCTTGTGAAAGGTAATAATGGATTAAATAATCCTCCTAGAGAATTGGATATAAATACTTCTATTTTCTTCCTCCCCTCCAGCTACTTTCTCTCTCTAGAAAATTTGATTGGCTTTCTCTCTCAAAATTGGATTTTGACCAACTCTTCCTTACCCAAAAACTTCGATCGGCCCTTCGATCGAATCTTTAGTCGGTCGACTCGATCTAGCACCCTTCTAACTAGTTCGACCACTCCTCTAACTCTTCCATGCTCGGCTCCTTTAGCCGTGACAATCCTCTCCTCGGGTTAGCCCAATCCAACCCAAACCAACGCCCTTTAGTCGCCCGGTTTCTTTTTTAATAGCAGATGCCGATCGGACCAGCCACTACCCTATGTCTAGTTGCCATTCCATTGCTACTCGATGTGATCCAGCCCAACAAGCCATTATCCGATGCTCTAGTTGCTCCTCTACATCTAGTCAAACCTCCAACGAGCTCCAAAAAGAATCAGCAACTCCAAAGCCGGTTAGCGAGCATTCTCCAATCGATCAAACCAAACCAACAACCTCTCCTGCAGTAGATTCGAACCGACTAGCAACATCCAGTCGGTCTAGCCCCTCCAATAGCCACCTAATCTAAATTCGATAATGGGCGACCGTCTCTCCTCCCCGAGTTGATTGAATATTAGTTTCCATTGGAGTTGAAAAGGTCAAAATTAACGCCAATTCGACAGTCGGTTCGCTCTACATTTTTATAGTAATTTATTTTTTACCTTTTATTTTATTTTATTTTATTTTAATATGTATTAAATTTAATTCATCTTGATGTGTTTGTAAATTAATTAAATAGTCATTGTTTTGTAAATTAAAAATATTGCTTCTTCGTACCCATATGGTTTGATTGTTATGTTTATTATTCCGTAAATATTTGTTATTGCTTGTGTAATTGTCTTACGTTAGCCTAAATCATGTATTTGGACTGTTTTTGCTGACGATAATTTTAAATTGCTCACATGTTAATTTTATTTAAAAAATAAAATTTTAGAATCATGTTAGTTTGAACTTCGTTGTTTGGGTCATTTGTGTCAAATAATGATTAATTTTGACATTGTTGCCAATTCGCCTAAAAAATGTGACTTTTGAAGCTGCGTTAGTTCGAATCTTGTTTTGGACTATTTTTGCGAATTGTAGCAATTAATGGATATTGTGTCGATGTTATCCTAAAAAGTGATGCTTAAATCGTGTCGGTTCGAACCTCTATTTGGACCCTTCTTATCGATTTTGCTTAAGATGTCATCTTGAAAAATCATGACTTTTAAGTCATTTTGGTCCACACTTGGATTTAGATCGTTCATGCCAACATTGCCTATAATGTCAATTTTATTTGTCAAATTAATTTGCTTGAAAATTATGACTCTTGAAGTCATGTCGGGCGAATCTCGTTTTCGGATCGTTTTTGCTAATTTCAATGATTTTTATCAATTTTGTCCTTTTTTTGCCAAACTTATCAATTTTACCAACTTTGTTGTTTTTTGTTTTTTTATTATTTTGCCAGTTTCACCAATTTTGTCATTTTTATGATTTTTTACCAATTTTGCCATCATTTTTGCCAACTTCAATGATTTGCCAATTTTACCTATTTTGCATATTTGTCGATTTGCCAACTTTGCCTATTTTGCCTAATTGTCTATTTGTTTATTTATCGATTTTGTCTATTTTGCATAATTGCCTATTTGTCGATTTGCCGACTTTGTCTATTTTGTCTAATTGTCTATTTGCTTATTTGTTGATTTATCGATTTTGCCTATTTGTCGATTTACCGATTTGTCGATTTTTGCCTATTTTTCCTAATTGCCTATTTGTCGATTTGCCGATTTTACCTATTTTGCCTAATTGTCTGTTTATAAATTTTGCTGATTTGCCGATTTTGCCTATTTACCTATTTTGTTCTATTTTGCATATTCACTTATATTTTTTATTTGCAATTTTTGTCTGTTTGCCTATTTGTCCGTTTTATGCCTCATATTCACGCATGCCATTTAAGTCTTATTAGTCACATATCCTTGTATTCATCATGTCTTTTTATTTTTTAGTTATTCATTATAGAGTGAGGACAATGTTTCGATTAACTAAGTCCCAAATCACTCGACTAGTGGGCAAATGTTTGAAAAATAAGAGTAGACTTTCATCATAAAAAAAAAAAAATCAAAAATCAAATCAATATTGTATGTAATGCAACTTGCCTTAGGTAGGACGGGATATGATGATTTTTAATCTTCCCTATACGTAATAAATCATTTATTTAGAACTTTGAACAGACTAGTCCTAGTGTTTCCTAATAACCATAATATTAAGTGACGACTCAAATACATTGCCCTCACCAACGACGTTGCCCTGCGACAACAGGTACACAAGAACTATCATCACAATTTGGGTTCATATGGTTGGAGAATGACTTGAACTCCATGTTGTGGGCACATTGTTAGAACTTCAACTGGGCAGTGGGCATAAGTTGGTGAGAGAGTAAACCTGTAACGTTGCAGGATCATAGAGAGTGCAATCTTTGTTTCTGTAATTGCGAAGTTAAACCCCACACAAGTTCGAGGTCCCATACCAAATGGAAAGAATGCAGCAATGTTATTGTTTGTAGCTTTAACCACCCCCTCTGCAAATCTCTCTGGTTTAAAACGATGAACATCTTCTCCCCATATTTCAGGATTTTGATGAAGTGCTAAAGTTGAAATGTAGATTTCCATATTAGCTGGAACAGTTATTTTTCCCAGTTTAATTTCCCTTTCAACTCTCCTCAACACGCCAGCAGCAGGAGAATATAGTCGTAGAGATTCATTAGTTACCATGCTCATCTACAAAGAAGAAAAGGAATAAAATTTAGTCAAAGAACTGAATCAAGTGAAAAAGTGTTGCAAACTTCATAAATTTGGTCAAAAAGCCATGGTAGCATGGTTGCTTACAATTTTCAGTTTTGCGATGCTATCTTGACTAGGATTTTGTTGGCCAAAGAATTCAAGCACCTCTTTCCTTGCTTTGTCTTGCCAGTCTGTGTGAATTGCTAGAAGAAGAACAGTCCAGGTAAGTGAGCTTGCTGTTGTTTCCTGCCCAGCTACATAAAAAGTCTTACACTCATCGATCAGGTCATCTACTGATATTTTCTTGGTCTTATCCGAATCATGATAGGCTTTTAGGAGCAATCCAAAGAAATCATGGCCATAGCCATCTAGTTCTCCTAACATTGCCTCTTTCTCTCTTTTCTTCATCATGTTCATGAAGGAGTTTCTTATCTTCACTTCCAGATTTTCTGATTCAATATCATCACTTGTTTTAACAAATTTTCTGCAAAAACAGAAAAGGCCAATCATTTGTGCAAAATTAGAACCTTGTAGATGTGAAAAAGGGGAGCCTGAAAATGGGAGAAACTAAAAGATTTAAAAACTAGATTATTTTCTTTACGAGGAAAAACTCATGTAAGGCATGATTATGCCGACGCATGCACATGTATGCTGTTTACCCAATTCCTGGAATTCTAATTCTGTAACCGTTTCCTGAAATAATGTGAGCAATCCTCGTTAGCATATCAAATATGTTCTGCCCATCCAAGTAGCTGCTTCCAAAAGCTGTCCTGGAAATTATTTCTTGTGTTAAAACCTTGAACTCTCGGAATACATCTATCTCCTTGCTTTCATGGTGTCTCCATCTTTCAAGCATAATCTCTGAACTGGAAATCATTTCTGGAATCATATTCTACAGAACATAAAAATAGTGCTTTAGTAGTTTTTTTTTTTTTGATGAAAAAAATATTAGATATATAAGAGATGCGGTGAGCGAGGATCGAACTCGATGGTGCTTTAGTAGTTGTTAACTGAATTACCCTTGGTGGTTAAATTTCATTTACTTAGTGCCGTTTATATACTTCAATAGTAGTTTAATTATATATCTGCTACATTCAATAACAGTTCAAAACCAAAACAAGAATTTACTTTTAAGCTTTCTGCATGGAAAGCATGGTTGGCCAGTTTCCTCATCTTCAACCATTTTTCACCTCCTGACGTGATAAGTCCATCCCCTAGGAGATTCTTTACATAATTTGGGGCCTTTGCTTTGGGGTATGCTCTATCTTTGTTGTTCAATATCTCTTTGATTAGCTCAGGTTCAGTGATGATCAATTGTGCTTGTGGACCATGCCATTGAAGGAAGTTCATCCCTACAGAGAATTGTAGTCGATGTTATTTTATATAATTCTGCAGACAGTTTTATTGATGTAAAAGTGATAATTTATTTATCTAAATAATATAGTTTTAAATATCTAAAGTGTGAGAAGATTGTTACCGTAGAGCTGGATCCATGAATAAATGTGAGGTTGAATTACAGGGAACGTATGATGCAGTAATTCCTGCGGACTGCTCCTAATTTTACTTATCATGTTGAAGATCTCTTTGGCGTTACCATGCAGGAATCTATAAGAAGGGCCTTTGATTCCTTGTGAATTCATCGAAGACTGAATGCGAATGGGAGTCCACCACACTTTATTAAAGAACTTGAAGAGAATAAGGAGAATTGATAAACACAGACAGCTTGAGAAGTAGATTAATGTGTTTGCCATTGCTGCTAGAAGCATGTGTTCTTCACTGACTGAACATAAACAGAGAGACCATGGTCTCAGTATAGAGGGATTTGGTATCTTTACATTAGAGAATACTAGGTTCCTATTTGGCTATATCCTCAGGACAGGTAGCGAAACCAGCCACCTGTAGATAGTGTACTGCATTATAGAATTTATCGGAAACAAACCATCCAAGACAAAACCTGTCCAAACACAACCTTAAAAAAATCTAGTCTTTTGTCATTTTGGTAGTTTTGATTACCTAAAGTTGTCTTCTAGTTTTTGGTTACTAACTTGAGACCTCTATGGAGGAGGGAAACATTGATATTATTGAGCCACAGGGCTTACTGGTGCTAATTACCTAAGCTCTCTTAAGGTACAAGAAAAAATATATTTTAATACAATTAAAAATCCATCTAATTTGCATCGAAAATTTGGTCTCTTGTCGCTGACATCGGTCCAATTCATTATCTTAATTATCACAATAGCACTGGCCTCTCTGCCGGCACTTTGTAGAAAAATTATTTCTAGCACTGAAAACTACATGAACATGGTCTTATCATGCATGATGTGATTTAAGGTAGTTGTGATCTGAGAAAACTCAGGACATTTTTCTCTTCTTTTATACTTAATCTTTGAACAAAATGATGATGCCAGGACACCAGAAAAGCTGTCTCATCTTTTTGTAGATGACAAACAGTATAAATGCAAATAAGGCCTGGCTATAATCGCCAAAAGACAAACAGATAAAGAGTTAATTATGACTTAATTACCGTAGCTTAGCAAGATTAATTAACTAGTAGCTGAGGTTTTAGAAACTCAATATTTGATCCCAATGTTTTTGAAACCATTCATAACTTAACCCGTTTCATTAATTTCGAGATTTTTTCCAATTTATTTTGTTTTTTCATATTAAGAAATAGAAAAAGGCCAAAAAAAAGTAGATAAGATGGGAAAAATTGATGACAAAAGAAGGCATTCTTTGAAACAATATACTACTAAATTAAGTATACTCAACACTAGGTTTAATTACTTTTTTTACTGTATGGATTTATTATTATTATTATTTTTAGGGATTTATTATTTTATTTTGATAAACTACAGATACTAATTTTGTAATTAACTCATAAATAAAACTGCTATTCAAGAACTACTCAGTTCTGATGCCCTGAGTGCCAGAATGTCCATGAAGAAATCTATTAGTGGCCCTACTCTTCAGAAAGAGCGCATGACTTGGAATCCTATCTCCTGTGTTTGAGAAGTTTAAACATTCTGTATCATTAACTAGAATACTGGTTTTAAGCCAACTGAATTTGTTTTGTTTTGTTTTTTTTCCTGGTGTCAGATAAGCAAGTCTTTCTTGTCTGTAAAAATCTTTCCCTCTGACATATTGCAGCAGCAACCACTGCCAATATCTGAGCTGCAGGAGATTATTTTCCTTCCTTCCTGATTATTCAATGAACGTATACATCAAAGGCACTGACAGAGATTAGCAATTAGGGGGCCGCAACTATCGATGCCTTTATCATCAGTGACAATTCTGAGAGTGACAATTGATAGGTAAGTTGCTCCAGAACAAATTAAAAAGCAATAAGAAATTTAGAGCTAGTGGACGTGCCTAAATTAGATGGATAGAAGTTTTGTGATTGAATATTTATATGGTAGTGTAACCTCTTTCACGCCATTTTGATCAGATTTGTCATTTTCAGCCTGAATTTATATCAAGGCCTCAAGTCATTTGGAATGCGACATATGAATAAAGAATTTCGCATGATAATTGAAATGCGGTGGAAAGATAAAAAATGAGTTGAAATAATTCATTCAAGGCAAGGAAGTAACATCATGGAACTATGGATAACACAAACTTGCCTTGTGGTTCATGTATCGTTATTCCTTTATTGAAGCTTTCAAGCATTATATGTTAAGCATATTGCTCAGACATAATTTGATCCAGCTATTCTTCCAAGTGACTAACCATGTTTAATTTTGCAAAAACTCCCTCTATGTGGCATAGATCGATCTGTGGTAATAAATGAATTAGAGTTGCATAACTTCTTGCATTAGATTTGTTTCAAAGTCTTTGTTTTCATCAGTACTATCTGCATTCTGCAGTCCGAGTGTCAACAAGCATATATCAAGCTTCTATTTTACAGTGCCTCGAGTAGGATTTGAAGTCCATATTGTGGGCTTATTGTTAGAATGTGACGTGGTGAATGAACATAGGTGGGTGACAAAGTGAGCCTGTAATGCTGTAGAATCATAGAGAGTGCAATCTTAATTTCTGACAGTGCAAAGTTCAAGCCCACACAACTTCGAGGTCCCAAGCCGAATGGAAGAAATGCAGTGACGTTATTCTTTGCAGCTTTGACTACTCCATCTGCAAATCTTTCTGGTTTGAAAAGGTGAGCATCTTCCCCCCATATTTGTGGATTATTGTGAAGTGCAAGTACTGAAAGACAAACAGTCGTCTTTGCTGGAACAATTAGCTTCCCCAATTTGACTTCCTTTTGGACTTCTCTTGTGAGATTGAAAACTGGAGGATATAGCCTTAAAGATTCATTGACAATCATGGTCATCTACAGGGAAAAAGCAGAGAATTTATATACCTAACTGATCAGAAGTAACCAGTTACTGCATAAATTGATGAACTTGATTAAGCAGTAAGCACTATGGTATGCTTACAGTTTTCAATCTTCCAATACTATCAGGACATGGATTTTGTTGGCCAAATAATTGAAACACCTCCTCCCTTGCTCTGTCTTGCCAATCTGTGTGAATTGCTAGGAAGAGAACCGTCCAGGTAAGTGAGCTTGTAGTTGTTTCATGTCCAGCAACATAAAAAGTCTTGCACTCATCAATCAGATCATCTATTGATATTTTCCTGGTCTTATCATTTTCGTGATGAGCTTTTAGAAGTAGACCAAGAAAATCACTTCCATAACTAGCTGGTTCAGTACCATCATCGCCTCCTCTTTTCTCTATCACCTTTAAAATAGAGTCACGTATGCCTTGATCAAGTTTCTCTGATTCAATATCATCCCTTGTTTTGAAAAATTTTCTGCCAAAACAGAATACTAATAACTATGCACTAAAAAATTAATAAAAAAGCAAAGAGATACTAACTCACCACTATAAATCATGTTTTAATAGAAAAGGAGAGGTATGAGGTATACTTAATGCCAGAAATTCCAACTTTATAGTTGTTTCTGCCGACTATGAGAGCCATTCTCGTCAGCATATCAAAGATGTTCTTCGCTTCCAAATAACTGCTTCCCAAAGCAGCCCTGGAAATTATCTCTGATGTTAGGACCTTGAATTCTTGGAAGACCTCAATTTCCTTGACTCCATACTGTCTCCACCTGTCAAGCATTGTCTCTACACTGGCGATCATTGCTGGAATCATCCCCTATAAGAAAAATCATCTGTTTGTTCAATTTAGTTTCTGCCATACTTCCATCAGTACACATTACTGTAGATTTCATCAACAACGGAACAACAAAAGCAATAACTTACTTTCAAGCTGTCTGCATGGAATGCGTGGTTCGCTAGTTTACGCATCTTAAGCCATTTTTTACCTTGGGACAGTACAAGTCCATCCCCTAAGAGCTTCTCTGCATAATTTTGGATCACTAATTTAGGATATGCTCCATCTTTATTGCTCAATACCTCTTTGATCAGCTCAGGTTCAGTAATTACCAATTGAGCTCGAGGACCATACCAACTAAGAAAGTTCATCCCTGAAAGAATTTGCAAATTAAGAATTTTCATTGAGATCAACTTCCATTCAAGAATACAGTCCTTGAAGGTTAAAACAACATATATATATAAATCTTACCATATAGCTTGATCCATGAATAAACATGAGGCTGAATTCTAGCAAGCATCTGGTGGGATAATTCCATTGGACTGCTCATGATTTCATTTCTCATATTGTAAATCTCTTTGGTGTTTCCATGTAGGAATCTGTAAGGAGGACCTTTCATGCCTTGCGACCGCATCGCAGATTGTATTCGGATTGGATTCCACCATACTTTGTTGAAGAACTTTATAAGATGTAGAATGAAAAACACACACAAGCAACTTAAAATAAAAATTATCACCGCTTCCACCACCACTGCAGGCATATCTCTTCAACTTTAAAGTTATTATCAACCCACTGATTTACTCATTAAAAAGGGCTCCTTAGGAATCTTGAAGGGTTACAAGATGTGATAAAATAGGATTCTTGGCATTGGATCTGTCTGTAGAGAGAACAAAAATACTTAAGAATACATATTTTATTTTGGTGCAAGGGGAAATAGATATTTTATTTTGAGAATCACATGGTCTTTGTTGGCCAATGTCACATTCTAAATAAACCTCTCCTGAACATTATCGAGATATCCCATTTTTTAGACAAGCAGCTGACTTCACTTAGTTGTCACATGTCTCCCAACTTAGGGATGTGACAGGATAGACAATTTTCCTAATTCTTCGCCAACAATGTAACTTTTCCTTGCTGGAACGAATCTCCTTGTTTTCCCTCTCAGAATTTCCTTAGGACCACAATTGGACAATGATCTCTTTTTTTTTCCTTCCTTCCTCCTTTTGAATTAGAATCAAGTTCATATTCTATTAGTTTAATAGTTTACCATTTTCAATTAGAAGTTGGGGAGATAATTTCCCAAAATAATCCAGCTTTAAGTTTTCCTGAAATTAGAACAGAATTGATATACCGTGCATGATATTATGGTATGTGGTCATTGGTGATCTCACTAAATAATTTCAGGCCTTCTCATCATCTAGTACTCTTCCTTAAGATACTTGATAAATAGTTGATACAGTGGCAACAATAAGTAATTATTATGCTTGGTCTGTCCCACAAATGCCAAATGAGTAAAAAATTGCAATTTAAAAGCTTAATCCAGGAAATTTTACTTTCTTAAAACGAGGGACAACCATAACATTTCCGGTATTTCCAGTTTAATTTGTTTGAATATTGTTATTTATTGTGCTATCAAAAGCACGATATTAGTAGAAACTGCAAACCTTCATGCTCCAGTTACCAGTAGAATACTGGGTTTTAACATATGGTGTCCTGTTCTTTTAATTTGTCAACCTGGTTCTTCGATATGCAATGTGATTGCTTTTGATATTTGTGATCTCTCCCTCTCAAGTATGAATTAACAGAGAGGTGCAGATAGTAGTGGCTCATGGGGATTTAAATGTGGGCTGCAATTTGAGGGGAGAAAAATGAAGTGGAAGTCAAACTCAACAAATTAATTATTGTGTTTGAGCATAAAGGCCATGCCTCGGATTTTACAGTTTTTAAATCTGACATCTGCTATTTTCATTCATGATAGTTTTTAAATTCAAGACATTAATTCGTGAAGGTTCTGGTCTACTTTGCCTCTAGCATGATTTGAAGTCCACGTTGCGGGCACAACGTGAGAATTCGAACTGGTGAGTGGACCTAAGTAGGGGACAGACTAAACCTGTCGTGCTGCAGAATCATTGAGAGAGCAATCTTCTCTTCTGTGATAGCAAAATTCAACCCTGCACAAGTTGTAGGCCCCAAACCAAACGGAAAGAATGCAGAGATAGTATTGTCTGTAGCCTTTGCTGCCCCTTCTGCAAATCTTTCTGGTCTAAGAAGGTGGACATCTTCGCCCCATATTTGAGGGTCATGATGAAGTGCTAAGTTGGAAATTTAGACTTCCATATTTGCTGGAATGGTTAGATTTTCTACTCTGACTTCTCGTTCGACATGCCTTGTTATGTAAACAACAGGAGAATATAACCTTAGAGATTCATTGGTGATCAAGCTCAACTGCAAAGTGAAAGGATACCAATTGATCGGAAATAAGTAACATAATTCCACAGAAACTGGTAAATGCGGTCATAGGATAAGATTTTCTTACGATCTTCAGTTTTGCAATGCCATCTGCTTGGATTTTGTTCACCAAATAGTTGATAAACCTCTTTTCTTGCTTTTCCTTGCCAATCTGTGTGAATTGCTAGAAGAAGAATAGTCCAAGTCAACGAACTTGTGGTTGTTTCTGTTGGAGTGGGAAATATCTCACATGGAAAAGAATACAAGGCCATAATACTGAAACGGTACATCATTTTTGTGTGGACTGGCCTGCTACTAAAAGAAGTAAGTTGTGGTAAAGACTCAAGCAAGGGTACCAGTGCAAACTTGAGATCTTAAGTTAAGTTGTAGCTCCCAACAGAAGAATTGAGACTTTGCACCGAGAGATGGAGAGAGAAAAGATAAAAAGTTAAGTGCAAACTTGAAAGAAGAAGCCAAGAAAGGGTACCAGTGCAATCCTCACAAGAAGGGCCTCACAAAATAATTCTAACAGTTTCATGTGCCAGCCTGTGAGGGCCTCACAAAAGAATTCTAACCTGTGAGGGCCCAACAAAAGAATTCTAACAGTTTCAGTTTCATGTGCCAGCCAGCAACATAAAAAGTCTTGCACTCATCAATCAGGTCATCCACAGAAGATTTCTTAGTCTTATCTTATCTGGATCATTACAATACTTGACAAGCGATCCAAGAAAATCATTTCCATAGCCTTCTAGTTTAGCGGCCATAAGTTCCCTCTCTCTTTTCTTTCCCATGTTTATGATTGTGCCTCGGATCCCTTGTTGGAGTTTGTCTGATTCAATGTCATCATTTCTTTTGAAAAATTTTCTGCAATAATTGAAAGTGTTGCTGATTTAGTTTAGAAAAGTAATCAAGAATCCATGCTCATGCTGGTAAAATGATCTATCTTTTTCAATAAGACTGGTTAAATAATGAAAATTGTCTGAGTCTGTGGTAATGCTGTCTTAGAAGGATAAGGGGATGCAGGGAAAACCTACACAGTCAGGTGCCTGTCAGATTTTCAACTTTCAGCAAGTTGTTTTTAAATAAACCAGGGAAAATTTCTGTTGAAATGTAAAGGAAGAAGCATATTTAAATCCAGGAAATCTAACTTTGAAATTGTTTCTCGCAGTAATAAAAATCAACTTGATCAACATATAAAACATGTTTTCCCCTTCCAGATAGCTGCTTCCAAAAGCTGTCCTGGAAATGATTTCTGATGTTAAAATCTTGAATTTTCGGAATGCATCAATCTCCTTCCCATTTCTCATGCATCATCTCCACCCCTGCAACCATTACCGGACCATATCCTACAAAGATATCCATTATTTTTGCTCCACAATAATGCTGGCTGAAGAGCATTAGTATGCTTTACAAACACCACAAAAGCAACATTAGCAACAAAAACAAGAACCTACTCTCCAGCTTGCTCCATGGAAAGCGTGATTCATATTTAACCATTTTCACCTCTGGATATGTCCATCCCCTAATAACTTATTGTTGTATTTCTGGAACCCTCCTCTGGAATATGTCTCTTCTCTGCTGTTCAGAATTTCCTTAACCATCCGAGGATCAGTGACCACCAACTGAGCTCGAGGACCATGCCAATAAATGAAGTTAGTCCCTGCACCTATTTGTAGACATATTATTGCAAGGTGGTTCGAGAATTCTACCAAGAGCACTATCATTGAAAATCTAATCAATGGTTATCCTTACCACAGAGCTTGATCAATGAATAAATGTGTGGCTGAATTCTTGGTATTGTATGATGGGACAATTCATTGGGATTAATTATGGTACCTCTCATTTCTCATATTGTTTATCTCTTTTGTGTTTCCATAGAGGAATCTGTAAGCAGGGCCTTTTATTCCTTGTGACCTCATCATTGATTGCAAGCAAATTGGAGTCTATCATGCTTCTTTAAAGAACTTGCAGAGAATACAGAGGAAGTATAACCACAGACAACCTGAAAGGTAAGTTATCAGGGTTCCTATCACCACTTCAGCGGTGTCTTCTTTCTATCTATATCGGATTACTTTCCATGATATAAGGTTCCTAGGAATCTCTATCTTGTAGTGGGAGGTAGAAACTAAATTCTACTCATTGGCTCTATTAGCAGAAGAGGCAGCAGAGAGAAACCACTGTACATTAACTATAACATGTTTTTGTTTCATTGACTTCCAGTGATGACATTGGGTGCACATTTTGACATGATAGCAAGAGATTTGACCTTTTCCACTAGTAGCTTAACCATATCTAACACGAGTTTTTTTTACCCCTTGTTTTGGCTTTAGAAAATGCTGCTAGTTCTATTCTCAGGTTCTTGTTTCACACCAAATAATATACTTGGGTATCCCGTCAAAATCAGCTTTCTTCAAAATTAGTTTCCAATCACAGTTCATAAGTCAAAACAAGGAGATGTGCTACCACCATTTTGCACAAGTCAGGCCCTGACTATTCCTAAAGAAATCGTGTTATATTTAAGCAGATCCAACTCAGCATGACGTGCACAGCTTCTGTACATTGCTCTTTTCTTTTTTCTTATTTTCTTTTCTTTTCATTCTTCTCTTTTCTTCAATCAACACTTGCTAAAATTATAACTGTCATTGCCATAAACCATTCTGCATAGAAACAGAACAAACTAGCTAGACAAAACAAAAATCAAGAACTGACAACCAATATGCAAGACTTTTGTTCCTCACTTAATCTCTACCCGTATGTGTATATATGACTCTTGGTAACTTATATCTGCTTCTTTTTATAGCTTTATAATTTTGCTCCAATCTTTTACTCACTCTCATAAACTCTTCACATTTGTGAATTGCTAAACTCAATCAATAATGAAAGCAGGAAATTATCATGCGAGGGAATCCACTGAATTGGAAGGATAAACTAATATAGAGAACTATATTACCAAAAAACTCTCCCTTTCATGAGTCGCTTAGTTGTAGATCATAAGCCTGCATCACGTTACATGGTGCTTCATAAATAGCAGGACAGTTTCCAGTGCTCATCATGCGTTATATCATGCCACTATCTGATTAGAGTAGCTAATTGCAGAATTCCAAATTCTTAGTTTAAGATGGCAGATTTAAAATTCTGAATGGCCTTGACCTCCATGTGCTTTACCATACATTTCAAGTGAGGTTATGAGCAACCACAAAGGCCACAGTTTTTTGAGCAAACTTCTATTTGTGAATTTCAATTAAACGTAGAATTGATGCAAAACTTTTCCTCTTCCATTTGAAATGCAGAAATTACATGTATACTACATTATATAAAGTCATGCGTGGTAGCTTAATGGATTTATATTGGATGCTAAACAATCTCATTTTCGATTCGTAATATCTGGAGGTAAGAAAAATACAAGGACATACATACAAAAATACGAACATATAAATAGAGTGCAAATTTACAAGGCCTCAAGCATGATTTGGACTCCATGTCGTGGGGACATTGTAATAAGGTGAACTGGTGAGTGGACATAAGTTGGAGATAAAGTAAACCTGTAATGCTGGAGGATCATTGCGAGCGCGATCTTTGTTTCGGTAACTGAGAAGTTTAACCCCACACAACTCCGAGGTCCCAAGCCAAATGGAAGAAATGCAGCCGTGTTACTGTTTGTAGCTTTAGCAATCCCATCTGCAAATCTCTCTGGCTTGAAAAGGTGAGCATCTTCTCCCCATATTTCAGGGTTTTGGTGAACTACAAGAAGAGGAACAATGATTTCTGTATTTGCTGGAAGGATTAGCTTCCCCAATCTTACTTCCTTGTGGACTATCCTTGGGATCTGAACAGCAGGACAATATAATCGTAGAGATTCATTGATAATCATGCTCACCTACAGTAGGAAATGAGAGAAAATTTGAATGATAATTAGATGAAAATAATATACTCGTTCCAATTTCCGATGTTGGTAAAAATATAAATGCTGTTAAAAGCTAGCATAAATTTCAGTATTAAAACAACTGTAATAGTACTGAAATGCAGTGAGGATGCGTGGCATTTCCTCAAACAATGCCAACGAAAATTTTTAAAACTTGCTGCTAAAAGTCGATCTTATTTTCTCTACTTTATGCGTGCTTACTGTCTTTAGTTTTGCGATGCCTTCTGGGCTTGGATTTTGTAGGCCAAATAATTCAAGGACCTCCCTCCTGGCTTTATCTTGCCAATCTGTATGAATTGCCAAAAGAAGAACAGTCCAGGTGAGCGAGCTTCTGGTTGTTTCCTGTCCAGCAACATAGAAGGTTTTGCATTCATCAATCATGTCTTCAACAGATATTATTTTTGCCTTGTCTGTGTCATGATGAGCCAACAACAGTGATCCAAGAAAATCACTTCCAAAGCCACCCCATTTGCCCTCCATGGCTGCTTTCTCTCTTTTCATAATCATATTTATGAAGCTATTTCTTATCTCTTGCTCGAGTTTTTCTGATTCAATATCATCACTCAGTTTCACAATGTTTCTGCAAGTGGAAAAATGATAATGATAATTCAGAAGTCAGAAAGGTTCTGCACTTACAAAAGGTAGGTCAATAAATTTGTAGACTAATTACAACTTCTGTCTGTGGCCACCGCAGGAACACAAAATAAAACCTAGTTAACTAGGATCAAATGGATGTTAAGGAACTGGAGAAAGGGAGGAACCATACCCAATTCCTGGAATTGTAATTTTATAACTGTTCCTGATAATAATGTCACCCATTCTCGCTAACATGTCAAATATATGTTGTCCTTCCAGGTAGCTGCTCCCAAAAGCTGTCCTGGAAATTATTTCTGATGTCAAAATCTTGAACTCTTGATACACCTCAATCTCCTTGCCATCATGTTGTCTCCATCTTTCTAGAATCACCTCCACACTGGCAATCATTGCTGGAATCATGCTCTGTGAAAGAAAAGAAAAGAAATTCTTTGATCATACGAGTCGTTTTAATCTGTAAACACTTTAAAACAATTAAGAAAACTGAAAAAAAAAAGGGAATAAAATGAAAATAGTACTACTTTCAAGCACTCTGCATGGAAAGCATGGTTTGAAAGTTTTCGCAGCTTTAACCATTTTTCACCCTTGGTTGCTACAATTCCATCTCCCAATAGCTTCTTCATGTAAACTGGAAGCTCCTTTTTTGGAAATGCTCCGTCTTTATTGCTAAATATTTCTTTGATCATATCAGGTTCCGTCACTATCAGTTGAGCTTGAGGACCATGCCAATACAGGAAATTCATCCCTAGAAAATTGTTTGTATGTAGAGGAAAAAAATATTTAAAATTCCGCCGAGTTAGTGCTCTGGATAAATTAAAAATTTGCTGCAAATAAAACTTTGTTATTAATTTACCATATAGCTTGATCCATGCATGAATGTGTGGCTGTACTCTAGGGAGCAACTCATGATGTGATAACTCCGTGAGAGTGCTTTTGACACTCTTTCTCATATTGATAATCTCTTTGGTGTTGCCATGGATGAATTTATAAGAAGGGCCTTTGATTCCTTGTGTCCTCATCATAGATTGTATGCGAATTGGTTTAAACCATTGTTTGGTCAAGAACTTGACAAGAAATGAGAGGAAGGCTAAACATGATATGCAACATGAGAGATAGATGGCCAGGGTTCCCATTAATGGTCGCTGGCATGAACTAGCTAGGAATATGAAATGGGATTACACTCCTTGATATTATATGAAGGACTTGGGAGATTATTACCTTATGGCAGAGGGTGATAAACTATAGTTGATGTATACATTTACTGAACGGAAGCAACGAAGATGACCATTTGTTGCTTGTTAAATTTCTCGCAAGAAATGTCGTAGTAATTAGTGGATAGCATTACCAAAGATTTTATAACCCAATAATAATTGTCTTTGCAACAAAAGATCATGTATTCAAATTTTAACAGACTAATTCTATAAAAAAAACTTTGAGTGTATAAGTTAAAAAAAATTAGTGGATAGCACTGCTGGCCGCCGTGGCAGAACCCCTCTAATTAAGAAGAAAACATTGTATTAATGCCAAAACCTGACGGGAACATATAAAGAATCTTCAAGTGAAAAGCCCCGTAATTTTAGACATATGCCACTATTATAAATTGGCATTTCTTGCGTTGACAACTAGGTGATGACAAGGTATAATTATTTTCGTAAGTTATGATTGATGGACCAATAGTTAGGCCAAGAGAGTAGGGATCAATAGGTATTGAAAGAATAAACAAAGTTTTATTAAAAATATAAAAATTATGGACAAAACTTAAAAGACAAAACACATATAAGATAAAGACAATATGCATAAAGTTGATGAACTTGAAATAATTAAGCACAAAATAATAAATTAAAGGGAGTAGGAATAAAGAAAGCAAATACAACGATTTATTTTAGTTCGGCCACGTCTACATCCACTCTCTTAAGTATAATTTGAGATTTCCAATTCACATTGGGTTTCTACTTTCATAGGTGAGGAAGAAAACCTTGTACAATTTTTTTTTTTTTTTGGTTCAAAAGCAATTCATTTGTTTTAGTGTCAAGTTCACTTTAACCAAAATTTATAAAGAATAAAAGTAATCTAAATAATTATACTCACTCCAAGATTAAATAAATCAAATTTTAAGCATATTAAAAGAGAATATAATTTATACTAGTCTCTAACACATCTCCTTAAGTGAAAGGCCTAACATTTAGGGCATGAAATTTGCACGGATTCACGTTGCCTTGTGTTTAATATTTGAGAAATTGAGGATGGTGAGACTTGAACTCGGGACCTCAAGGTCAACCAAGCTCTAATACCATATTAAAGGACCATCTCATCTAAAAGCTTAAGCTGATAGATGAGGTCCTAGAATATAATTTATACTAGTTTCTAACAAAGCACAATATATAATAATTCAATCAATTAAACTCTCAAAAAAACATATTTATAGCATGCAAATGTTTCTCTCACTTTTCCATCTTTTTTCTTGGTAAAATTTATAGAAATGATGGATATTTATAGGGCTTTTAAGATACTAGCCATTACTCCTTGTATGGAAATAGCCGTTTCACAAAATCTTACCAAAATGGATAAGATATCGGTCAAGCTCAACTCAGGCGGTCCTAGACCTCGACTAGATCGATTCTGGCCCTGTTATGACGGTAATCCTGCTTCTGTTCGTCTAGTCTAATATTTTTCTTTCTAGGTCCAAACTTGATTTTTTAAAGATGCTCCTCATTAATTAGGTTCATATGACTCCCACGAATGTGTTTCTAACGTCTTTTCTAATATGATTTGAGAGCATTATGATTATCATCAAATATATTTAGCTATTTTATAATAAGATGCAAAAATTAAACTAAAAATTTTAATCACTTGAAAACTTCAATTTTTATACTTTTGAAGATGATGTTCAAGATATTACTTCATTGACTAGAGAATCATATAATCTTCTTTTCATGCTTGTAGAATATTGTGCTTCCATATATATATATATACACGAAATGTCCATCATAAATAAGCGTAATCCAATGTTGCTTTCACCTATCTTAATCACATACTAGATATGATATTAAATAATTTCAAATATAATAATTTTACTTAAATCAAATTAGTTTGTTAGTCTATTAAAATTAGAGTTCATACTTCTTGAGTAAATAACAATGCTCTATAAAAATACCATTTCTGTCTTTGACTAATATTTTTTGGGGCATGCCTTGCCATTAAGTTTTACATTTTTCATATATATATATATATATATATATATATATATATGTATGTATTGTGAATCGGATGTCTCGTTAGAGTAACATACTATCGTTACTGTTACATATAGAGATTTATAGATGTAGATTTAGTTGGATAGATGGACCAACACAAAATACAAAACATAGTTTAATTCATTTGTTGGTTTTTGTAGCTTTTCAACTTCCACTCCCGTTTTTCTACAGAATATGTATTGTGCAAAAATGCTTCCAGGCTTCCACCCCCTGTCTATTATCAGAATCATCAGCAATTACAGACTATTATTGAGAGTTGATAAAACATAAAAGTAGTCATACTCTACACATTCCCAACTTCAGTATTTTTTTTTTTCCTGTTCTGTTGTTCACATTGCCTGGATCATGACTTGAACTCCATGCTGTTGGCACATTCCAAGAAGGAGAAGTGGTGAACGGACACAATCAGGTGATAGGGTGATCCTGTACCGCTGGAGAATCATTGAGAGTGCAATCTTTTTTTCATTATATGCAAAGTTCATTACCACACAATTTCTAGGTCCCATACCAAATGGCAGAAATGCTGAAATGTTACTTTTTGTGGCTTTTGCCACCCCTTCTGCAAACCTCTCAGGCTTGAAAATACGAACATCATCTGCCCATATCTGAAGGTCATGGTGAAGAACTAGAGGTGAAACATGGACCTCCATCTTTTCTAGAATAATTAGATTTCCTAATCTCGTTCCTTTTTTTTACTTCACGTATGTTGGCTGAATCAGCTTGTGTGTTCAAAAAACAACAACAAAAGTTGCAGGTATGGAAGAGAAACACAATGGGTCGCTAACAAATCATTGAAGACATGAAAAACTCACTCAAATCAACACAACACGTCTGTCATTTTCTGCAGAATCAGCTAGAAACAGGGGAGGTTTTCTTTCTTTTTTTCTCTCAGGTTTTGCTCTCTTGCAATTCCAGAACATTCAGCCCTTTTTATAGTAACAAAATCATAGAATCTTAGCTTTACAATTGTTCACTTTGATCACCACTTAAGCTAACTCTAGTTACATTAACTTAACACAAGTTAAACTAACTAAAGTTAAGGTAAATATCTGTCAGCAGTAACTTTAACTAATTACAGCATATTAACCTTAACAACGTAGGACTCTGACAATAGGGGGATATAACGTTAGAGATTCATTGATAACCATGATCATCTACAATGGAAGAAACAAAACAAAAGAACTAAGTACAGTACTTTGAATACAACATAATAAGTAGATAAATTCCATTAGACTCTATAATCGTTTTTGCTTACGGTCTTCAATCTTGAGATGCCTTCTGGACTTGGATTCTGTTGCCCAAACAGTTCGAGTACTTCGTTCCTCACTTTTTGCTGCCAATCTGCGTGCATTTATAGCAGTAAAACAATCCAGGAAAGCGCACTTCTCATTGTCTCTTGTCCTTCAGTGCAAAAGCTTTTGCACTCGTCAATCAAGTCATCTATTGTTAGCAGGTTCGTCTTATCAGCACTGCGATAGACCTTCAATAGTTGTCCAAGCAAATCACTTCCAGCATGATCATCCATTTCACCAGTCATTGCCTTCCCCTCTCTTCTCCTTATTATCTTTATTTATGCTTTGGTCAAGTTTCTCTGCTTCATTATCATCTCGTGTCTTATAAGTTTTTTCTGCTACCATAGAAAGTGGTAATGTAAAAAAGTAAACAAGTGAAAACACAGCATAATACTTGTATTGAGTGCCTTTCCAATTGGAGATCAAGGAGCTTTGCACGATTCTTTTCATTTTAAAGAAGTTTCTGGTGTAAAGGAGAACCATCTTCATCAACATTTGAAATCTGCTGCCCTTCCAAGTAGCTGCTTCCAAAAACTGTTCTGGAAATTATTTCTGATGCTAAAACCTTGAAATGCTGGAATACCACAATCTATCTGCCATCGTGATTTTACCATCTTTTAAGCATCACCTCCACACTCGAAACCATTTCTGGAATCGTTTCCTATATCGAGTAGAATATATTGTCAGCTGTTAGGAGAAGCTCTTTAACATAAATAAATTGCACCTCTGCATGTGTACATCAATTCTGACATAAAACTACATAAACATGTTTGATGGACTCTTCAGAAACAACTATTTCCAGTAACAAATACAAGAAATTACTTTCAAGGTCTGTCCATGGAAAGCATGATCGCGCAGCTTAAACCATTTTTCACCTTGGTCGTCCCAAGTCCATCCCAAGAGAGCTTCTTTATATAAGGTTTCAACTCAGCTTTGAGGTAATTTCCATCTTTATGGTTCAATATCTCTTTAATCAGTTCAGGTTCAGTGACAACCAATCGTGCCAGACTACCTTTCCACCTAAAGAAATTCTTCCCTGCACCAATATGGTTGATGACATTAGTGATTTCATTTAGAAGCTTTGAATCAAGAAGGATGGATGGCATAATCCCATGGGACTGCTCATGCTCTCTTTTCTCAAATTGATAACCTCTTTCAAATTTCGATGTAGGAGTCCGTAAGAAGGGCCTTTTACTCCTTGCGAATGCAAGGCAGATTGTGTGCGAATTGGAGTCCACCATACTTTGTTAAAAACTTGATGAGAAGCAAAAGAAAGTATAGGCATATGCAACTTGAAAGGAAGATTATGCTGATTCCCATGGCCACCACAGCCATGTTTTATAAATTGATCAGTATGCACAGCTTTAGAAAACCCTCAGCTTGTTGTGCTGGGTAGCTGAAAGTGTATTTTGGGAATTAACTAAATAAACTAAAACAAAATGTTAGTTTACTGTCTCAAATACTATTCATACACTAATATTTCACTATTCATTGGGTTTTTTTATACTTTGGTCCTTGATATTTGTTAATAAATATTTCGATTCACATCTTTATTTTTTCATCTATTTTGGTCCCTGGATGAGAGAGAAGTGAGGGGGAAGAGAGAGGCTGGAAGAGAGAGAGATCACCGGCTAAGCTTATTTAGGTTACTTTGCAAGCATAAATCCACTAGATTTTTTTATTTTTGAGAGATGAGTTTATCCTTGGTTGTTTTAAGTCATTAAACAATTAGAGAAGGTAGATAAAAGCCAAAAGGAAACAATGTTCCGATTTGATTATGTAATTTTTTATTGTTTTTGTATGCATTAAAATGATTTTAAGGTTTTAGATATGTTTATTGGCTTTATTCGGTCATTTAGAGGTGTTTGGGAAAAAAAATGATGCAAGAATTCAATTTCTAGGGGTTTGAAACTTGATTCTTGATTTTTCAATGAAGATTCCAGCGACCTCGATTTATCGAAAGTTGCGGACTTTTTATTTTATTTTTTTGGGTCTTGAGTAGCAGCCCAGGCTTGACGAGCGAGCCCAACCAACCTCAAGCACACAAGTTTTGTTTTGTTTTGTTTTTTTTTTTTTTTTTTTTTTTTTCGGCTTAGGAAATTGACTTTCATTTTGGTCCCTTCTTTCTATTTTTTTATTTTGGTCATTAAACTTTTCTTATCTTTGATTTTTATCCTTATCGAAATATTAAAATTTTATTATATGTGATTTTTATCCTTATAATAAAATATTTTTTTAACTTTTAGTAAAAAATTATGTTCTTTTTTTGTTTCTATTTTTTAATATGTTTTTATTTTAGTCATTAAACTTTTCTCATATTTAATTTTTATACTTACTATACTCGAAACTAAATAAAGTTTACTATCCTAAGGTTGTTTTTTTTCTTTGTTTTCGTCATTAAATTTAGTAGAAATTTTTTTTAAAAGTCTTTGTTTTGGAATTGTTTTTTATTTTGATCATTAAATTTTTTCCCTATAAGGAACTATTTTTTATTTTTAGTAAAACTTTTTGTTATATTTTGGTTTTTGTTTTATGATCTTTCATTTATTTTGATCATTAAACTTTTATTATATTTAATCATTATTTATTCTACTTTAAAATTAAATACATTTTAACTATGCTGAGTTTTTTTTTTTTGTGGAAAAATTTTCTATTTTAATTCTTATTTTATTAACTTTTTTTATTTTGATCATTAAAATTCTATAATGTTTACTTTTGTTCCTTCCTTATGCATAATGAAATTTTTTAGTCTTATTGTTTATAAGTATTTTTTTTTATGCTTTTAGTGAAAGATTTATTTATTTATTTTTATCCTTTTTATAATCTTTACTTTGTTTTAATCATTTAATTTTATCGTGTCTAATTTTATCTCTATTTTCTTTGCTAAATTCTCGATTTGACAAAGCTTTTTTATCTTTTTGTTTTGAGTGGTCTCTCTCGTCTCATTAATAAATTACGGATGAATAATATATGATAAAAATTAATCATCAAAAATTCAAAAAGCTACCACATTATTATTTTAATTATCAATTATTAATAAAATTCACGTTTATATCAAGCAATATCTAATTACTAACATTATATTACTCAACTTTGTAGATTTTTTATTTTGCTAACCTTGCGAGAAAATTATGAAATATATGTTTTAGTTTTTTTTTAATTATTTTCACATGATATTGTTAAATAATGATTTATAAATGTTAAATTTTATATGAATAAATGCATAAGAATGTTGTATAACTCATCCCGCGGCAACGCACGGGATATATGCTAGTTTGTTACGATTGTGAAATCTAAAGACCAGATTCAACCATAGTTTTAAATAGCCGTCGTGGTTGCAATAATGGTATCGGATTGCGATAACGGATGCAAATTTTAACGACTAAATATAACGATTGCGGCTATCATTATTGTGACTCATTTATCAATTTTCATAATGCATGTTAATTTTATAGTTTTATTAAATAAACATATAATATTGTTAAGTTATATATGTACACACACCATTATAATTCAAAAATAATGGAAATATTAAAAATTAATTTTTAATTTAACTAAATTTTCAAATTATGGTTCATAAGATGTTATAATAAAAATTATAATTTAGTTATTAGTTGCTAGAGTGGAAGAAAGATTGACTTATAAGGTTTTTTTTTTTTTTTTTTTGTGAATGTGCAATAAAAGAAAAATAAAAATATTATTAATTTTTTAAAAATATACAAAGTAAAAGAAAGTAAATCAAAAAATCAAAATCCAAAACTCGGCCCAATACTATCACTTAAAAAGTATAAAAAAGATAAGTCCAATTAAACTTGTACAAAAATTAATAAGTCCAATAGACCATTTAAAAGTATGGATCCGGCCCAAAATATTAAGACACTAGGTATAAGTCAAATGCTAATATCTCTTAAGTCTAAACCTAAATCCATTCATGTTGCCTCCATCTCTTCTTCTTCCTTTTACATCTTGTTGCCTCTTCTTTTGTTTTCTGCAGCACCAGTTCTTTTTTTTTTTTTTTTGCCTTTCTATATTGATAACAATATCCTTAATCTTACTTCATAAAAAGTCGATTCTCCCTCTCAAAATTTTTTTCTTTGTGTTTCAATTAAATGTGATTGAAAATTGAAGCATAAATCTAAACATCAATGGAAGATAAGGTCATTTTTTCTAGTAGCAAATGGGTATAATAGCCGTTAACATTATATAATGATATAACGGATGTTATCTCTGTGAATCGTCAATATTTTAGTTTAGCATTGAAAAACGATAACGACTACTATCGATTCCGTTATATAACGACCGTTACATATGTAACCGTTGTTTTTTAAAACTATGGATTCAACACACACTATCACAAACAATCTAGTTCAATGAAAAAAATAACAAGATGCATAAAGAAAATTATTAACCAAAGAGTTTATAGCCCAATGGTAGTGGTTTCTTACAAGAGGTCACCGATTCAAATCTTAGCAAACTAGCTCTACTAAGAGCTTTGGGTATGTGAGTTAAAAAAAAAAAGTAATACAAGAACATGATTATAATTTTAATATTCAAATCTCTTTGTGCACCCACTCTCACACTCAAAGAAAACCTTCAATATTTGTGCTTTGCACATCCTAAAATCACACATCTACTCACCTATTTATAATGGCCAAAATCCTTGATGGACAAATAAGGAACAAATTTGATGATCAAGTATTCAAAACTTGGAGGCTACTCCACTCTTCTTTAGCTATTATTGTAGTTTATTACTTGGTCATTAGTCTAATAAATATAAGTCATAAGCCCAACAACCTTCACCTTGACAAATATTCTTGTCACCTTCAAGTTTGTTGGTTATACATGCTCACAAATATGAATATATATATATATATATATATATTAACACAACTACCGCCTTATGTATAACGATCCGTATTCTTTTTCAATAAGACCTTTCTCTTCACACTCGTTTGAAACTTGAGAATGAATAATTTTTTTCTCTTTTCCAATCACCAAAGAGACTATTTTCAATTAGCTACCATCTTGTGCATTGTATTTCCAACCATTTTTTGAGGTCATTGTCTTTCGAATTAGACGATATAAATTTGAAAATTTTGTTGTCATGTGTGACGTTCAAGACTCCACATATAGTGAAATAATTGTATCTTTTAAAGTCTAACTCGACTTAATGTTATTAGATTCCTAATTATCTTTAGGACATAAGCCGTACAATTTAAAGTACGGACCACTCCATCAAGTATTTTGATTTACATTGTTTCAAGATTTGCAACATTATAACACGACACACCACCCTAAAATTTGATGTTGATCTTTACTCCTTATAACTTATTAAAATATTTCTTCCTAGAACACACATGTAATCCACATGCGGAATCTAACATCCAACTATCATGAGAAAAAGTATCAATACTTTTAGAAATTTTGAGGAAATCTCCATAGTCTTTTACCTCGATCAAATAATTTTTACTATCATTAGATTGATCCATCTTTTTTTTTTTTTTTTTCTAGAGGACAATCTAGCTTGATTTGATCACATTATTTGCATAAGAAACATTGAATGCCCTTTTTGTTGGACTTGAACTTAGACATGCCATTCTAAAATCCCCGTTCAACCGATCTTTCTTTCTCATTCTTTCCTCTAATCACTAGTTCGGGGTCATATTTTTTTTTATTTGACTTTTTCTGCATCTCACAAGATAAAAGTATAAATTTACTATATTATTACCATACAACAACTTCATCACCAAATTGTCAAATCAATTAAGAAGAGAGGTAAGAAGAAAAAGGACTTTATCTTCTTTCTCAGTCTTGATATCAATTTTTCGTAGTTGATCTAGTATATCAATAAACACATTCAAGTGCTCCATGAGATTTTTGTCTTCTTCTATCTTTAGCTTGTAAAGTTACCACTTCTTATATAACCTATTGGTTAAACTCTTACTAGATAAAGATTTTTCAACTTTTTTCATATTGCATATGCTGAATCTTCATCCCCAATATTATTGACAATGTTATCAATAATACGAGTTGAATCATGCTCACACACCTTGATTCCAACTCCTCTCATTCATTCTCTATCTCTTCTAGTTTTCCATCGTTTCCCTTCAACACTTTAGCTAAGCCATGTTGAATAAGGATGTCTATCACTCTTTGTTTTTAAAGAGTAAAACTTTAGTTCTTATTAAACTCGTTACAAGGTAAATTTAAGCTTGAGTGTGCGGACATTATTCGCTATCAAAAGCCAAATCTCCCAAAACCAAACTCGATACCAATTTATTGAGAAATTAAGGATTAAGATTCAACACACACTTGTTAAGAAATGAATCAAGCAAGAAAATGAAATAAAAAGATACGAACAATCACACATCACAAAGATTTACATGGTTCGGCAATTGTGTTTACTTTACTGCTCGTACTAAAATTTCTTATTAGATTTTCAATCATGTACAAATAGAAAAGGTATTTTTCATACTAGCAAGACCACCTCGTTAACTCTTTGTAGTGTACTAAACTGTAGGCCACACTCATATCAATCTTCATAATTTCACAATACTATCATGAATAATCCAATTCAATGGAAGAAAAATAACAAAATTAATAAAGAGTGGACACACAAGATTTATAAGAATATTAGTTAAGAGTAATTTTTTACTATAAGAGAAAATTGATATAAAAATATGATTGTAATTTTTATATATAAAACCCAATCTTAAATCTTTTTGTACACCCACTCTCACACTTAAAAAATAAAATCTTGGAGCACTTGTGTTTTGCACACCCTATATCTACTCACCTACTTATAATGTCCAAAATCCTTGGTCTACAAGCAAAACTTGGTGGACAAGGAAGGATTACTAAGTTTACAAAACTTGTAGGTTACTCTATTCTTATTGATCATTACTTTACTCTATTTACTTGATTATTATTCCAAAAATATAAATTCGGGTCATAGTGGGAGAAATTAACTTCAAAATTTTGTTGATTCAAACATATTGGCCTTCGATAATAATATAATTATCATAAGGTGTGCTTGACAATGACATTATTAGAGATTAATATAAAATTATTTTTGAAATCTTATTTAATAGTTTAAGCTACTGGATTAAGCTAGTCTTTTGATATAATATTAAAGTTTTAATGACGAATAAGAAGATGTTTCTTATGTGTTTTAGTCATGCTCACCTCAACATAGGAATATATGTATATACACAAACGGACTCACATTAGAATTTGAATTTATGATCGATGGGTTTTAACAAGATAGTTTTTTTTTATCCTACCTAAATCATGACTTGGGTACATTTCGATATTTTCTTTGTTGTTGTGGCAAAAACAGTTCATTGAACTCCTAAAGGAATACAAGAGACCACCTAGCTGAGTGCACAAATTGTACAACAGTGCTGGTTGAATCACAGAATCCAACAACCAAATACAGAAAATGACACTTGTAACCTGGAAGGAAGATACCTTTGTTCCCGTGGCCACCACAGCCATGACTTTTCGAGTACGGTACAAGTTCAGGAAAAAAAACTTCAGAATTTCTTATATCAGTGAGTTACAGAACAGTGTTTTAAGCTTCAGAATTTTGTCAAATCAGACAGACTGGCCTTCCAATAAAATGATCGTCATGGCACATCTTGACAATGTCATTGACATAAACAACTTCACACAAGTTTGGTATAAGATTGATTATTTGACTAGAAGTGACTGTCTGATTAGGATTGCGTTGGTTAGTATTGCTTATCGTATCCCCACAATATGATATCCCTTTCGTTTCGTGTTTGAAGACGTGCTTGAATTATCCATGCTGGCCTCTTCATATGAAAGTGTATATACTCACACGGACACGCATTAGAATTTGGTGGACATGTCCTCAGTCTATAAACTGTACCAGTTAGAAGCCTGCTAGATAGCATCGAGGAATTTGAATTTATGATCCATTGATTTCACAAAGATTCTTCTATTTTTAGCCCTAAAAAACCATTTACATGGCTCACGTTCGATATTGTCTTGTTGTTTGCTGTCACTAAAATATAATTGAAGCTAGAGAAGTGAATACATGAACACCTTGTAGATGGCACACATTGTACAGCAGTGCTGGTTAAATTACAGAACCCAACAGCCAAATATAACAGATGACACTTGACAAGCTATATTTCTTATCAATTTGCAGCCAATCGAATTGTAAAGCTGTACAAAATACTTATCACTATCAACTACTGGAAATGTCATTATGACATTTTACTCCGCTTGGCATCCTTATTCCAAACTTGGTAAGAACAATTGGTGACCAAGAGGATATTCAGTTGAATTCTCTGTAAGCTACAATATCAAGTGCCTCAATATTTGCGCTCTGTTTCAGATTGCATCAAATGCATATTTTTCCAACAATTAAGCAACAGCTTTCACTCTACAATGAGTGAAGGATTACCTGAACTCCATTTCGGGGACAGAGTGTAACTGACTCATATGGTGAGTGGATATAGGTTGGGGAAAGGGTGAATAAGTATTTCTGCAAAATCATCGAAAGAGTAATTTTCGCTTCAGTTGTGGCAAAGTTCAAGCCCACGCAAGTACGAGGTCCTAAACCGAAGGGAAAAAATGCAGCAGGGTTGTTGTTTGTAGCTTTAGCAACTCCTTCTGAGAACCTCTCTGGTTTGAAAAGATGCACGTCTTCTCCCCATATTTGAGGGTCATGGTGAAGTGCCATATTAGCAATGTACAAGTTTATATTAGCTGGTAGAGTGAGCTGCCCAATTTGAACATCTGTCTCAACTTTTCTTATAAGGCCAAGAACTGGAGGATATAATCTTAGGGTTTCATTGATAATCATGCTCACCTGCATGAAAAACAAAAACAGAAGAAAACCTAGTAAGATATTGAAATGAAATGAATACAAGGCATAAATAAAATAATGTAAATTCAGACATTGGTAAGAATCAAATGCATTGTTATTTGATGATTTGATTTTATAATTTTCCTTACAATCCTAAGTTTTGCAATTCCATCTAGATTTGGTTTTTGTTGGCCAAATGTCTTGAAAACCTCCTTTCTGGCTTCCTCTTGCCAATCTGAATGGATTGCTAAAACCAGTATAGTCCAGGAAAGCAATGAATTAGTGGATTCCTGTCCCGCAATGTAAAATGTCTTGCACTCGTCAACCAAGTCATCTATTGAAATCCTCTTCTTCTCATCAGGATCGCGGTATGCATTCACAAGAACTCCAAGAAAATCATTCCCAAATCCATCTGTTTCTCCATTCTTCACCTTTTCTTCTCTTTTCTTTATTATCTCCATCACAGAGTGGTGTATTCCTTTCACGAGTTTCTCTGATTCTATTTCATCTTCAGTCCTCCAGAACTTACTGAAAACATAAATAAATAAGCATAATATTAAATAAAAAGACAAGTCTTATTAAGATAGCCATATTAAGCAATAGTTCATCATCTTCTACCAAATGTAGTTATTGTCTCCAGAGTTCTGAAGTTCTCTGCTTCTAACACTTACCTCTCATTTCACTAGTAATTTGGCATAAAAACTTTAGGTATGAGAATTTACCTAATGCCAGGAAGCCTAAGTTTGTAGATATTCCTATTTATTATCAGGGACAGCTTCGTCAACATGTCGAAAATGTTCTTCCCCTCTAAGTAACTGCTCCCAAAGGCTGTCCTAGAAATTACTTCTGACGTTAATAACCTGAATTCTTGGTAGACCTCGATCTCTCTGCCCTCATACTGTTTCCACCTTTCTAGAAGCATCTCAACACTGGAAATCATTGCTGGAATCATACCCTGAAAATCATCACTCCACACAATCAACGGTTGACCAAATATTCTCTTTCTGTGTGTTTGTGTTATGAGAATCGATAAATTCTGGTTTGCTTGTAAGTGTAATTTATTTGGCCTTTATAAGCTAGCATTTTTACCCTACCCAGTTTCATTGGCATTTTTTGTTCGAGTATTGTTTATATATGACCATTAGGTAGATTATTGGAAAGCAAAAATTGTAGTAGGGGGGATGATGGGAGCTTACTTTTAAGTTCTCTGTATTGAAAGCATAAGTGGACAATTTCCTATGTTTTGTCCATTTTTCCCCTTCTGATGTTGTGACTCCATTCCCTAACAACAATCTGAAATAGGCTGGAATGTCTCCTTTTGGATAAGCTCTATCTTTGTTGTTCAGTATCTCTTTGACTAGCTTCGGCTCCGAAACAACAAAATGAGCTTTAGGACCATACCAACTAAGATAATTCACCCCTACTCCAAAAGGAGAAAAATTTCAGAAAAAGAGTACAAAGAAAGAGATGAGTATACTTAATTTAGCTGTTTTCTTGAAGTTTGAATCATATTGAACAAGTTGTTACCATATGTGTTGATCCATGAGTAAATTTGAGGCAGAACTTTGGGAAATATGTTATGTGATAAGGTCATGGGTTTCGCCATGGCTTCCTTTTTCATGGTCTGCACTTCTTTTGTGCTTCCATGGATGAACCTGTAAGAAGGGCCTCTGATTCCCTGTGAAGCCATGAAATTTTGTATGCGAATCGGAGTCCACCATAGTTTGTCAAGGACCTTGACGAGCGTAAAAGTAAAGTAGATGCACAAGGAGCTAAAGAGAAGGATTATCATATTTCCTAGAAAAGCCATTTATTCTATTCTCTTGCTTCTTCTACAACGAATTTCAAAGAGTTAAGTACTTGTAGGTGGTGAACACACTATTATGATTTTCAGCATTTTTTTTGTTTTTTCTGTTCTTGAAGGTTCAGGAATCTAAGTTTGAGACAATAATGTAGTCGTGTTAAATAATCTGCAAATGATTGCTTTCATTAGCTCAGCAGTTATATATGGTCCCAAAAACTTTGGATCCATGTATAATCAGCCAGTTACGTACATGAATAATTTATTTGAATCTGGCTTAACATAGTTTGAAGCTGAAAGCAACACCATACGTTGACAATTAAATATTGCTAATATTCGCTCCACATCAACAACAATAATGCATAACTACAGTAACATAAGTTTTGCTATAATTTATGCACAGGACTAATTTTCGCATAATGTATTTACCGGTCTAAGTGAAGCCATAACATTGTGTATGCCAACTGGAGTCCACCATAGTTTGTTAAGAACCTTGAAAAGCATAAAGATAAGTTAGGTGCACAGGGAGCAAAACAGAAGAGTTAATCAGATTTACTACAGCAGCCATTTGTTTGATTCCCTCGTTTCTTCTACTGCATGTGAATTTCAAGAAATAGTAACAGGCTACAATGATTTGAGTATTTCTGCGTTCTTATGTTTAGGACTCAAATGTTTTGGAGAACGAAGACAGAAAAACGTTATGATTGTCAGATCAATCACCTATGGTTTGTAAAAGGATTTGGTATACCTGAACTTCCATGGTTGAAGTCTTAAAAATGTTTTCTGCTGAGTTATATAGAGGATTCCTACATAATTTAAATAGGATATGAAAGCCCAAGAAAATTATAGCTTTTAATGCTTTACCTTCCTCGATCAATTTCATTTTGAAACGATCTGTAAGATATATTTTGAAAATTGCACAGTGATCGAAGTCGCTTTCATTTTCTCAAAGAAACAAAACGGTTGACATCATTTGCTTGGTAGCGATTCGTGGTCCCAAAAGTTTTGCTTCCATAGTTTAAGTCCTTTGCTTCTTGAACAAGTTACCTACCTAGCATATATTCATTCTAGCTTTTTTTTTTTTTTTTTTTCCTAATAAGAATCGATAAGATTAGATTAAAAGCCAGCAAGAAAGTGGCAAAAAGGATACAAACAAAGTTACAAAGATTAGAACGAGACAAGAAATTTCTCATGTCTGCTAATACTATTCTTTGCTAGACTATCAGTTACAACATTCCTTGCTCTATTCCCTCTAACAAAACAAGCAGATATCAACCTATTAATAGAGGAAATAATGCTATTGAAATCACAATGTAATTTCCAAAACCTGTCATATGAACTCTTGTGAATCTAATTCATAGCATTTGAAGAATCTGATTCAACAATCTAAGGAACTTGTTGTGTTAGGAGATGAGAAACACTCAACTCTAGAGCCCTTTTGATTGTAAAAATTTCTGCTTCATTGGAGTTTCTTGTACTGGTTGGTCCTAAAAATACATAAGAAACAACCTCTCATGATATCTAAGAACACTCCCAGTACCTAAAGTTTCCCCATTAACCAGCCATCTACATTCCATTTCATAGATCCAATACCTTGCTTAATCCACTCTTCAACCACCCTATTTTGAATTTTGTTGGACCAATAATGAATACCATCCAAACTACAAAGTATATCATATCTTGTGTATAGCAAATTGTCCTCAATAGCTTTTGTCCAATAAGAAACTTGGTGAAAGAGAAGTGAGAATAAATACTCTCAATCTTTGATTATGCTTGGTTTGATATTTTTTAAAAATAAAATATAAAATCAAATATAAAATATGTAATTTTTTATTATGCAAGTTTGATATTTTTTTAAAGCAAAATAATTCGATTTTTAGAAAAAAAATGTAAAAAAAAAAAATTTGGTTTTTAACCGAAAACCGAACCGAAAAAAATTTGGTTTTTAACCGAAAAACCGAACATCAATTCGGTTCGAGTTTGGTTTTTTTTAGCCAATTTGGTTAATCGAAAACCGAAAAAAACAACCGAAACCGAACCAAAAAACCGAAGAACACCCCTATAAGTTATCATCAAATATGTACATATAGGGACCCAAATATTGAGTTTTCAAAACCAGAAGGATTAACTAATTATTTGATTAAAAGTACAAGTATCGAATAATAATTTACATGAAAAAGATATGATACAAACTTGTGACCAAAACAAGATATTTTATTCATGAGGATGAAGACATGGGTTTGACGATTAAAAAACAGTACAAAAGAAGTTCTCTAATTTTCCTCCTTTTCCACAAAAGGCTAGCTAATCACATGGTCCCATTTGAACCATTGAAGATTGCCATTATCACTATTTTCGAAATCTTTGAAACCCATAAAAGGTGTAAAAGAGTGCTCAAAGTGAAATTTATTCACCAGAAAATTCTGTCGTACTCGATCAAGATGTAACTAATGGTATATATTCAATTAATTTTATTAATTAATTGAAAATAAAATATTGCTGGTACTGTTGTTATTCCTAGGAAATAGAATTCCTTGGGGGGGTGGGGGTGGGGGTGGGGGGTTGTGTGACTGAACTGGCGAATGAAAGCCCACCTTTTATGGTCATCGTCATCTGTAGCATGTTAAACCCTCTCGTAGTTCCTTGCAAGCATCTACGTACTAAGCTGAAGTGCTTCTTTTTATTCGCTTATTTTGACTCTATTGCATCAGTGAAAGGTGGTTGAGCGTGCCAATCAATTTTTTTAAAAAAAATTCTCATGGACAGATGTTTATTTTGCTGGAACCTTAAATTCATTGCTCACAGGAGTTTTGTTTGAACCAGTGTTCAAAGCTGGATCAAAGCCTTTAAACGTAGAGAGCAGTGCTCTGGAAATAGGTAAGATTTCCTGGGTGGATATGTACTGGATAGTAGCTAATTCTGAGGGTGAGTAATTTAGAAAAGTGCTGGTTTTTAATATGAGCTTCTCGATTCTCAAACAATAATAATAATAGTGTTGCCTTGTAAGCAATGATTTTTTGAGTGGTGATTTCAAAGGAGAAATTTTATTGTTATGGGCACCTATATTGAAATAGAACAAGTCATATATAGATCAAAAGTGGAAAACTCCATCCCCAAATCTGGATTATTTGCTTTTCTCAGTTTTGTCAAAGTCTACGATATACTACTTTTTAGGAAGCGTCTCGGAAAGGGTAATGTCTGAAAGGTGACTTGGGTGAAAGTTCAAAATGAATAGGAATGTTCTAAGAATCTTGAACAATTCATGCCCAAGCAAAGGATCTCTAAAAAATATTTTCTTTGATTTTCAGCAGTTACCATTTTGTTTTTTTAGCACTACACAAATTAATGCATGACGAAAGATGCAGTATTTTATATGATTTGAAAAGCATGGTTTTGTTACTTCTTCTAATCCAAGGAACATACAAATTACGCGTATGTGTGTGTATATATATAGTAGCAGTCTTCCACTTTCATGATACGAATTAGCTAGTCTGAACAGCGAAGATCATCCACTCCCTTGACCGAAAATTGAACAGAAATATATACCTAGTGACAATACTGTTCTGTCATTTTTTTCAGACGGGTCCAGGGGATGCATGTCCCTTGTATCCATTTTGGAGAATTTGACAATATGATTCTTTAATTATATCCAACAATCCAATACAAAAGCATTGGCTACAAACTAAAGATGTAACAATACTATCTTGACCAAGACTGATCATTCCTGCAGACTTCCTCCTCCGGATCCTTGTCTCAAACTCCCAATGGATACGTTGGTGTTGTAAATCTAGTCACAAGAGAAATTTAAGAGTCCATGATTTGCCACAGCTTTCCAATACATGATATGTGATGATATATCTCCGTAATCAACGTCGCAACACACGTCCTCTCGCTTAAAGACTATCCAACCCACGACACAATCATAGACGGAACTGCATGATCAATCACTAAAAAAGTTTCATGGTATGACAAAACTCGAATGTCTAGTACTAAACGGCCTAGGCAAAACTCTCCTTCCCACATGTTAGACAAAAAAACAAGCATTTAATGAAAGCATGGCTTCATAAAATATTTATCAAGTTACCATCTAACATGATTTTACATGCATCAATAATCTAAAAAATTAACCTTAAAGAATCCTAAACTTACATGTGAATGTCAGAAGCCGTTATACACAAGAAAAAGATGTCATTCATTTTATACAAATTGATCATTTTCTTCATTATATAAAAACTAACATTCTGTGTGTTACAAGTTATACCTCTTAATAAGCTTTAAAATTGATATAATATCATATATTTTTTCATATTAACATCAAATTATTATTATTATTAATGTTATTGTTATTTTATGAAGTCAAAGATTATAAGCATAATCCAGCAGGGCACTGGTAAGGAAAATATTATAACCAAGGTAAGAAGATCTAATCTAGATCTCTGTAGACTAGATTTATCTAGTACTCAGACCAAACACCTCTTTTTATACGTTAACCTATCTATTTGAGGGTTTTTCAAACATCAAAAGATGATTTATTTTATAAATACTCACTATTGATTCATTACGTGATAAATTATATCAATCCCACGATTAGCTCTAAGTAGAAACCATCCGACCAATAATATTAATTTGAGAATCAAGACCTCATTAATAAAGATGCAGGTAAAAGAACCATGTCGCATGGTCAGACTTGAATGTCATCTGCCATAACCATTTAATGGAGAACCACTGAAAAGTAGTTTCTTTCTGTTCTCTCTCTCTCTCTCTCTCTCTCTCTCTCTCTCGATATTAAGCTGCTATATAACTATCCTGCAAGACTAACTTGTCAAAGCAATTCCAAAAAGCTTCCTACTCCGGTTTCTCAACGTCCTACCATCCATAGCCATTGTCCACTGTCTAGAATTCCATATTATGTCAATGAAGACCGAAAATCTAAATGGAAACTCATTGCTTGCTCCAATCATATTTCTTCCTTTCTTCTTCATTGCCTGTTGCACAGTCCCCTCCTCTGCTGACAAGCCGTTACATTACATGCCCCCTGACAACATTGCAATGGATTGTTCCCCATCAGATTCATCACATGATGCAGCTTTCCCTAATAGCGAAAGATATGAAACTGATTTTTCAGCTGTTTCCAGAGTATACGCCGTAGATCCTAGCAACAGTGAAAAGCCGAGAATTTCTGCTTGCATCTTCAGGAAGCAGGTCACCTGGCCATTTAGTGTCTCTGATGGCCCCAAGTTCATACGACTTTACTTCAAACCAATCATATATTCAGGATTAAACATATCTAAGGCCTTGTTCTCCATCAGCATTGGTCCGTATACACTCATAACTACTTCAGAGTCATCCAGTTCTAAATATTTCCCAAATAGTGATTATGCTATTAGGGAATTCTGTGTCAATATAGATGGCCAGATATTAAATGTGACTTTCACCCCCTCATCAAAGGTTTTGGGTGCCTATGCTTTTGTCAACAAGATTGAGATTGTCTCAATGCCATCAAAGCTTTACATGCAAGAAGATGCTTCATTTCCCCTTGTAGGACAGCCTTCTCATTATTCGATGGGGAGGTCTACAGCCCTTGAGATGATGCACCGGATGAACATAGGAGGAGATGCGATCTCTGGTCTAAAAGATACGGGCATGTTTCGTCGCTGGACCAGGGACGATGATTATTTCAAGACTGATGATGGAAACACAAGTAGCGTTGAATCAGAAGGTGAAGTCAAGTCGAGCTTACTGGTGCCAACATATGCTGCTCCAGTCCAAGTTTATGCCTCTGCCAGGACAATTCTGCATACAACTGACAGCAAACACCGAGCTAGATGGTTGTGCCCAGTTGATTATGGTTTCTATTACCTTGTTAGGCTTCATTTCTGTGAGATTTCGAGAATAATTAATCGAGACTGCCAAAGAGTTTTCAGCATTTATATCGACAATCAAACTGCTGAGGATCATGCAGATGTTTTCAATTGGAGCAATGGGGCTGGAATTCCCATTTACAGAGACTACATTGTGAACTTTTCAAGCTACGGTGAAGGCATAAAGTATCTATCAGTTGCAATAGGAACTAATAACAGATCATCTGCAGAATATGGAGGTCCAATTTTGAATGGGCTAGAAATTTTCAAGTTGTCTGACCTTTCCAACAATCTTGCAGGTCCTCATCCATTTGGTGTAATAGTTGCACCACATCCGCAATCCTCTGTAGAAAATGATGAAGAAGGCTATGATGTGGCGATAGTTGCACATGTAGCCTTCGGTCTTCTGTTTGCAATAGGATTTCTATGCTCCTGCTATTTATCTTTTACTTCTCACACAAAGCAGCTGCAAAAATCCACTAAGCAAGATCAATCATCAGGCCATTGCCGAATTTTTACAATTGCTGAGACAAAGTCAGCAACCAATAATTTTGCAGATGGCTTAATCATTGGCAACGGTGGATTTGGGAAAGTCTACAAGGGATCCCTTAATGGTGGCATCACAAACATTGCTATAAAGCGTGCCAATCCAAGTTCACACCAAGGCTGCAAGATCTTTTTTTTAAAAAAAAATCGACTGCTAATCGTTTAGCCCAACAATTTAAGTAAGAAATAAATACAAATGACTCCTCAATTTTCCCGATGACACAGTATAAAAATCAAGCTTTCTTGTTTGGGAAGCAGCAGCAAGACAGCTGAAACAATCTACTACGAGATTTCCTTTGTAATAACAAAATATCGGGCAGCAAGTCATCTGAAACAACTGGTGGTGTTGGTGCAGGGAAAGCTCCTGCTAATGTTGCTAATGCTCCTGGTTATGGCTCTGTAGGCTGGAGCAACAAAAGACTGAACTATGAAAGCTCCAGGTCAAGATATTCGCACATCAGAGATGGCTTTGAGAAAACCCTGCTGGATATTTTTAATGCTACAGAGAAGATTCTCAGGCAATTAGAAGAATAAATAAAATGTTGCTTTTGTTGTTTTTTCCTCTTTGAATGCTAACGAAACTTGAGATGCTAGCTGCACAGCCTGCACTAGCAGGAATTTCTTTTGTGAATGCTATCTTTTTTCCTTTTTGGCCACCTTTGTTTATGTCCACATTCTAATGACAGCAAATTACCATTTCAAAAGAGTAGGTAAAAAAAAAAAAAATATTACTCCCCATCATAGAAAAAAGTTACCCACTAGTGATACACCTCTAAATTTAAATAATCAGCGTTTTAATTACTGAATAATTTTATCATAAATTAATTGGTAATTTTATTTTATTCTTTTTCAGCTATTGGCAGGTCTTGGCACAACTAGGCAAGACATTCTATTACTAGATAGTAGAGAGGATTTTAATTAGTTGACAGTGTATGATTTCTCTATTAGTGGAAGTTTAAAATTCCAATTAACCATGATATATAGAGGAATCCAAATTCCAGGCATTCAAAGTGAAAATATATGAGGAGAAGAGAAAAGAGGTGAACCAGTGGTCCTATCTAGCTAGTAATACGAACTTACTAGTGCAAAAACACAGCCTGAGGATTGCACACTATCGTTGTCCTAACTAACTCGCTTTGATCATATACGAACTGAATTGACTTTCAATATAAAGTTGAGAGGTTATCGAACCTCATTCAATGAATAAATTCTTTAAAAGGATTTGTATCCTTACAAGTGCAAAAAGACCACTATCGTAGCAGTACAACTACATTAGAAATTTACTAGCTTGTGATGCTGCGGTTTGAATAGAACAAATACAAGTATTTAAAAAAAAAAAAACATTCATTTGTTAAGCCAAATAACGAAAAACATTTTAATGTGTATAACATATAGAAAATATAATTACATATGAAGAAAATCATTTGTAAACGCTGTATGTTATTTGCTCGGACACATAAAAAAAACTGTAGGAAACAGTTAAACCAACGATAGCATAAATCTGATTTAAATCCATGCAAGTTTTTTTAAGTTGGTAAAAGTAATCATTGTTGTTGTAATAAAACTAATAATTATGAGTTATTTTTTCGTATATATAAATAGAGTTAATCCTAATTCAAAGTAAAAGGCTTACACAAATACTTTTATGGAATTAAACTAAGATTTTCAAACTTAAATTACTATTTAAAAATTAACATATTCACCATAGTGCAAACATTCAAATTGAGAAGGAATAAAACTAACAACTATGAGTTGTTTGTTGTTATACATAAAGAAAGTTAACTCTAATTCAAAGCGTATGTGTTGCATTAATACTTTTATGAAATGAAACTAATATTTTCAAACTCTAATTACTATTCAAAAATCAATGCATTCACCACAATGTAAACATTAAAATTGAGATGGAAAAAAATAATAATAATCTGCTTGATTTGTTCCTTTCCATCCAATCCTTTAACATCTACATATAACAAAACGAAAATACAAATTAAACGTATGAACTTGCAGTCCATTTTATATTTGGAATCCATGTTGAATTTCTGCAATGAAACAAAATGAAAACAATGATGACATTTGACTTATATTGCAAAGATTTGAATTAATAGATAACATTTGCTCACCATTTTTTGAAACCATTTTGTTTGGTTTTAAAAACTTTTGACAATTGATTGTTGATTTTTTATGTTTTTAAAAACAAAATATAAAAACAAACAAACTTTTTGTTTTTATTTCTAGATTTGGTTTTGGAAAACAGAGAAAAAAATGATACTAAAGCATACCTTTTGTTATTAAATTTCTATATGGCATTAGAGTAGATCGATATGGAGATATAGTGTAAAATGTGGTTTCCCTAATGCCATAGAAAATTTCAACTGAGGATTTAGGGAAGTGAAAGTCTGAAAATCTAAAGTGGTTAAACAACTTCTCCTCTCTCGATTTGGACTATAAGTTGACCATAATATCTAGTTTCTTTTTGTCTTGCCCCGTAAATAGATTTTATTCAAATGAATAATTGATGCAATTTCCTTAGCTGTCAACATATTTTCAACTCCAATTTTCTGAGGATTAACCCTTACATTCTAATCCTATATAAAGTCTTCTTCACAACCGATTCCTTTGAATACCAGCACATAAAATCTCTCACATTCTCCACACTGGTCATATATGTCATCAAAATCCATTTTAACTAATAAATATGCATTCTTAATTATATGCTCCAGCAATTTGACTAATTTGCAATTTTGGATCAACATATATATATATATATATATATCCAAAATTGCAAATTAACATGAAAGAAAGTATAATTAGTTGCTTACCAGTGATGGCAACAGCCATGACAGTAGCAAGAACGACACCATCATGTGATCCAAATCCATCACCCTATATGGCCAAACAGTGAAGAACAACCTCAATGTAATAACTGTCCTTAGGTGAAATGGCAACTAATGCCTACAATGAAGTCAGGTCATGAGCAAATCCCTCCAATCCAATCTCTACCAAATGCTTTGTATCCGTGCTCTTCATATATACTGTCATGTCTGTTATCCGTGACTACAAAAACAAAGACATTTGAGTTGCTTAAAAATTGATAGCACAAATGGAATTACTCCTTAAAGCACCACCAGCTATCAAAATAGATTCAATAGTTGTGATGCAAAATCGAGTGTCAAAGAACAACAAACCTGAAGTTTATCACCAGAGGGATATGAGGTGCGTTGAGGTTCATTCATCAATTCCTAAAGCAAATATTGTAGGGCCATCCTTCTAAGTTATGCTTGTGACTACATTGACTCTATTCAGTATAGTTTGCATTCAATGAATAAAGAAATTATACTACTAACTATCAATCGGATTAACTTCTGAGTTTGATGTCAGAGTAGACACAAAAAATTATGAGCAGTGGTAAGAAACTTGTCTTGACATGAGTCTTATAGTAGCTTCTGAGAGTTGGATGAGAGAAGAAATTATCATCAGATGTCAAATTAAGGCCAGCAGCTTTTCTCCATTTAACATATTATGTTTTTCCACCATATGCACCCCAATTGTTAGTCAATGGTAATATAAGCCTGATCTTGTATATCTTTTTTTCACTTACCATAAAATAAAAGGCCAGCAACTCAAAACAAAATCATTAAGTAAAATAACTTTGGTAGCCTAGCTATTTATCAGTTGTCTAGTGAGGTTGCTTCTGTTATATCCCTAAGACCTAAGAAGCAAGTAAAAATACCTTGAAAACATCGTCATCATAAACACCAAGAGATTTCTGAAGAGGTCTCCATTGACCATCATAAAAAGCTCAATTTCTACAAACTGTTAGACCAAATGACGATGCTGGTTGGAAAATCTGAAGTTGTTCCCATTGGATTTAAAAAAAAAAAAAAAAAAACGATGGCCATCAGACCTAAAAGTTAAAGCCCTTCAAGTTCTTATCTCGACCATTTTCATTTCGTACAATATTTTTTCTTATCTCGACCATTTTCATTTCTTACAATATTTTGTCTGTAAAAAAAAAAAAAAACAATAATCTTTATACTTTCTCTTTATGCAAATACTTTTAAAATAAAAATTTCAAAGGAAAATTTTTGTTATATGAAAAATATTCATCCTTACATGCCAAAATTTTGGAAATAAAATATTTTAATTAGTATCTTATTTTTCTACAATTGTTTTAAACTTGATTTTTAATTAACTTAATGATTTTTTTAATTTATCACTTTAATTTTGGATAGATTTTCTCATCAAAATTAATATTGGTTCTATGTAATACAGAATTAAATTTGATAACTAACAATTTTAACAAAAATGATATTTTAGGAAAATATGAACAAAAATTAATAATTTTCTTAAATTGTGCGGAAAAAAATAAAAGGAGACAATTTTTTTTTTTTTTTTTTTTTTGAGAGAGAGAAGGAGTAATAAATTTTAGGAGTCCAATTCAGTGAATAGATAGAGTTGATATAAATAAACTTGTAATACTTTAAATAACAAATCAATATGTTTAACTCACAAATCAATATAGCCTTGTTTCAGGCTCTGGCCATACTGATAATGGGAAAACCAAGAAAGCTCCAGGACAGGATTTTCGCATGTTTAAGGGATGTTTTTGAGAGAGACCCTGGTGGCTATTTTCGCAACTTGCACAAGAAGTAGCAGATAGCAAGTCGAAAAGGATGGAATAAATAAAGTTGCTTTCTTGAATTGTTATTCCCGAATATTAATCTTGAGTTGCAGCAGATTCTAATGCCTCAATCTTGTGCCGTTTTCTTTTAATTTTCTCAGACCATATTTTAAATCTTGGGCTATCAGATTCTACATTTTCACTTGGCTTGCTAGAACGGCCACTGTTGCAATACTGTGAGAAGTTGAGAACAGATAAAAAGAGAAGAATCAACGCTCTCTTTTGCTATAAATACAACAAATTTCATTAAATTGATCTTGCCATGCACTATAAACAGTTGGTCTCAATTTGAATGGATTTCCAGCTAACATGAAAAGCGAATCATGCATGGCAAAATTCTAATTGAACAAATTCTAATTAGAAACTACAAAAAAACTTGCACATCCAAAATTTTATATTGAAACAGTTGGTTTCTATTATATCTAGGAGCCCTGAGCCACAGCCCACAAGACAATCGATGCCACTACAAATCTGAGAATGTTACCCTAACAAAAATAATAAAGGGAAACATACGAAAAAAACAGCAACAGGATCAGCTTTCATCTTCTTCTCTTCTTTCCTTTTCCTTTTCCTAATTGTCCAGATTTGAAGGCGTGTTCTTGTTCTTGGAGGAAAGCTGTTGCCTTTCCATAATTCTCTTTTCTTTCATTCTCCAACAGTGCCTTGTCTTTTTCCTTAACCTCATATAAGAAATAATTGTCCTTCCGCAGTTCACGAGCTGCCCCTTTAGCTTCTCGATTTAGGAGTTTCTTTAACTTTCTCCTTTCAGCCCGTTCACGGTCCGGGTCATAATCTCTACCCTTCACAAAACTGCAGAACAAAATTGCAAAAGATGTTTTAACCCCATGCCATAATCAGACCAAAACAAGAAAATAAGAGGTGAAAGAAAACGTTAATTACTTCTCCTCAAATTTTGGAGCGACTAATTTGATAGGAACTGGCTTCTTTTTCCGCATTTTTAGGGGTTTCCGCATCATATGATGTTCACTGGCCCTCTTATTAATCAGTTCGGCAACATCTTTGAATTTATCTTGTAACGTTGCTGGCACGTTTTCCTGTTGTGCAACCTCAAGCAACAACGTTGAAATCGGCAAGAAAATTTCAGGAAAGGAACTCAACTCTTTATAAATGTCAACAAACCCTTTAAGAGTTTCTACCATAGTAACCAGCACACTAGCCCTGCATACATAAAATTCATCTTCGAAAGATTAGTAAACAGTGGGTACGAGAATGTAGATTGAGGAAGCATAGTTGCAAAAATCCTCAATACTGTTGGATTGCATCAAATAATCTTAAGCAATACCATGACTGTTCTAGAGATTGGCATACATCTGCAAGTGAAAAATTAAATTTGGCCACAAAACCCATAATCTGGGTTCATAAAAACTAAAATATGGGAAACACAGGATAAGGCCAAAGTATCAAGGCAAAAACTCCTTGACTGCATTAAGTACCACTGCAGAAACAAAATCCCTACAAACCTGAAATCACCTGAGCTGAAAAATGAACTGTCCTCTTGCATGCCCATTACCATAAGGAAATTTAGAGGACGGATCTCATTTACACGATCATGCATATGCAGCAAGGGCTTGAGTTCTTTTAGTTCCATAAGATGATAAAACTGCCAAAGCATACACAATTTAACGTTAATTTTTCATGATACCATAAATAGCATGCTTTTTGTCAGGTACACCTGAATAACACACATGCAGTCGTTGAGAACAATTTTTTCTAACTTTCTTTTTTGGGAGAGAGTGGTGGTGGTGTTGGGAAAGATAGAATGACAAGTGCAGAAAACACAATGCATCAGGGAGTAATATACCTGAGATTCCTGATAAGATGTTGGTTTTCTTTCTGTAGTTGCCATCAGCAAAGTTCGGAGAAACATTATGGCTTCAGGACAGAACTTCTGAGATTGTTTAGTGATCTGCAAAGGATGCTACAATCAATACTTGAAACTTAACAGAAGAAATATTGTTGAATGTTATTGATGCTGTCATTGCAGCAGTAGCATAAAAACAACAAGTAATCAAGGAAGCTATGCTCCTGCTACAATTTTCAAGCACTTCAACATAAACTTGTCATTATAAATGAAAATAAATAGATGGGCAAGACAGACATACAGAGAGAACCATGGTACATAAGAAAGAACCAATTGCGATATCACGACCCGACAAGATGGGACAGCGCATCAAATATTCACTCATCAATAGTATTGCTGGGGTCATGACAACATGCCGAAAGTCAGAGCATGGAAAGATCATGGACCACAACCCCAAGAGAGAGAGCGTTTTCATAGAAGGCCAACAACTATTATCTGCAGGAACAATATTGTTCAGTGAGAGGTACACACAACACTAAGAAACTCAGAATGAAAGTGGAAGACCATGAACTCTCAAATCATATTACAACCAACCTGCATTCTTAAGAGCCTCACAAAATTGTGCTCGAGTTCGTAAGATTCGCTGACGAGCACATATTGCAGAAAAGTATGGAATCTCCACACTCATCTCCATCAGTGGCTTGACCAGCAAATTCAATAACTCAAAATTCAAGGGCTTTTTATTTGCTAAGACAGCAAAATACTGTAATAGTACACCATAAAATACCTGGACAGAAATAGATTGTTATTTAGACAATAGCTAAGGGCAGTCACACACACCCCTACATTATATTTTTGTTGCACAATCAGTATTCCTTGTCATTGTCAACACGAAACTGTCACTCAAAACTTATATCATGCCTATAAAAGCACTATTTCCTAGCAAAAGCAAAACCACATACATTAATGCATCCACATAAAACTTCTTTTCATTGTTCAACTCTTTGGATGTTCTGTTTTCTTACTGATTATCAACTTCTGAGAAAGTCATATATGCTAAATAGTTCAATTCTTGGTCATAAACGTGACATGAATTTTCATCTATCCACTCTTTACTTATGAACATTAGAACTAGTGTTTGCATAAATCAGGTGTATCTATCAGATGATATGGAGACATGTGATTGGTTAGAACCTATGTATTGTCAATCAAATAAAATCCTGCTTGTTGCTTGTCACGCCCTCAACCACCCTTCCCCACCAAAACAACCACCCACACAGAGTAAAGAAAACACAGCAAAGAATTCATACTTGCATTTTCTTCCGATTTTCTGCTGCAAGCTGTATTGCATTGCTTTTACGAATTCGATCAATCACCAGAATAACATTTTCATTGGAATAATTCTCCAAAATTGCACAAAATTCTTCAAAGTTCTTTGGGGCTTCAATTATATGCGGAATATCTGGTTGGGATGAGTGCTGTTCACAATTTGCTTTTATTTTTTTCCCATCCAGAGATTTTTTATCTCCCTTCCTAGGCTTAACAGCATCAGTTTTCTTTGACTTTTTGCTTATTGGCTCTATTTCTCCATCATCATCAAGAGAATCATCATGTTCTTCATCTTCCAAATCTGTTGCAAGATTGTCATCATCACTCTGCTCCCAGTCCTTCAAAGATAGAGACTTATCATGTTCTTTATCATCATCATCAGTATCATCGTCATCAGATCCTTCATCATCACTATCATCCTCAGCAGATTCCTCAGAAGAATCATCTTCATTGTCAGAGTCATCTGCCTCCTTTCTTGCAAGAATCTCATCAACCCAGCCCTTTGTAGTCCTAGGCTCTTCATCAAGAGAAAAGGAATCACCAAGATCATCCCCAGATATTGGCCTTGGCTTCTCAACATCATCATTCTCTTCATCACTGGAATCATCAACAACAAGCATACGTTTCTTACGATCTTCCTGAAATTATGTAGTAACATACAAGTCAATAATTGAGATTTAGACTTGCAGCACTGTACAGTTAATCAGTGAGCTTGGTCAGTAAAATATATATACATATAAATCAGGGAAACTGTCTTTGCACACTGAACATCCAAGATCAACAAGAATTCACCAAGTCAGACCAATAATAGTAGTAATTCCATGCCATTAAGCATGAATGCATGCTTTTCAGCTCAGGCATATGAAGATGCTTTCAATTGAGTGAGAAGAAACATACCTCTAGTTGCTCTAGTCGTTCTCTCTCCTTCTGGGCCATTTCTTCTGGTGTCTTCGTCCTGTCTGATGGCCGTGCACGTATATCTGTTGCCATCTCGTAAACAAGTTTGTCATAAGAATCAGGCTGTTCCTGCTGCAAATCATAAAAAGACCGATCATTTCAAGAACTCAAAATCATGCAAAGTCAATATTAACAGCTATTGGTTTACTGCTTCAAATTATATAGAAAAAGTGAACAAATTACAGCCTCAAGTAACAAAAGTATAAAAGGAATCCATCTTTAGTCAACCAAAAAGGCATAAAAGCTTACTGCAGATCGTGCTTCCCTAATTGACAACAATGTGGCATGCCAAGATGTAAAGCAAAAGAGAGAAAAAAGAACCTAGAACTTTTAAAATATCAAATAGGAAGTGACAAACTCATTAATCAATAAATTTAGCAACTTTAAAAAACTGTCAAGATCCAGAACCTAATAAAAGAAAATACCTGCTTAAAAGTTTCCGGTTTTGGAATAATTGGTAACTCATCCTTCTTTACATGCTCATTAGGAATGCCCTTGTTGACAAGGGCCTTCAAGGCATTCATCTTGCCTGGTTCTGTCAATGAAGACAAGGCTTGAGACTGCACCAAAGATGTGAAGCTTTTATCCAATTCTTCCATCAACTGCTCATTTTCTTCCTTATCTTTAGCTTTTTGAGCCTGCCCACAATTGCATAAAAAGGTTAAAAATGTAAACAAAATCAGAAAACAGATGCCTCATTTTAAAGCAGCTTTCCCAGATGAAAAGGAACAGCACCTTGAAAAACTTGCTCTTCAGAATAACCTCTTGCATTACTTCCTTCTTTGTTTTGGGCTTCTGCAAAGGGAAAGTCATGCTTTGTATCGGGATTGAGCAATATTTGATATACGAGAGTATAAGAACAGCTTAAGAAATTAGATATAGCAAGCCTGTACAAATATCTCAGTTCTACTTTTCAGGTCATATAACTTAGTAACGAGAATCATAGATAATGTGCTCATATTTTGACATAATAATGACACAAAACCGAGGTCACAAAGTGTCTCACATTTTCCTCCCCATCCCCTGCATCCTGCAGTGTGCCATGAGCATTAAGTTGCTTTAAGATGGCTGATTTCTCTGCAAAGAAAAAGAAAGACAACACTTGTAGTCATTAGCAAAATTCCTAACAGATCAAAGGAATAACATAAGAAGGTTTGGCAATCTTAGCATAGTGATCAACAATAGGAATCTAGTTCATTTTGCTCTCCAATTCTCTTAAACAAGAAGAGAATTGTGGAAGCAAAAACCAATGACATCAAATGAACACATTTCCTAAAACTGAAAATTTGTACAAAAAATTAAGAAATGTTGTAACCTGGTGAAACTAAATTGAATGTACAAAAAGGAAAAGGAGAAAAACCAAAATAAGGCCGATGCTATAAAATATGATAGAATGCAAAACAAAAAACAGAAGAACTTCAAACTTCAATAAGGAGACATGGCTTTTCCAAGGCCCATTCAATTACCATATATCAAAAAAGAAAACATTTCTGAATGCTACGGAAGCAAACTGCAGAATATCTGGGTTTAAAAATTTCTATTCCACAATCAGTTTAGCACTTTCTGCTGTGGCCCATAAATGCCTATATGCCAAGGTGAAGGGAAAGCCTTGAAGTTCATCTATATAAATATATGGAGCAATCACAAGCTAACTTAGAAATGGAAATGACAACAAAAACAGACTGCTCCCGGCACAATTAACTAAAGGAACACAAATTTATTAATAAATTCCATACATACTCCTTGTTCCATCTGCCTCCGCATCATCTCCATCATCATCAGACAAGATTTCATCCTCAAAATCATCTCGTCCCGACAGCGGACCTGGATTCGGAATTCCAAACTCATCATCGTCTTCGTCTCCATCTGATAAATTGTACTTGCTATTCTTGCTTTTCAACTGTAATAAAACCAATTTTAACAAAACAAACATCACATATAATAAATAAACAATTAAAAAAAATCAAAAGTGCATATTTTAGAAACCTGACGCTCGCGCTGCGAGCGGATGATAGCTTTATCAAACTCTCCCAGCTGCTCATTTTGCTCTCCAATTCTCTTATCCAAGAAGACTGAAGACTTGCCGCTCCGTTCATACTCTTTTAACAAAGTCTTCTTCCTCTTTTCAATGGCGCGGGATCGGGCGAGCCCAATACGGAGCTCTTCGCCTTTGCGTTTCTTGCCGAGGATGTCGAATTTACGGCGGGACCAAATTGTCTCGAAAGGGTTGTTGTTGTTGTCTTTGGTTGCTGCGCTCGCTTTCATGGCAACGGAATTTGGGGCTGTTTTGTTGTTCTTCTTCTTCTTCTTGGACTTTGTATCGCTGCTGCTGCTTCTTCTGCTTCTTTTTGATGTCTTTGCCATTGGTGAGTTTTGGGAGGTGAGACAGAGAGGAGATGGAAAAAAGGGTTTTGAACGTGTGGGTTTAGGGTTTGGGGGATTTGGTTTGTTTCTTCGGTTTTAGAATCTTAGGGCATTTGAATGTGTAGGTAAGACTTGGCAGGCTCAAACATGGGCCTATTTTATGGAGTAAAAAAAAAAAAAGAAATATATAGTAAACAAGCAATGCCCTTTAAACCGATCTACTATACAGTAAATAAATAAGGACAATTTGTTGCTTTTCAAATTTTACTTCAATACTCAAAAATGCAATTACCAATACTCCTATTCGACTTCACAAGGTATAATAATTGTTACTAATAGGATGCCTCGATGTTTGAAATTGGAATTCACGTTTTGGGCTAAAACTTTTTAGGCATTTACCAACCTCTCTCGTTAAAAATAAAATAATATGCAAGCTAAAATCTTATTCTACAAAAATTAATGTGTTTTAGGAATGCGTTGAAAGTGTTTTTCATCTGAAAAAACACTAAATTAATTTTTTATTTTATTTTTAATAGTTTTTATATACAAATTAATGAATTTTTATGATATTTTTCAATAGTTTTTACATATTCGTATCAAAATTATTTAAAAAAACACCTAAAAGCAAGTATTAATTTGTTGTTTTTCAATCTAAATTAATTTTGAAAGTATCAAATATGTAGTATCAACAAGTACATGATCAATAAAAATAAAAACATTAATGATTGTGTTCAACATAGCTTTATTTAAAAAAATTATAAATTAATTCTCCTAGTTTTAACAAATAAATTAATTAGTCTTTTGTATTTTAAAAACTAATTATTTACACTTTTTTTCCATTTTATGTTCTTTTCAAAAAAAATTGTGAACAAATAAAAAATTAATAAGAAAGAAGACATTTTTTTTAAATAAATTGATATTCAAGCATCAGTTAACTGCCTAAATAATTGTTTATTGAAATAGACGAGATTAATTTATTTATTTCTTAAAAAGAAGGGTTAATTTATAACACACTCCGGTGCACCCCAAGATCCATGTGGAATCAGAAATGGGCTTCGAGCTAAATGCATGTAATCTATGTTAGTAAGTTAGTATCAAGGCCTTGAGACATAAGGAAGCACAGGACAAGAAGTGGGCCCAACACTAGAGAGTAGAAAAAGGAGACTTTTATATATATATATATATATAATTGGAGACAAATAATAATAATAATAATAATAAATAAATAAATAACAGTGCTCAATCATCTACAATGGAGTTCCAGCACGATAACTGACGCAACAGATAGGGTAAATAAGCACGGCAGCGGGCTGTCACTGCTTGAATTATTGAGGTTGCTGGGCCCGGAATGGACCGCTGTCCGGGCTCTCAGCTTCTGATAACAGAGTGCATATGATAAGGCCCAAAAAATTTGTGTGGAATTGGCAGGCCACGAGTGGGTTGGCGCGTAAAGGAAAGTGCTTCTTGAGAGGGACTCAGCAGTACATAATGCATTGCCAAGGAAAGAGCGAAGCACCTGACCCAACTTATAATGGAGATCCTTGTCTACTCAATATATTGACCCATAGAGCAGAAGCATCATATTAGCTTTGGAGTCTGTTAAGTTGCCTCCATGTTTAGTACTCTAACCATACCCCACTCAATATATTAACCACCCAAATGCCTAGACCGGATTTAGTGCTCTGGTCGTCAGATTATCAGGCCAATCCATCTAACTGGGCTGGGTTTTACAACTATAATTCTATCGATTTCTTAGTTCTGATGAGATCAAACGTAGCTAATCTTAGACCTATGATAGCTTTCTAATCTAACTCATTTAACTTCTGAGACAAAGTTGGGGCCGTTGAGGAAGCGTAGTAATTTAGTTTGTCTAAAGCTAATCCTGCATTGTCATCAGTTTTAGTATCAGTTGGTCCCTTTAAAGTTGCATCCGCAAATTCAATACTATGAACTAAACTGTGCATAAATAGCTTTTTACCATCCAATTCATTACAACAATTGCAGTTCTAGGTGGATCAAGGTGTAGTACCCCAGCCATGGTCCATGGCTTTACCTAACAGAGTACCGAAGTCACATAAAAAGCTCAGGAACCATGCATGTGCTTAGCCAGGTACTGTAGCACAAGGAGGAGACCCTAAAGGAGTCAAGGGACCCCATTGTGTCTCCCTTGGCCATAATAGCAGATGCCCCGAATCATTACACACGTTTCTTTTTCATTCGCAGAGTAGACTTTGATCATTAATTTACAAACAATGTTACAAAACCAAGAACTCTCCACATATGAAAAGGGAAACATCAAATTGATATGTTACGTGTTTAATTATAGTTAAGCTAAGAGCCAGAAATCTTTGTGTCGCTTAGTGGTGATCAGGTAACCTCCATGTTTTTTGCTCTTCCTCCTCACAGCAATTGCCATGCAATCAGAATTTTGGATACAGTATTCCACCACGCCACCAGTGATTTTATTGCTTGCCCACATCATGATCAGCCGCCATGTCATGGACCTCTTTTTCTGCCCCAAAACTAGAAGTGCCGCCCCTTGTTTCTTGGCCTCTTCCACTATCAGTGGACCTTTCTCTTTTCCTTCCACCACTGCAATCTCAATTTGTATCTGCAAAATGCACATTTTATATCCAATTTTTTGATAGCATATAAATAAGATAAAGGAAAGCTAGCTAAACTGAACTAATCATACTCGCCTCAGGTCTCTTCAACTGACACATATTTTTCAGAGAATTTACAAGTTCACAACCCCTTGGAGCTCTCTCCTTGCGGGACTCTTCCCCTGTGGCTGCAGTCACAGTTGTTTAACCCTTCTCAGTTTAATTCCCTAAAAATATATACAGTTTGCATGATGAAGAAGATTAGAAAAAATAATAACACCATGCAGACAAACCTTGTTTAGATGATGCTTTGGTTACATGAAGAAGAACAAGAAGATCCTGGCTTTGAACAGTGTGAGAGAGTGCCCATTGTAGAGCTCTCTTAGCTTCAACACTTGAATCAACGACTATCATGATTTTCCTACCAAGTAACTCCACAGGTTTTGCCAGCTCCGAATTCCCAGTCTTCTCTTCTCCATGGCAAACATTGTCAGGATTCTCAGTCTTTTGATCATTTTTAGTAGAATTCAAATTAGCCTTAGCTTGTATAGGTGGTGAACGGACTCTAACATGAGGCCTGATCCTGTTTAGACAAAAACCTGGTAATCTCGTGCCTATCTTGCCCATCTCCTGAGATGGGGTGTTAAGGAGACGCCAATTGTTAATTATAAGAAAGGAGGAGGAGAAGGAGAAGAGAAGATTGTAACTGATGATAAAGGCCAATTGCCTGTTGCTGAACCAAACTTCTAGATGTTGGCTTTGGTATCTATGGACCATCTAAGACTATTTATGCTATGCTTTTTCCTTCTTTTTTATCTTTCTTTTGTTATTTAATCATGCTGGTTCTTTGTTTCTTTTATTTTTCACCTGTGGGGCTATTGAGGAACGTGCTTGTCATGAAGCTGTAGGCCCATCGCTCTAAAACTTCATGACCAGCTAGCTATACATGCACATATTTCACAATATATGTGGCATGTTTATTGTTAATGCAAGTAATCAAATGTTTTTGCTAGTTATGTGCTTTCCACTCTTGTTTCCTCTAATATTTCTTAATTTCTTGCCTAATTGTAAGGCACACACGATCACATAGACTGTCTTTTGTCAGATCTAGTGAGAACTTTTTACTACATGGCGGGGGCATGGTACTGCTGGTGATGGTCATTTTTGGCCAGCATTTATCGGTGGACTTGGTGGCTAGCTGTTGGATTAATGTGCTCTTCTGATAGCAAACTGGCTCTTGAAACATATATATCCTCTTGATTCTGCTTTCACATTTAACAGATTTCATACAGATTAATCAACTTGGAGTATAACTATTCACCATTCTGATCATGTTAATTACCTGGGTTAAAACACAAGTGGCAATTGTGCATAATTGAATTGAGAATGCATGTAATTATAAAGTAGCTGATCATTAAGAAAAAAAAAGATATAGAGTGGACAATGTTTTCTGTGATCAGTAGGAGTAAATAAGAAAAGTTACCCCCTGTATGCGTTACTATCTCTTTTGCTTTTCCGTTGAATTGATGAAAGAAATCAATTAGAAGTATATTTGCAATAGATGGAGTGCTATTTGTGTGTTTAATTAATTAAGTAGTCTTGGAACTCATTATACCCTCATCATAAAATTATTAAAGTAGCATGTATATATACTACTATAAATATTATAAATTCCACCTGAGTATTTGTTCGATTAGGTGAGATTACGTGATTCATGAGATTCATTAGGTGAGATTATGGTAATTATTCTGCCAAGGATATCAAATAAATGCTATTTACCGTCGTCACCAACCTTAGCCAATGATCCATAAAAGATTGGTATTTAGGTAGGGGACATTGATATGAAGTTTTGTTTTATGTGATACTAGTTATTTTACCCGCATTACTGCCGTGGGTTAGATAAAATATATAAGATCGTTTAAAGAAATCATTTCAGTTTGCTAGTCTATTTTATAGTATGAATCTATAAAAATATATGAAATCAATCGTGAAAATTTTTTTTTATAATTTTTTAATCAAAAATTTTATATTTAACTATTTTTTATTTGTGTTTTTTCATAATTTTTCCTTTAGAAAAAGGATTTATCCGTATTAATTCATAGATTATTAACTAAAAAGAAATTTTTTAAAAAAAATTTTAGTATTTCATAAGATTGTGTCAAAAAACATAAATAACAATTATTAAAAGCCGACATAGAATTGAAAAAATAATTTTTTTATTTTATGTTATGAGAATATCGATTTTTGAAAAAATATGAATTTAATTTTTATATATTTATTTACAAAAGAATGAATAATATTAAAATAAAAAACTATATTAATTTGACTTTCAACTATTAATTAATTAATTTGAGTTTTTTTCTAAAAAAAAAACCAAGAAAAAATTATTTGAAATACTTTTTTAATCTAAAACTGTATTTTAGAAAAATTATATATGTTAATCATGCCACTCGTAATTCAAAAGTTATCTAAATCTATTTTTCAAAAGAAAAAATAATCATATTCTAAAAATTTATTCCAAAATCCATACATATAGAAAAATAAATCAAAATATCGATAAATATAATTCTAAATTAATTGGATGAGAATTTAAAAAAAAATTCAAATTAAAGTTGTAAATTTTAAATAATTAAAATAATTAACAAAAAAATACTAAAACAAAATGGAACCAAATCACAATATAATCGAAGTTTGAAATTGAAAAAAAAATGATCAATTAATGTAGTAAATTTTAAATAACATAAAAAAAATCGAGAAAAAAATTATTTGAGAAACACTTTTAATCTAAAAATGTATTTTAGATAAATTATATATATTAATCATGTCACTATAATTTAAAAATTATCTAAATCTATTTTTCAAAAAGAAATAATAATTATGTTCTAAAAATTTATTCCAAAATCCATACATATAGAAAAACAAATCAAAACTCATCAAGTAAATATAATTTTAAATTAATTGAATGAGAATTTTAAAAAAATAACAAATTAAAGTCAGTAAATTTTAAATAATAAAAATAATTAACAAAAAACACTAAAACAAAATGGAACCAAATCATAATATAATCAAAGTTTGAAATTGAAAAGGAAAGAGAATTTTTTTAAAAAAAAGTGACAAATTAAAGTAGTAAATTTTAAAAAATAAAAATAATTAAGAAAAAACACCAAAACAAAATAGGACTAAATCAGAATACAATTAAAGTTTGAAATTGAAAAAAATATATATATAAAAAAAAATTGATGACCAAAGTGTTATAAAAATATCATAAATAGTAAAAGCAATAATGATTTATGAGTGTATGAATAAAGTTTTAAACAGTGAATGAATAATAAAACCTTATTTTATTTTAGTTTTATATATATATATATATATATATATATATATATCAAACTTGCCTCAAACGCTAGCTAGAGCTTCATCATTTCACGGAACATTAATACATGATGAACTCATAAATTAAGCTCTAGAGTTAATTGTTTGTATACTTTTGGAAAGAGCTAGCCGTGCTCATGATGATGTAGTTTTGCAAAGTAAAACATTGTTTAGCTTAGATGAAATTTTATAGAAAAAGTTAAAGTAGCTCTGGGACATGCATAGAGACTTGCTTTTCAAAATTGACAAAAGTCTTACATTAATTTTTTAAAGTAAGCTTCAACGAGACAACAACCACATTAATTAGACGGGTGAGAGGTCCTTTCAACCCTTTCAGTACATTGCTTGTGTGCATGTAAAGATCATATCTGGAGTGGCATAGTTTTTTTATTAGGGCATCTCTCTAATGCAATCAAACTACAGAAAAATATTCAATGGATGTTGGATTAAATTGGTGGTCCTTACTTTTTCCTCCTCTATTTATACCTTTTGCCTTATTTACGAGGCACTAGTTAGCAGCCCCAACAAAGTTTCCTTGGATACCAAATCCTAGGTCATGCTACCTTTCAGGATCTGCATTTTTTTTTTCTGACATTTTCAGGATCTGCAATTATATACTACTGTACATCCAAGTAATGGAATGTATCTGAAATTAGTTTCAGAGAACCATTTAATTTATGCGAAAGGAGTAATTGTAATTAATTTGATTGGCTTTTAGTTTTCAGCGGAAACATGCATTATCAAATGAAGAATTATATTTGGTTATTTATATACACTACATATTTTTGTTAGAAGAAAGGAAAATCAGCAATGAAGATTTACATTTTGCTTCAAAGTGAAATACAAAATACAAATAAATTTAGCCTAGTGGTTATGTATAAAATTAGTTTTGCTAACAAAGTAAGATTGGGGTTTTAATAATTTTTAAATTTGTTTTGATAATTATGTAATAGAAGAAGATTATTCTCGTTGTATAATTCAAAAGCTCATAAGCTTTTGATGACTAAAAAGAAAAGTGGAATGCAAAAGTGATTAAATGGTAATCACGAAAGTGGTTGTAATTTATTTTTATTTTTTAACAAAGAAAAAAAGGTTGGTGCAATTATAGGATAGCATCATGTTTCACATTAAATATATCGAGCCATCCTTAAAGGGGTGAAACTAGATAGCCAGATAGGCTGCTAAATCAGTTGAAACTTCACCCCGTAGTTGGTCACCAACTGCCTAAAACTCAAGATTACTATAGTCCTAACTAACTAGCTTGCTATTACAATGAAGCTATGCTTCGAATTTTATTGTTTTAAAAAAGAAAAACATCAACCGAAATTAAATTTCTTCTTATAATGATTTTAATAATTTATTTCTAACACCGTTTCTGAGATTGAATTAAGAAAATGATCGTATCTTCTTTAACTTCGCTCCAACCTTTGGGGTTGCAAACGATGTTTCTGCCTCATTGTATCGTATAATTTGATTGTTGTGTTGGTCTATATTTTGGTTGGGCCATTAATTCCATCTGGGTCGGGCTCTGCTCACAGATTCTGGCCCAATATTTTGGGTCAACAAGAGCAATGAGAAGATGGGCTGCAAAAAACTAGCAAAAGGGTCCCACAAAATCCTGTCCGTTCGTCTCGTTTTTGTCGGCGAAGAATCCAACGCATGGACTTGAGAATCTACGGGCTGTCTATCGCACAAACGCCAGAATTTGAGAATCTTAGGTAGTCCTAGTCCTAGTCCAACTCCAGTGTCTTTTCCTATTTCATCACCAACTTCTTTATTTCCTTTTTTCCCCCTTTTATCTTTTTGGTTTCTTCTTCCCTTTGATTTGTTTTTTTTTAATGGAGTTTTGGGTGTTAATGAAGAGTATTACTTCCTGGCTAGTTAATCAACAGCACTATTTTTTTCTTTAAACTACTCTTTGATTTCCCTCTGTTTCGATCTCCAGGTATGTAGGTATCTATCGGCTTGTTTTAATTAATTTTCACAAATGCATCATCTTTCAGAAGTCTTGGTGATCAATCTGTTTATAACGATCATCATAATAACTACATAACATCATCATCATCCGCAATAAACATCTTCTTTTTGAAAAATAAGGACTCCTTCCCTTTTTATATATATTATTTACATTCTTATTTTTGTCTGATACGTGTACTATGATGGAAGAAGGTTATATTCTTTATGCGAAACTTGGGCTTAATATATATATATATATATATATATATATCATGTATGTGGGTCACTCTTTTGATTTGGTTAACATATTACCCAAGTAACTAAGTATTCTTTCCTGACTGATCAATTCTGGATAACATAAATTCAGATTGACGATGGGTTAATTTTCAAGAGAGTAATAGCATTATTATGTACTTGCAGAGGGAATTTGGAGCTAGATAATGGTTTCTCTTTGTTGCTGCTTTCATAATGATGATCCAGGAGAAAATCTCAACAGTTCCCATAGGGGATTCATGCACACATTATTCAACAAGGTACATCTTCTAGTTGTTTAAATTGTACAAATTGGCTGTATATATTATCTTTTCAAATGATTAATGATCATGCTAATTTTTATGAAATCAATCCAGAATTATTATTTGCTCCAATTTCATCTAATTGTCCTGTTCATGGGCTGATTTGCAGCCTTTGTCAGATGAATTTGTTGTTACTATAAATTAAACATGACTTTCAGATCGTACAATTGCCTCTAGATCATTTCCCATGATGCATTTTTCACTGCCCTTTACTCGCAGTATTCAGCAGTATTCAGCAACGGGGAGACTTCTGCCGTCCCTGTGCCCAGCAGAGGGCCACCACCCCCTTCAATGAATTCTGACGGAGCAGCTTCAAATATTACACATTCCGAAACTACTAGAATTCCTCCAACAATTTTGTCATTTGACGCCGATCCCGGAACCTCTAATGCTGCAGGCCAATCACACGAAGATACAGAGGAAGCAGAGCAAGGCGGAGACTGTACGGTCCTAGAATTTGTCCTTGGAGAAGGTAAACCAAATGAAAACGATTCAGAGGCTCCGATTGGCGTCTCAAAACAAAAGGCAGAATCTGGGTTTTGTTACATCTATGCATCCATAGACGATGAGGATGTTTGTCCCACGTGCCTCGAAGGTGATCAATCGGTCATGTTTTCATCAAACTTTCTTATTGTTTAGGTGGAGTTTGTTGATAATTCTTTTTTGAAATTTCTAATGGCAGAGTACAGCCTTGAAAATCCAAGGATAATCACGCAGTGTAACCACCATTACCACCTCAGTTGTATATACGAGTGGATGGAGAGAAGCCAAACCTGTCCAATTTGTGACATGGTAATGTGGAGCCATTACCACCTTTACTTCAAGCTTCATTATATTGCACAACTACTGTAATTCATGTTCTTAGGGTATATCTTACAGGTGATGATATTTGATGAAACAAGTTGAATTCGCAGCTAAGCTTCCAAAGGTTACAGATGAGCATTGGACGTAAGAAGGTTTTCTTTTGCAGGCCAGGCCGGATACTTCATGTCATAGATTTTTCTCTTTTTTTTTTTTGGGTGGGCGTTAAATTTGTTCCTACAAGAGGCGGGATAATGACGCGTTTTGTTCGTATACTCTGGATTTTCAATGAATTTTACCACTTTACAAAAAAAAAATTTATAGATTTGTTTTTTGTAAGATTAATTCCGTTAAAGTTATGACACTTTTGTTAAGTTTCTGCGATAATTGAATGTCACGTGGCAAAAATTTATTGGAGCTCAATTTTAAAAAGACACATGAAAATAAAATGAAAAGAAAAACACAACCTCATCGTTTTTCTCGTAAGTTTTATTAGATTATTTACTATGTACTGACGTGAATTCCTCAATTATATATTGATTACTTTTTACTGATCTTTGATAGATTGTTTTAGTTTTATTTAAAATGACTAAATTTTACTATTTATTTAATTAAATGTTTTATATTTGAAAACCACATAATTTTATATCAATTTTTATAATTCCTAATCAAAATAATTAAATTTTTATATTCAAATAATAGGAAATAATTTCACTCTCTATATTTTGTCATTCTATGTATGATGGCTAATATACATGAGATATAAAGCCAAGGTATATTATCACAAGAAGTACTTCCAAAATGATAGTCGTTAAAAAAATTTCTCATTTTTTTTCCTAACACTAGCATCTTTCCATTGTCTTTTTTTAATTTTTAATTTTTTTATTGCACTAGGGCATAGAGATAATCGTGCTTAAATTCATTTTCTATGATTCTTGACTTATTTAACCTTTTCAATCAGAATAATTACATTATGAGAACACCAACTTTCAACTTTTTTCTCAATCGAATTCATAAATTTTAATTTTTTTTCGTTTGATCATGTCAATTTTTTCAAAACTATCAATCGAATATTTTTATTAATTTTTCATTAACTAATAACTTGCATGTTATTCTTTGAATACCAAATTATAATTTGTCTTTTTTTTTAATGAAATGCATGAATTTTAATTTTTTTTCAATTGAGTATATCGATTTTTTTCAAAACTATCAATCAAGTACTTTCGTTAATTTCTCTATTAATTGATGTCGTGTCCAAATACAAAATTATATTTTTTTCCTCTTCTGTTGTAAAAAGCTTTCTCTATAAATTATTCTACCATTTTAAAATTTGATAAAGAATTAAAAAAATATATTATTTTTAAGTTATATGCTATTAAAAAAAAAATCAATTAGGTTTTGAGAGTCAAAGTTGAAGAAAACACAAACTTGAAATTTTTTATCAAGAAGATTCATTTGTGTTTTTTTTTTTTAATTTTCACTCTTAAACCTAATTGAGTTTTTTTTTTTTTTTAACAACAACCTAACCGAGTTTAGTTTGAAATTTTATAGCTAAAAATAATTTTTTTTTAATTATTTGTTAAAATTTGAAATTGTAAAACAATTTGGAGAGAAAGTTCTCTTAAAAAAAAGGATAAAATTATAATTTTGCATTTAAACACGTCATCGATTAATGAAAAAAATGATAAAAGTATTTAATTGATAGTTTTAAAAAGTTGATGTACTCAAACGAAAAAAATTTAAAGTTCATGTATTCGATTGAGAAAAATTATAAATTATAATTTAATATTTTAAAAGTAATAGACACCCGTTAATAAAAAAATTGATAGAATAAATATTTGATTGATAGTTTAAAAAAAAATTAGTGTATTCAAATGAAAAAAATTAAAATTTATATACTCAATTAAAAAAAAAGGTTAAAAAATTAATGTAGTTATAGTATAATTATCCTTTTTCATCATCGGTGTACAATAATAAAGTAATAAAATAGATGCAATTCTAGATAAGAACTATGATTAAAAATACATAGACTATTTATATGTCAATATATTTAAATCTTAATCAATAATATCTTGTCATCTATTGAAAAATTAACACACATACTGCATGGCAATTTCCACATACGCAAATAAAAAATAAATAAAACATTGATATTAAGTTCGAAAAAAATATATATGAGAAAAATTTTTAAACAAAAACTTTTAACCATAATTTATTAGCATCGGGTTTCTGGCATGCGCTCAGCACATGTGTTATTCAACTATTTTATAGACAAAAATACGGATAGGGCTCACTGTTTAATTAAAGTCAAGACTAAAGATTAAATTGCGGTTTAATTACGAAATTATAGGAGAGATCGATGTCGTTGAAATCTTAATGATTCACCTGGCTAAGCTAGCTAGTTCAAATAACTTTTTTAAGTGTTAACTGAATATTATAATCTTTAAATTCTTTTTATCGTAATTTTAATAAATACTTTATTCAATTTATACAATTTTTATTAATTAGCATATTTATCAAAATTCAATTTAAAGCAAGTAAAAAAGACTCTATTCGTTTAAACAAGTGATTTTGAATTCTAATTTTTGCCTATGAAAAAAACTTTTTGAATAGTTGTCATCGTTTTTTACGTCTAACAAAAGGATTAATTTGAGTTTTTAGATATAACATATTGTGGAGGAAAAAAAATTCAATCTAGGATAGCCTGAATTATAAAAAAAAAAAAATCAATTTAAAGCATTTAATTTTTTAAATTAAATAATGTTTTTATTCAATTATTTCTCGAGCCCAAATTAAATGCGAGCGGAATATGATTTCTGGGAAATAGACACATCAAATGACTACAGAGTAAAGTCTATTTATCAATTAAATGTATTATCATTTAGAAATGAAAAAAATAAATTTGTATGTCTTAATCAAATAGAAACATATTAATGATATATCACAATTAACATCTAGAAATTTGAGGTTCAAATGATATTCATTCGAATAGCCAATGCTATCCATCATGCTCATAATGAATCAGAAGAACGACATACGCCACTCTCACCTGCAGGTTAGTATTATTCTTTAAATTTCAGGAAAATAACATATTTTCAAGATTATACCAATCATAATTTCAAAAATATACTACTTGATTACTAGCTAACCCTATATATATTTCTATCTTCTCTTAAGCAGGTATCGGCACCCAACATGTGTATTTTTCCAACTTTAGAACAGGTTTAAGTGCCTATTGTTGTGGGCGTGATGGTTTGCTCATTCTGATTCTCTCTGGCAGTGGCACTGTTGCCATGTCGAAGAGACCTTGGCGGAAATACGTAGAAGGCCGCAGAGGCTTCAAGAATCTCTGGCCGTGTGTTTTCGTGCACTTTGGACATTCTTAGTGCACGCAATGCAATCAAGTATAGCCCAAAGGCAAAGAAACCTGCTAACAATGCGAAGACTCCTGCAACAGAGAACAAGCCTTCTTTAACGATGAGGCAATTCGGCCTGGGTCGATACCAATCCTTCAAATGGCCTGATTCCACAGCCACCCCAAATAACAACAACATCTCTCCAACAGCGAAGCATATCCTGTAGTTAGGAACAGTAGTAGTACTGATAATTAATGCCAGAGGTAAAAATCTACTAAAGCGTTAGAAATGATAACTGAAGAACTTAGAAGCTAAAATTGGTTGGTCATATACCAAGTTGTAACGAAGAAAAAGCCTGCTTGCCATGTTATGTTCTTGGTAAAAGCAGAATCAGGATCCCAAGCAATCGGAGGCGGAGTTTTACTGACAATAACCAACAAGTAAATATGTTCCAACACCATGGCAGATGCTAGTCCTACAAATGCGATAGCACCACACAGCAATGGCGTCTTGCCACTGCCCTTGTATATACACTGAAGATTATCGTTAATGTTTTCTTTACTGTGAGACTTGATCATGACCCATGCCATCTACAAGACAAATTAAGTTGGTTATTTGTCACATGTTGGGAATACTCATGCTAATACAAATGATTTCAATTAAGGCTTACCTGCGAACGATTTGCTTCAGCTATGATGCAAAGAACGAAGCAAAATAAGCAACAGACAATGGTCAGGATCATAAGGAAGGCAGCTGCTTTGCTACCCAAATGCGTGCTTCCAGGATTTGGGGCAAGGTCAGCATGAGTGACTGCTCTTGTTTTTGGCATCATGGTTGAGTCCAAGACAGTCCAGTTACAATTCATGCAGGTTCAGAAGCTGTGTGAAGAAGACAATATATATAGACCGGCTAATTTAAATCCATCCACGAAAAGTGGAGTCATTAAATTGCAGAATGTACAGCTTGATGCAAAGGTTTCTTAAAGACGAAGATTCTCAAGTTCTGGCCTTTTTAAGTTTTCACATAAGGACATCCATATAGTTGGCTAAGATTTTGCCTTAAAGCTACAATTATATTCTACTCAAGGTGATCACGTATGTAAAGGACATCTTCTAATGACAAACGCGCACTCACCCTTTCGAGTCTTCTTTAGCTCAAAGTGCATTCTATACTTTCTTCTTTCCGATTCCTTGGGCTGAACATGAATTTCATGAGTGTTCTGGTAATTAATTTAATTATGTTGTCAGTGTGAAGAACATTCGGCATCAAATAATTTCAAATTCCGCGTTAGCATTCACTTTAATCCAATTAATGTTTCCCAAAAAATTGAAATATAACCGACCTAATTAATGAGCTTTTCAACAACAAATCGGATGAGCAATAGCTAGTAGTCCATGGTTAATAGTCTCATTTGTACTTATATAATCATCTAAGTTTTCAATCTATTTTTCTATTTTAAAACACTTTATTACGTTTTTGTTATTTTATTTAATTTCTAATTTATCATTTTAGTCAATTTTTTTAATTAAATCGTTAAAAATTGATTATATAATTTACACATGAATTTTTTTTTTAATAATAATGTCTCTCAGAAGTAGATTCATAAAATAAACTAATAATAAGAATATAACAAAATCGTTTTAAAATATAAAAATAAATTAAAAACTTGAGCCTTTATATAAAAACGGACGAAGCTATTAATCTTATTTTACAAGCTGAGGTTCCTAATCAATGACAAAACCATCTTGATAAAGAGCGAGTATAAAATAAATAGTGGGGCATCGCCACGTATCATATGCATAATCAACGGTGACAAAGTTGGATTAAAGAAAGCGGTATGTTATTATATGTAGTCAATACAATTTTATCAACATCAAACTGACTGTATTTGATTATTAAATTAGATCTGGTCAAGATATCAAGGCCATGATCTTTCATCTTGGGACTGTAAGGTCGTGCTTACTCTCGGAGAAGGAAGTTAAGGTGTAGATTTTTTTCGCCTAGTTATTGGGGTCCTTGGTAAGTTTTTTCTATATGAAGCTGATGAGGTTGATCTAGAATTTATAGAAGTTATTCATTGACGTTCAAATAAAATAATTAAAATGATGTTTTAGGAGAATCACTTGATTCAAATACAGCATTTTAGTAATATTAGTTATTGTTTTGTGAATAAATATATATAAATTAAATGTATATTTTTTTAAAAAAAAAACTTTTTTTCAGAAGCATTAAATAAAAATAAAAAAACAAAAATTTGTTTATTTTTATAAAAGTTGTTGTTTTAAGTGTTGTTTTATTTTTTCGATATAATCTTATAAAAAAATATATTAAGTTATTTTTAAAAAAATGGATTAAATTTTTTATATAGATTATTGCAAGTTTTTATTTAAAAATTAATGTAAAAAAAAGAGCAAATCGTGTTTTTCTACCTACAAAATTTATGAAAAATATAAGAAAGAATAAACTAAACAAAAAATTTTGATTAAAAAATTAGATGATTTTTTTTAAATTTTAATGCAATATATTTTAATAAACTTGCAGTACAGTACATACTATCAAATTAAAAAAAAAAAAATTATTTTACATCTTTTGCTCAACTTACAGTATAACATAACACGGGCAGCCAATTAGTTGTTACTAATTCTCAATATCTGTTTTTTTTTTTATCCGACCAACAAGATGTTTGATTATTGTTATACAAAGGCAAACTAACTTAAATATTTATGAATTAAAATTTTACTTGACTCAAAATCCAAAAGTTTTAACAGATATGACCATAGTTCCAGAAAACGCCTCGCCACTTACTTTCATCTGATTCCTTTTTTTTTCCCCCTTTTCTTATCTCTTGTTGTTGCTGGTTGTTCTTAAATTGCATATAGCATACGGCAACAGATGCCTAAAATTTTTATATCACTCCAACTTAATTTTATTTCTTTTTAGTCTATGTTTGGTATATAATAGTTTATGTACTTCGATTGCTTTATTTGAACTTTTTGCTTTTCATATGTTTTTTTTTCTTTTTTTTTTTTTGACGAGTTTTATCGATAAACGTATACTAAAATATCCTTCTCCATTCATGATTTAAGTATGCCATCCACACAGATTAGTGCATTCACAAAAATTATTTTATATATTTACTATAACATGACTTGAATTAATAAAAACTCGATTTGTTTATGCTTATTTGTTTTTTATCAGTATAATTTTGTTTGATAAAGTCTACAATAGATAGATAACCGTAATTTTCTTTCCAATTTTTTGCGTAAAACAACACACAACTTTAACCAGGTTTATAGTTTGTAAATTTTAGAAAGAACATATTTACAAAATTATAATCAGAATTTCATGTGTACATATATACATTTCCTCCACTTGATAATTACATACATCTCTAACTTCTGCCTATGGCTTGGCTAAGCAGCTAAGGGCACCAACATAACATGTATAATCCTTTCCTTGCTTTACACCAAATGTAACTGCTTGGTGAAAGCTGGTGGATATGTGAATGATGGTTGGTCAATCTGATTCTCTCTAATAACTGGATTCTCTCTTGCAATTGCAGTGATCATGCGCTGTTGAGGTGACCTTGGCGGAGACGCGTAGAGGGCTGAGGCCTCAAGTATCTCTCGCCGTGTGGTTTCGTGTTCTTGGGACATTCTTTGTGCTCGCAATGCTGTCAAGTATAATCCAGCAGCAAAGAAGACTGTTAACAATGCAAAGATTCCTGCAGCAGAGAACAAGCCTTCTCTAATGATGAGGCAATTCGACCTTGGTCTAGACCAATTCTTCAAATGCCCTGATTCCACACTCAGCCCAATTAACAACAAGATTTCCCCAACAGCAAAGCATATCCTGTTAAAAAATCATATATATTAATGGTTGAGATGATTAGCAAACGTTGAGATGACTGATATATAATTGCAAACTTGAAGAAAAGATTGACTGATCATACCAAGTTGTAGCAAAGAAAAATCCTGCCTGCCATGTGATGGCCTTGGTGTAAGCAGAATTGGGGTCCCAAGCAACTAGAGCCGGAGGCGGTGCTTTGCTCACTGCAATCAACATGTACATATGTTCCACCACCATGGCAACTGCTAGTCCTGCAAATGCAATAGCAGCGCACAACAATGGTATCTTGCCACTGCCAGTATATACACATCGAGAATCTTCTTCATTTTCTTTACTATCAGAGCTCACCCATGCCACCTACAAGATCACACCCCACAAATTTATCTGTCAAATATGACTCTCAGGAAGGTGTAATTCAAAAATGTCGTCTTTAAGGGTTACCTGGGAACGAGTGGCTTCAGCTATAAGGCAAAGAACGAAGCAAAATAAGCCACAAAAAATGGTCAAGACCATGAGGAAGGCAGCTGTTTTGCTACCCAGATCCGTACTTCCAGGACTTGGTGCAAGATCGGCATGTGTGACTGCTCTTGTTTTTGGCATGGTTGATTCCAAGATGATTGCAATTCATGCAGGTTCAAGAGGATGAAGAAGAAAATATGGACTGCCTTTTTAAAATCCATTTCATAAGAAGGACAGTGAACTGCAGAATAGCTTGGTGCAAAGGTTGCTTAAAGGCCAAAGATTCTCAGGTTCTGGCCTTTGGTTTTAAGTATTCACACAAGAATAGTCGGCTCTAATGATTTAGCTTTAAAGCGATAATATCCTGCTCAAATAATCAAACAAGTGCATTTGCTAATTCTCTCTTTTGAGTCTTCTTTAGCTCAAAGTGCATTTTATCCTGTCTTGTTTTCTAGACCTTTGGCTCAAAGTGAATTTTGGTGCTATTTTTTAAATTATTTATGCAGCTCATCTACAGAGTCGGTGTGAACGACTTCCAGCATAAAAAGGTTTCAGACACCGCGTTAGCATTAACCTCAATCCAATAATAAAAAATTCGAACCATAGAGTTCGAATCAGCACTGGTAGTCCTTAATGAACATATCAGACGCATAATCATGCTGGTATATTGTACAGTTCAGCTCTATAAAGATGGGCATCCCATCAGATTCTTTAATCTCATAACTTAATTAATATTATTAAAGGCAAACCTGTTGATCAATCTCAGTCCATAAAGGATCCATTATTGTTAGTTTGCGATGTGAACTAGAATGTACGGTTATGCGTTACGAAGAAAAATGAAAAGGGAAAAAAATAAAAAAAATGGACTGCAAATTTATATTCTTGGTAGATCATCATTATATTAAGCCCTAAACTGTACATTATTAAAAATACCAAAGCATCAATAGTATCTTGTTGGGGTGGCAAAATCCGGAAAAGTGAAAGCAGAGGAAGGAACAAATGACAGAAATCGGTGTGTAGAGAATTTTGGATGGCCGTTTTCGCCTTTTAATTTGGTTAAAGCACCAACCTTAGTCAGACCTCTGGACCAGTAATCCAGTATTATGGGGAAGAGTCTAGTGGTTCTGACATCACCTGAAATTGGTGAGTCAAAAGGATTGTACGATTGACCTAAGTGGCATCCACATGGGTTCTTTCGATTTAAATTCCTTTTAAAAAAATTCATATTATGGTGCTTCATCACATTCAACTTGTCAACTCGTGCACTTCCCATTGTGTTTCCCTTTATGTTGTTTTCATTCGTTGACAAACGGTGGAAATTGAATTGCCCTTCCGAAATGTTCGACAAAAATATCTTTTCAATCAATCAAACGATGAAATGCATGTTACAAGAGCACCTCGCGAGTCATCAATCTTCTCCGAGAACTTTCAGAGCCAAGAAGCAACGGCTAGATAATTGCCTTGTTGCATCTTCATTTGCTTAACACAGAAGATATAGGAGACTTATTCCATGAGCAAGCATTTTTACATGGAGAATCTTTCTGCACCCCACAAATATGGCTTCTCCTCTCACCCCACTTGTCTGCAACATATTCCTTATAGTAGCTTCCCATGGATTTTTATATCATCAACCATGTATAAAACTTAATTACTCAACAACATATATCTCACCAATCTTGATTGCCTTATCAGCCCCATAGTCCTCCTCCATTTCAGGTCTGCATTCTGGAAGAGATGGCTTCTGAGAAGGCCAATGTTGGAGATCTCAATGCTTCCACCAGCAGCAAACAAGGTATCCCCTCAGAAAAAATGCCTAGCATGAAAAGCACAAGCAATTCTAATATTGAGAAAGCACTTGCCCAGAGAGCACTTTTTGGGTCACGGAATCATCGCACTAAGGGCAGAAAAATCAAGAACAGTGGGGCTGGATTGTTGCCAAGTAGGCTAAGCCAGGTTTCTTTGGCTGATGATTCATCCGACTAAGGTATATCCGTATATGTATTGTACTGTTTAGAATGTAAAAAATTCTCTATTGTAGTGTCGAAAAAAGAAATGTAGAAGCATTAGATTGTATGGTGATGTGTTAAAAAGAAAACGAACATATAAAAGATCTCAAACATGTGTAAAGCAGATTGTACAGTAACATATAACAAGAGTAATAACTCAAGAGCGAAATTTTCTGACAGAAATCAAATTACTCTAATACTGCATGAAATTTTAAGGATTTCGAAAAGAATCTATCTTGGGCTTACCAACAGAAAGCGTTACAGCAGGTATATTATCACCAGCATGGTTTGGGGTGTGCCAAAAGCATGTTGGTGCAAAATATGATGCTGAATTATTGTAAAATTATGCAAGTACATGAGGCATATGGAAAAGTAAGATTTTGGTTCGATCTCTTGCGGCCTTGTCGAGGTCCAGTTGTGTTTGTATATTTAACTCCAGATGTAAAACCAACTTTGTCAACATAAGAAACAAGGTCAAATTTATGATGTTAACACTGTCTATGAAAATAATACCAATAATCAACAAAAAAGGTTAATCGTCAAAAAAGAAAATAAAAGCAGCATGTAAGGTATCTGCAATAATTAAAAAAATAAACAGGGATTGAAACTAGTAATGGATTTGAAAGAACATAACTTCTTGATAAAAATATTCTCAAGAAAAAGAAACGTAAAAGCTTCTCCTGTCCAAATAATCAAGGTGGTTGATCCATACCTGTGCTCAAGTATTCTGAACCCAGAGACATCTTGATGTCGTAATTTGCAGCGAATAAAGTTTCATTCGGTTGTAAAGCGTGAGAAAGAAACAATGATCAGAAAATATCTTTTGTATGGTGAACTTTAGAAATGGGGAGATCCAAATATTTTATAAACCTTGTAGGAATTCACTGTAACACATATTCAACTTGCTTATGAATACCACAATTTTAAAACAAACAAATGGAATTCTTTTGCAGGCTTGACTAATCATGATATGTGGCTGTGGACATGCTACATCTTCAATGAAAGTAGAAAACCCTTCAAAATTGCATAGGTGTTTTCGCTCGATAGTACTCAAATTTTGGCATCGTAAAGGATGAACCGTTTGTAGAAATGGATGCCGTCTGATTTCTTTCGACAAAAACTACCATCCTCACTATCCTACCTACAAGTATCCTAGTGCAGTGTCATTCAAATTATCGCTTCTCGTCATTGGACAATCTGATGCATCATGTCCAAAATGTCCACAGCAAGGACCAGAATAATGCCTTCTTTTTCTGGAAAAATCAACTCCACTTCTGGGCCGCCTCTCTTTTAGCTTTCCTATAGTGATTGAGTCATGAGGATTCTCGATAGTGAAATTAACTATTCCACCAGAATCTTCTACCTCTGGTAAAATCAGCAATTCTGATGGGCTGTTGTAGACATCTTCGCCATGTGTCAGCATAGGAAGGTCCCTAATATGCGATAACACCATTGAAATTTGCTCGCAAGCAACATCAAGGCGTTCCTCTGTTTCAACCGACTCTGCCATAAGCGTAGAACCCATGGATTCTAGTAACTGAATTTTCTCAGAATGCATCCTCGAACTGGAAGACGAACTAACGTCACGCCATCGAGTGGGCATATAAAGGTCTGGAATTTGAAAACAGTTATTGCTTGACAGAACACGGAGAACATGTCGACAAAGGATGCCTGAAAATTCAAACCAATTGCAGCTGCAGCTGATGTGGCCTTGACAAGAATCCCAAATGACTTTGTAGCCCCCACTTATCTGAGCATGGTGCCTGACTTGGAAACAAAATTCATCTATTGGAAAAGATGCATACTGTGGAGCTAACACTAGCTCTTCCTGGAGTTTACCAAAGGCATATGGAGTCAGAACAGAAGCTGCATGTGATTCAATGGGTGAACCTGTTTGCAGGTAAATTTTATGCAGCTTTTGTGGTATCTCTGGCTTATAATCAACAATATCAGCCAGCTGCAAAGGGATTAATAGACAAGTTAGGTTATCAAAATTAATAAAAGGAAAGGAAACAGAAAATGATGTACGCACTTCCTTTACAAAGCAATCTAGTTGAGACTGTGCCCTCAAAAACCGTTGAATGAAAGCAGTAATTGACCCAGACTGACATATATCCATTGTTCCTCCAAAGAAGTAATTTCGCAAAAAGGATAGAGCCCAAAATGAACGAAATGCGTATAAAGTAGCAATGTGCTTATTTGCATGGAGCTTATATTTCTCAGCCATTTCCCTCCATCCTTCCTCAAAATCTTGTACAGATTCCAAATTATAGAGTCGGAGAAACTCGGCTTTCCAGTCATTGTAACATGATCCAAGCAGTGTGGAAAACCAATCTGAGAACTTCGACATCATGTGCCATATGCAAAAGGCATGTTTGGTGTCAGGCATTTCAATAGCAATTGCCTCTTTCAACCACATGTTTTGGTCAGTTAATATGGTTTGTGGAGCCTTTCCATTCATGAAGTTCACAAATGCCTGCATAAACATCAGGAATATTACGTACACTTCAAAACTAGGAAAAAATCAGAACTTTGCAAGAGAAAGGGTGGAAAGAACACAAAGATTATAATAAGAACATAAGAGCAGAGTCGTCTATAACTGATGATGAATGTAGACCACATAGAATCTCATCAACTTCTAACAGGTAATGCATTATATGCCATGGGAGTTGGAACAGACTGTCCTAAACAAAATCATTCTCATGTCTTTAAACCTTTATTTGGCATCTCAGTCAAAAGAAAGTACTAGATTGGAAGGTAAGCCAAAATGAAAAAGCTTACAATTCTGACATATCCACTGGGCTCTTATATGACAAGCTAGAAAAAAAATAGGTCATCCTCAAATCACCAGATGCATACCTTCAATGCCCAAGAAAAAGATTCCACATTTTCTTCATGTAGAAGTACACAACTGAAAAAACAAGTCATCCCGTGATTATCTACTCCTACCCAAATGCCTAATCGCATATCATAGGCATCCAGATGGTGATTTGTGTCAAAAACCACTGCATCACCAAATGCCTCGTATAATCGAACAGATGAAGCATAAGACCACGCAATATGCTCTAACCTGTTGTGGCGATCAATTTTGAAGTCGTATTTGAAATTGTGATCTTCATCTTTCAGTTTCTTGCAGATTGCAATAAGATCAATTGCATCATTGTCTTGATTAGTATTTCTGAAAGACAGTAGCAGGTTTCTCACGTCTATTTCTGTAAATGGCAAGCATCCTAGCTTGACACCTTTCTCTAGCTCCATCAATCGTAACATCTGTCGCACCAACATTCCAGCTTTTGCAAAAATGCAAATGCGACTCTTGTCGTCTGGAGACATGGAGCAACAGGCAGGAAGGAGGAGCATGTCATTCGATTTTAACATTTCATGGTTGTGGATGTTGCTAAAGCCTGTAACATGCCATTCAGGGACATCAAAATCTGCCCGCTTCACAATACGCATATACGCTTGACAACCGCAACGTGATGACTTGCGATTCCTTTGCATCTTTCCATCTTCATATAGTTTCATCTGTGGATAACCACCACGATGGCAGGTGAAATCCCTTCTCGTGACTCCTCGACCAACTCCATCCTTTCCACGAGTACGGTGACGTCTAATTGAAAAGCCACATTGCTTAGCAAAACTGCAATAAAATTCATAAGCAGCATCTTGAGATATGAATCTTTGCCCAATATATGGAACAAGGTTTACTGAGGTCTGTCGCAACAATATCGTGTCTTCAGGTGTTTCATCCATGGTGTCCAAATCATCTTGAGGTATATCTATCCCATGCTCAGAAGACTCGATCACCATATTTGTTCCCTCTGGCATTCCTTATCAATATATGAAATTCAAAGATCAGACCTGCAGGCAACTTTTCTGAACTTAAAATTGAGCACAAAATGCAGTATGCCATTTAGAAATATCAAACAGTTCGCTCTCTCGTAATTTCTACTAATTACTGATGTTTTAACTAACTAAGGTTTCACATGACCAGAATTCGCAATGGTAGACAGTTCACTTTCTATCATTCATCAACTTTAGCTGTTTAGATTTCATATTTTCACAAACCCTTGTTGGTTCCACCGCAATATTTCTAGGCATATGAGCCCATCCACTAGTTATCCATATGCTCTAATGCAAATGTGGGCACGTAGTTTTCATCAGACTTTGCTATTCCTTGATGACCAACGGCGAAAAAAAAACACCTATTTTAGGGCTCAGAATTATGAATCTCAAAACATTAAAAAATTCATATTCAACCCCAACAAATTAAAACCCACAATGGTATCCCGAAATCCTCAATAAAATCCTAGTCAATCCGCCTTGATTGATTACCAAAAATCAATAATCAAACTTTTACGTAAATTTCACTTATTAATCAATCAAAACTAATGTAATGCACAGAAATCAAATTAAAGTAGATATACATACCAGGGGGGTTTGGATTTTGATAGTAGAATTTTAACGGTCAATAACGAACGTGAAATTTAAAAGAAATACAAAAGTACATGAAACTGGCGGGTGATTTAACAGAAGGGGAGCAGAACGCATCCCATGGAGAACGATAACTATTCACAGGGAATCTGAGCTATTGTGCGCCGCGTTGATACATGATATTATCCAACGCCACATCACGATTTCTGGCCGTTGGATCAAAACTTTGGGTTTCGATTTGGTTGTCAGGGATCAGTGGGACCCTTGATTTCCTTTGTTTGGGAAGTGCAGGAAACCCAGCAATCAGCGGCTTGCACGTGAGCTCTGTATTTTTGTGGTTTCTCTTAACCTGGGCAGCGTACGTTAGACTGGAGGTGTTTGGGCTTATATTTCCTGAAAGCCCAATTGTATCGGATGTTGGAACCGGTTAGATCCGCATGCTAGTATAAGATAACGAAAAAAATTTATAATACTCGATTGTACAGTAATTACTTAAAGACAAGATAAATATATAAGGAAAATCACATTCGAATTAATTTATATTAATTATTCATTTAAGTATTATAAAATTTCTAGTAAGATAATCACTTTTATATAAATGGATTGATGTCCTAGCAAATAAAACTACCGGTCTATTTAGAATTTAGAATTACCTACATTTTAAAATTAATTGTTTTTCATAGCTTAGATGTTGCTTTGCACAACAATAAATTTAAGGCAAATTAGTTAATGTCTTGGTTGAAGTACAAAGTTATAGACTTTAAAATATACGGTTTAAGCACAAAAGTCAATAACTTTGTGCCAAAGACTTAAGATTTAAATACAATTTCTTAATATGTAGATTCAATTTGTCGATTCAGTTTTAGATAGACGCAAAAGCAATCAATATTTTGGAATTCTAAATTATACTACAAGTTAAATTTTGACATTAATGAATTGGATATTTAGGAAGAATAGGAGTAAATTATAAATCAATCCCTCTCGCTTAAAAAAATAAATAAATTTTTTATTTGAAAAAATTAATTATTTGGTCATTTTTATTATTTTTAATTTTTTATTTAATACAAATTATGAAAATATTGATAAGAAAAAATATTTTATAAAATAAAAAATTATTAAATTAGTTGTGGTCAACATTGGTTAAAAAGATTAAATAATTAACTACAAGGTAGTAATCTGTTAGTAACCAAGTGTCGACTTGTAGATCAAATTCAGAATTCGATCCTTATTACTAATTGAATGTGGCACAAAAATTCGAATAAAGCAAAGAGAGTTGATTTTTCGTAATGGGATGAATAATTCAATCTTAGCGGGCCTGTTGATGTCATGAACTGGTGTTGTCCTTGAAATATATGTGATTTGTCTTTTTCTCGAAGGTGCTGTTGTGCACATCGGATGAGGTGAGAAGATGGTAGGTAGATTCTTAAGTAATTATGGTGGTGATACTGTTATCTTATTTATTATGATACAATGTTAAAAATCCTAAAATTAATTGATGATTATGATAATTGATTTTCTCCAAGATATTATGGTGCTTTATAATATAGTTAGTGATTAAAAACCATTAGGATATATATTTTATGAGCATATTTAATTTTTTTAATTTCATTAATATGGTAGGTTTTGGGTTTTATGATTTTACGAATATATTTTTAAATATATAGTGTTAACGATGTTTTTCAATTTATTGTTTGCATTGAAATGCAAAAGTAAAAATGTTAATATTTTTTAGTACATTTATGTATTTATTATTGTTGTTATTATTATTATTATTTTATATTTACTAGTTATTAAAAAATTCGATAGAAATATTTTTTGGAACGAATTTATTTTTAAAAATTTTAATTCTCATTGAAATTTTGATCATAAAAAAAAAATCGATGAGAGATTTTCCTCATGTTGGTAATTAATTTTTTGATCGAGTTCTTTGTATTTTTATCGATTTAATAACAAATTTTACTCTCATTTTATTGCGATTTTGGCATTTTCAGGTTAATTGTGTCAAATTATGTAATTTAAACCCCAAATTATTAGAGATTAGATCAATGTTTTAGTTTGTAATTATTTTTTATTTTATTTTGGTCCCTTTTTTTGTTTCATTCTAATTACTTTAGTCCTTTCTTCTTCTTTTTTCTTTTTAAATTAAATAATCTAAGGCAAAAAAAATATTTAGAAAAAATAATTTACAAAATAAGTTTTTATCTAAGAATCCATTGCTTTTGATATTTTTTATACTATTATAAATGTTTTAGTTTGTGGATAGAGATAAATAAATAATGTTTCAAAAATTTATGAAAAATATAAAAAATAATCATTTAAATCCAAAATTTTGATTAAAAAATTATAAAATTGAATGATTTTTTATTATGTTTTGATTTGATACATTTTGATAGGAGCACAATATAATATGAAACGTTAAATTAAAATAATTTTAAAAAAATAATTTTATGTGTTTAATCCGATATGCGAGTAGCATGAATAAAAAAAGCTAGTACTTGTTCTACACAATTTTGGTATTTTTTTCCTTAGTTATCGGGATATTGTCGGGTCTCTTTTCTTATTATTTTTTTTAATAGTGATACAAATCCATTTTATGTGTATTTTAAACTGACTATTCATATAACCAAACAAAATGTCCATCCATTTTTTTTTAATTCTAAATTTTAAATAATAACGTGAAAACAAAACAATTTTTCATTTCAATTCTCACTTTCTTTGGAATTTTTCAATAATAAACTCTATACAATATTTTGTGCATGTCCCTATAGGGTGCATTGATCTCTTTTTAAAAGATATTTGTGGAATAGTATTTCTCAGAATATATAACATACACTATTTTATTTAAAGCTTTGCTTCTCCTATGAATTAGAAAAGCACAAAAAAAGAAAAAAAGAAAAAAAGGGTCAAACCTCAGGGTTAACACAACATTATGGTTGCCGATTTTTAATTTCAATAACCGAATTTTAGCCTTAATAGCTTTTGTTTTTTTTTTAACTACTAAGTTTAAATTATTGATCAGCATGTTGGCTCATACATATATTGATTTATTACTAGGACTTATAACTAGAAAATTTTTATTTATTTATAATTGAATTGATATTTAACACCTAATTAAATAAAAAAAAGAACATAAATTTATGAAAAAAACAAAGAAAGAAAAGAAAAGAAAAAGCATGAGTAGTGCATCAAATAAAGAATTAAAATTTTTATTTTAAAATTTTAGAGACAAAAATGACATAACCTGAAAATTTTTTAAAAAAATTAAATGAAAAAAGGGCCTAAGAGATCAAAACGAAACAACCTAAAAATTAAAAAAGGAACCTAACTTGATGGAAAAACCTATAAAAAAAAACAAAAAAAAACAGTGAACAATACCCAAACCCAACCAAAAAAAAAAAAAACAGTCTATGAATAATAGTTTATTATTGAAAAAACCCACGCCTTTTAGTTTATTAGTAATGAACGTCAATTCTAGTAATTGGAGTATTCCATTCAAACTGAGTGCATTTAAAAAAAAAAACTACCCAACCAAACAGGTTTTCCATTTTTCGAAAACTAAAAAAATAAAAAATACAAACAGACCCCAAGGCGATGTACGCTGTTGCATAGTAAAATTCTTATCCCAATTACAATGGTCCAAATTAAACGGTCAAAGAAGCCCCTATTTCGCCCAACAAGTTGGAGAAGTTCAATGCCATCCACACTCCTTTCCGCCTGATACTATTTCATTTCTTTTTCTAGAGTTTTAAAATCAAAAAAAGCTCATACTGCCACCGCAGAACAAAAAACAAATACATCAAAAATAGAACTCTGGATTACACCCATTATTATTCTCATCGTCTGTACCTTATGACGTAATCCAGGTAGTAACGAACAAACGTCTTCCTCTCCCCTTTCCCTCTCCCTCTCCCTCGTATATATAAGAACCAATAATTTGGCACCCTAACGTCCTTCACAACCTGAAGCGTAACACATTCCCCTCGTTTCTCTCTCTTTCCTTGCCTTCTTCAAGCTAGTGATCTTGGTGGAAAAGCGTAAGAGAAATGGAAGATCACTTTGGGGCATCTAATGTTAATCATCAAATGTATTGCAGCGTTGGTGATTGGAAGTTAGAAAAAAGGTCTAGACAGCATATACCTCGGTCTTGCATGCTATCATCATCACCAATGCCATCAATATCTTCATGGAATGTTCGTAGTGATCATAGCATGTATAAATCAAAATGGATTTTCAACGACTCGGCTGAAGCCAAGAGACAAAAGAGAGTTGTTAAGTACAAGGCATACACTGTTGAAGGGAAAATGAAGACCTCTTTCAGAAGCGGGCTACGTTGGGTCAAGGACAAGTATTGTTCACTTGTCCATAGATATTGAATATTATTGGTGATGTGAAAACACGAATTCAATTATTTTTCTCTTTGTTTCTTGGATAGAATTTTCTTCCTCTATGAAGTAAGGTTCTTGCTTGTTCTAAAGATAATTTAACTGTGGTTACTCATGTACGTATAATTTTTCTATGCTTAATTTGTATATGCAATATTGTTTTGTCCACTCAAAAACCTTGAAGAGAACGACCAAAAAAAGCATTGCCCCCGAAATATATGTGAAATAATTCTGCTTTTCTTTTTTTTTCTTTTTTTCTTTTTAAATCATCTGCTCATGAAATTCACTTATCGACTAGAACATCTTGCACTTCTAGTTCAAATATATATGCATAAGGTCGGGGTTCGAATATTGCAAACTAAACGCCGTACGCACGCAAATATCCAATTCTTAAATCTTGATTATTATTATTTTATTTTATTTTATTAGTTTTCGAGGGAGGAAATCTGGAACTTTGAGCTTCATTAAAGGGGGTTATCAATAACAAAGCTAGCCCATGCCCATCATCAATTGATGATGCTCATTCATTACGGAAATTATGAAGTTAATTTTAGCGAGTACGTGTATAATTACTTCAGTACCGTATAAGTACGTGGAAGACGAGCTGGAATGTGCAGGCCATCTATACATCAAAGGGCCCATCTCCAACGAAAGAGGTAGCCTAGTTAACATAGCCGTCTAATATAACCAGCGATTCAAGTGCGGAGTCTGTGGTCAAGTCCTAAAATATAGCACTTCTTGTTTCAAAAACCAGCCTCCACTTCACTTGGATTTTTTTTTTCTTTTTTCTGTTGCAAGGGAAAAGAGGCACGACTTCACAGCTAAATTATATATATATATATATATATATATATATATATATGGACATGTAAGATAAATCCCAATTTTGCCATTACCATAGCCCTCGGGCTACGCACCTGTACGAGCATTAAGTGTCCATATATATTTTGAATTTGAGAAAAACTAAAACAAAACAATTAAACACACCACATTTCACTGTTTATTATTTTACAAAAATACTGTACATTGTAGTGTGGACTCGGGGTATGGTATTTTTGTGATTTTTATTGTTTTTATAGGCATTTAATATGCATTTTTTTTACAAATGTTGCATTTTAATCCCTAATTTTTCCAAACACTTTTATTTCTATTTCGAATTTCATTTGTATCTAGATTTAGTCCTTGGTTGTAGAGAAGAGAGAGAAACAACGACAAAGATAGTAGGACATAAAAAGTCATGACAAGTCTCATTCTTGATACTTTAGCTCTTGATTTTGGACTCAATTTATTCGTCTAAGAGAGGAGAATTTGTTTATAATGCTCAAAAGCTATGAATTGGTTTGATGAGACAGATCAAGACTCTAAAATATCTTCTTTTTTTTTGGATTCTGATTTTTATGTGTTCATTTATGCTAGTTGTTTTAGTTTTTAGTTAAATTGGTATGTCTTAATATTTTATTTTTTTTAAGTATGAGTTGAGAATCAAAGGAATAGCTTCGAAGGCGCAATCTTGCCTTGCTTGTCGACTTTGTGAAATATTACTCTTGTAGTTTAAAATCTATTCCTTCAATTGTTTTTTTTTTTTTTTATAGAAATTCTTTTTTAGTTAATTTAAAATTATATTTACCGATAGTTATGATTTATTTTCTCTATACATGGATTGTGGAATAAAATTATAGAACATGATTATTCTTTCTTTTTGAAAAATAGATGGATATAATTTATATGATTGATTCTTATAATTTTTAAATTATAATAGCATGATACACACACGCACACACAATTTGTCAAAAAAAATTTTTTCGGTTAAAAGCATGTTTTAGATAATTTATCTCAATTTTTAGAGAAAAAATAATTTTCAAAATAGTTAACTAATAATTGAAAGTTGAATGTGAAAAAAAAAAAAAGAGAGAGAGATAATTGCTCCGTATGTGAGGAATGTACACAAGAACTAGTCATGTATGACCTAGAAAAAAATCATTCAAGAAGGGAAAAAAAAGAATTCACGTGTTTTATTTGTTTTTATATACAATCAAAATTAATTTTGTAATAATTTCTATTTTAGTCTATTATCTTCAAATTTATTCTATATATTCCTTTCAAATTAACCATTTTTTTTAATGTTTTTTGTTTTATGTTATAGATTATGAACCCACTCAATATAGTTATAATATATAAAAAAATATCGAATCGTTGATTTTGTTAAGAAATTAACAATGCAACTACTAGAACACTAAGCATTTATTATTTATTTATTTATTTATTTTTAGATATTTTGAAATCAATTTCTTTCATATTAAATAATTGAAATTATGTGTTGGCGTAACTACCCAATGATTCAAATATAGTTTATTATTCTAATGTGTGTGTGTGTGTGAATATATATATAAAAATCAAATACATACTTTTAAAAACCGATAGTTTCATCGATATTAAATAAAAATCAAAAATATTTTTTATTTTTTTATTCTTATGCAAATTTTTACATTAACCGTTACTTTATTTTTTTCGACACAATATTATGAAATACTGATTTTTTTATTTTATATTCATTTTTTTAAGCTAAGAATCCGTGGATTAAAAAAAATTATTTTTTTAGTTGAAAGATTATGAAAAACATAAAAGAGAAATAACTAAATATAAATTTTTGATTAAAAAATTATAAAACTAGATTTTTTTTTTTTACCTTTCATTTTATATATTTTTATGGATCGACAACATGGTACGGACCATTAAACTTAATATATTTTTTTAAAATTATTTCATCTATTCTACTCAATCCACAACATAGAACGAGCAAAAAAACTAATGATAGCTATAAACTTGTGATTAGAATAAAAGAAGGAAAGCTAATCTCGAGACACTTATTAACCAAAAAAACTAAAGTAAAATTATCGATTACTATTTATTGCACTATTTAAAATATTGTTCATCTAGATTCATTCGTACTATTCATCAAGACTCGGATATATTATTCCTTTTACTATGTAGTGATATTTTTGTAATTTTTAAACATTTTAAAAACACTTATTACGAAATTTTTTATGATATTATACTTTAGTCTTTCTTTTTTGAACATTTTTTTTTAGTTCGTAATTATTTTTTATTTTATTTTGGTCCCTCTTTTTTGTTTCATTTTGATTACTTTAGTCCTTCCTTTTTTTCTTTTTTTCTTTTTTAAATTAAATAATCTAAGGCGAAAAAATATTTAGAAAAAATAATTTACAAAATAAGTTTTTATCTAAGAATCCATTGATTTTGATATTTTTTATACTATTATAAATTTTTTTGTTTGTGGATAGAGATAAATAAATAATGTTTCAAAAATTTATGAAAAATATAAAAAATAATCAATAAAATCCAAAATTTTGATTAAAAAATTATAAAATTGAATGATTTTTTATTCAGTTTTGATTTGATACATTTTGATATGAGCACAATATAATATGAAACATTAAATTAAAATAATTTTTTAAAAATAATTTTATGTGTTTAATCCGATATGCGAGTAGCATGAATAAAAAAGCTATTACTTGTTCTACACAATTTTGGTATTTTTTTTCCTTAGTGATCGGGATATTGTCAAGTCTCTTTTTTTATTATTTTTTTAATAGTGATACAAATCCATTTTATGTGTATTTTAAACCGACTATTCATATAACCAAACAAAATGTCCATCCATTTTTTTTTAATTCTAAATTTTAAATAACAACGTGAAAACAAAACAATTTATCATTTCAATCCTCACTTTCTTTGGAATTTTTCAATAATAAACTCTATACAATATTTTGTGCATGTCCCTATAGGGTGCACTAATCTCTTTTTAAAAGATATTTGAGGAATAATATCTCTCAGAATATATAACAGACACTATTTTATTTAAAGCTTTGCTTCTCCCATAAATTAGAAAAGCACAAAAAAAGAAAAAAGAAAAAGAAAAAAGGGTCAAACCTCAGGGTTAACACAACATTATGGTTGCCGATTTTTAATTTCAATAACCGAATTTTAGCCTTAATAGCTTTTGTTTTGTTTTAACTACTAAGTTTAAATTATTGATCAGCATGTTAGCTCATACATATATTCATTTATTACTAGGACTTATAACTAGAAATTTTTTTATTTTTTTATAATTGAATTGATATTAATGTTCTTTTTTTTTTTTTTTTTCAAAAAACAGTTTCAAACTCAAACCTACTCTATATACTAAGAAAAAAGAAAAAAAGGAAAAATAATGTAGAACCATGATTCACTGCATTGCTTATTCAAATTAAACAGTTGCAATGCATCAGGAAAACCAACCCTACCGAAGTAACTAAGCCAAGCATGGATTAGTATCATTTGCGATTATTAGTGCTGCTGCGGTAAATATCATGATATACCCATAAAGCAAACACAAAAGCTTCAACCAAGCTCCCTAATTATATATGTAAGGGTCCACATGAATATGAATGTTTTGCGTTTTTAGGCACAGTCAAAGAAATTACGTACATCAACACTTGGTGAAGTGCCAACTCATTCCCATTGATCGAGGAATGGACTCTATTAAATAATTGTTGGTCCCCGGTTTGACAATCCCCCCAGCACCAAATTGTTGGCCCCCAAGTGTGATTTACATTTGTTGCCGAAAGCCGATTCGGAAACAAGTAGTACTACAACTTAAATGGATTAAGGGTTTGCATTAAAGATTTGAAATTTTGTGGGTACTGAAAGGTTCAATTGATAAAAATTACTCCAACCTAATTATACAAAAAATAAATTTGATTCACATTTGAGATACGATGGATTCAAATTGCAGAAAAGGCCAAAACTTTCGTTTTTTCCCATTTAAAATTTGTAAACATTTGGAGGATTTTTTCGTCCTCTTAAACTCGAATGTTTGTCTCCTTTTACCTTAACCTAGGAGTAAAGAGATAATCTTATTACTATAAATTGATAAATTAACAGTGCAAAATGTTTTTTTTTAAAAAAAAAAAATTCGGTAACATGGCCTA